CCAAAATCTTGCAAACAACACAGTACAATCGAAGCAAATGCATCAAGAATGGTAACTAAAATACGGTGGGTGGTTGAGGCTGCCAACGGCAGACTTAAAAAATGGCGATTTTTGGATAATGTTGTCAGCAACTCAAACATTCCTTCAGTCGGTGACTTCGTAAGAATCGTGTGTTCTTTAATTAACAAATACAGACCACCTTTGAAAACAAATGATGTAAATGATTTTAATAATGGTTTTAAAATGTTAATGATGGCGAAGAACAATGAAAATGTCTTGAAAGAACTTGTTACTAAAGATTCCAATTACAGATACCGGACAAATTCAAAACTCTGGAAGAGTATCGACGCACGTGATGCTGCGATCAACTTCCCTGCCCTCTCCGAGGAAGATGTTAGACAACTAACATTTGGAACATATCAAATCCGGCAAGCAAATTCTTATATTAGAGAACATATTGATGAAACCGGCCAATACGCAATTGATGTGTCATATGTAGAATCTGACTTGATTCACTGTCGAATACAATCCAGACACACTAGCAGCACTCTTTATAATCTTTGGATTAGGTTCACTATATCAGCAGTGACCTCTTGGTACTGTCAGTGCAAGAGTGGTGCTAGAACTTTAGGGTGCTGTGCACACATCTGCAGTGTAATCTGGTATTTAGGTTATCATCGTCACCAGTGCAATAAAATCGAGAAAGACAGATACATGTCAAGTGTTGACGATGCTGGACAATACCAGACGGACAATGATGATGAATCAGAATAAAAAAGACAAAAAAACATGCTACACTTATATATATATATATGTATTTTGAAAAAATTCTAGATAACTTTAACTTTGTTATTAACACCAACAAAAGCTCTCCTGTATCATAAAATATATACACTTACATAATCAAATATAAACATATATGTAACACTCAATTAATACACAGTCTGAAAGGTTTCACTTGTTAAACATTTTGTAACAATAACCGCAAGGTTTAAATTAACGATATCGGCATTTGGACAGTCCTGTACAAAGTTTAAATGTCTAAGTAAATCGTACGACTATGAAATATCCGATATGCTGACAGAGCTACAAAACCAGCGTGGGCATATGACTCGGCTAATCCCCCCAGTTTCTTTATACTAAGAAAATGCGAATTTTATTTAAAGCAGCAGCACTTTCCATAAACTTCAAGTTATGTAGAAACAATCTATTACTTTAATTTTAATTTTAACTAGGGTATGCCCTTGCGATATTGAAATTTGTTTGTGACCTACATACAGTACGCATTACATGCATTTATCACGTGACTATCAAATAACGTGACCAAACCAAATTCAATACAATGTTATTTCAAAGAATGTTAAAGTGACAAGATAATATAGTACCTTTACAAAAATAAATTCAGTTTAAAAAGGTATGTATTTATGCACGTTTATATTCTATTGATTTCTTTGAAGTACGCCTTAACAGTGCTGCGAAAGGGTTGGGAGGTGGATAAAATATACACATTGGTTAAAAGTGTCTAGAATAAGGGAATAAAAGGTAGTTGATTGACCAATCATATTTTCATAACGGGATCTGTAGCGACAAAGACTAAAATATAAATCATAACATTACAGGTCTGAAACTACCACAAATACTGAAATTTAAATACATGTGCTAAGAAATTTAATTTTGAACCAAAAGTCTAGGTCTGACTTATAAATTTTGAATTTTTCTTGAAGAAAAATCTAGTAACTCGTTTATAAAGATTGGAACAATTCTAATGCAGAGAAATAAAGATCTAAGGTTACCACAATCATAATTATAACACTAGTATTTAGAGAATTATATGTTTTTGTACTTAATAAAATTATTAGTAAACTCAAATATCTGTCTTGCCTTAAAATATACATGTACCTAGAAATGCTGCTAAATGCAAAAGGTTTTTTCATCTAAAATTGTCAACAATTTTTAGCAAAATATTACCGACTTATAAGCGGGTCAATGACTAATTAATCTAAAACGAGATGTGTTTGGGAAACACTGATACCCCGGAATAGCGACAAATAGCAAAGGTTAAACTTTCTCAAATGCAAATCAAATATGTTGGTACCCAAAGTAAGGTCTTGTCTCTAGAAATATAACTTTGAAATATTAAAGTACTAGCAGCAACCATTGAATAGATATGAAAAAGGTTAACGTTTATTTTCAAAAGTATGTCAAACATCAAGGTCAACGTCAAATGGTCAAAATTAATGGTGCCCAAGAAAAAACTTTCTCCCAAGAAATACACAGGTGAAATATGAAAGCAAAAGCTCAAATCATTCAAAAGTTATGACCAAGGTTAAAGTTTTCCAAAAGTAGGTCAAACTCCAAGGTCAAAGGGTAAAATTTTTTTGTATTCGAAGAAAGGACTTGTCACAAGGATTACATATGTGTAGTATAAAAGCCCTAGCATCAAAATTTCAAAGATTATGGCCAAGGTTAAAGTTTTCCAAAAGTAGGTCAAACTCAAAGGTCAAGGTAAAAGGGTCAAAGTTGTTAGAATCCAAAGGAAGATTTTGTCACAAGGAATACACCTGTGAGCTATGGAAGCCCTAGCACCAATTGTTCAAAAGTTATGACCAAGGTTAAAGTTTTTCAAAAGTAAGTCGAACTCCTAGGTCAAGGTTAACAGGTCAAAGTTGTAGGTATCCAAGGGAAGGTCCTGTCACAAGGATTAGACATATGGAGTATGCAAGCCCTAGCACTAATTGTTAAAAAGTTATGGCCAAGAAAGTTTGGTAAAATTTGGCAAAACTGGGTCAAACTCCAAGATCAAAAGGTCGAATATGGTGGTACCCAAAGATAAGTCTTGTCACAAGGAATGCACACGTGAAATATGAAAGCCATACCTCTGACCAATCAAAAGTTATGGGCAAGGTTAAAGTTTTTGCAGACAAAGAGACAGACAGACAGACAGACGGAGGGACAGGGCAGAAACTATATACCCCCGAATCTTCGATACAGGGGCATAAAAATACAACTGACTTATTAGCATACCAACTTATAGACGAGTATATACGGTATACCGAAATGGATCGTTGTGTACTGACATTTGCAGTATAGACAGACTGAAGTCTTTCTAGTTACGAGACCGTAGAACGCCGAGAGCAAGGGGGCCCTCACTTTTTTCTGAGTATACTGAGTAATTTTTTGCTATAGTAAATGTTCCTATAGATGCTGGTACCGCCCCCCCTTTTTTTTTGTTGTAAGGTCGAGCACTGGCAAATACCAGGATTTTTACAGTAAATTACCTTTTTTTCCTTGTTGGATTCTTTTGGGAAGTTGCCCATCCTCCCTCACACACACACACACTTTTGAAATCGTTGCTAGGGGCCTATGTAACGAATGGAATTAACCACGTCTGAATATTATAAGAAATGATTATTTCTTATTATTTTGAATTATTATAGTACAATGCTCTGATATGCTTGGACTTTCGGTATATAAGGCGTGCAATTTTCGGCAAGCGCTACACTGTACATTATTAGCGTGTCCTAAATTCTCCTTCATCGCTAGCTCATCTGATTCAATATTTATAAAGTACCACAAATGCAAGTAAAGAAAAGAAACACATATTAAAGCGACAGTACGGCTGCAAAATGTGTGCTTTTTTATCCAAATTTACCCAATATGTCATTAAGAAATAAGGTATAAAGTTGATGTAAGCAGTTTGAGAAACAGAAATATTCTCTACTCAAACAAAATTAACGTAATTAGAATCTGCCGGAAAATCAAGGGTCGTACGAACTGGAGCAATCTTAGATCTGTTTACTTGTACCACGTGAATTCCAAAACAGCACGTGCCTACACTGTAGAGTTTACAGTTATAATGAATATTAGGTGAAAGCAATTTTCAAAAACACAAATTATCATAACTTTCTGATAAAATAATCTAAAATAATAATCGTAAAGATTTTATTCTGCATTCAGGCGAATTTAACAGAATTATAAGTACAAATGTTGACGTTTTGTGTATTGGGGTCCGAGAAAGGAAAAACCAACTAATCATACGTTATCGCGGCAAATGTCAAACAAAATATTTTTCTGCACAGTTAAAAGAAATTAGCATTTCAAATGGCAACAATGTTTATAAGTCAAAGATGTATTTTTTATGTTGAGTTTACACTATTTTTTTTCTTTGAAAGCGACGGAAAAATGAGAAATGATAACAAGTATCAACAAACCTGTCGAATAGAACCTTCGAGATATTGTTTAATTGTAAAAGTTGTAATTTTCTGAAAGTTTATACATTTATAAGTAGTAAAAAAATTCCAAATCTTGTCGGAAAATTTCATCAATTCAGTTTTTTGATGAGATGTGCCGTACTGTCACTTTAAGTGTTTGAACATTTCTTTCTGTCAGTGTGTGCTGTCTAGTTTGCAAAAGTAAGAGTTCCTATTACAATGGCATTTATTCAATCTTTATATTTTTTCGATATTACATGTAATAAACAATTCTTTGCATGGAATTGCTTAATTTAGGACCCTGCGTAGCAGATGTTAATTTGGGTATCCGGAGCTTTAAGAAGTCCCCTTGACTAGAAAACATGAAAAAACTCCAATAGTTACTATATTCTATACCGCAAGAGCATACATAAATGTTTTTGCAAGTGATGGAAGAAAGGTGGATGTATGTTCCTCTTAGTCATTGGCAGCCATTTCTAAAATTTATATCATTAAAGGGTGCAACTGCAACGCTTAATGATATACTAGTGTGTATCATTAATCGTCGGTTATGTAGATATTTGCTTGTTTCATTAAGCGTCGGTGTTGCTCTGCATTTGTGACGCTTAATGATATAATTTTATCATTAAGCGGTGATTTAGCATTAGCGGTTGAAAATGTCAACTATTAATGCAATAATGTATGGCATTAAGCGTTGCAATTGCAACGCTTACTGCTATTTGTATCATTAAGCGGCGTTTTATCATTAGAGGTTGCTACAAAGCTCAGTTTTGCATATCATGAACAAACCTGTTGATGTCTGCATCATACATCTAGCCATATTCTGTGATTGCTGTGAATTTGATTGGTAGGTTTGATTTCCTGTGAAACTCTTATGAGGTTGTGATTGGTCTATACGGTCACATGACACCTCCATTGTCACTTCCTGTGCTTGTTCTCTTTCCTGACTATTGTTATCAGAAGACAAGTTTATTGGTGGCTGACTGGTTGATATATCATGGTTGCCAATAGGACTTCTACAGTTCCCTGAATTATCTAACACTTTTGTATCCTTCCTGGCTGCAAAACTGGAAAGTTCAGATGTGTCAGGATCTCCTCTTTTCCTGACTTCTGCTGCAACTTTCTCAAGTCTTTCTTTTAAAGTTTTGATTCCATCAAAGTCATCCTTTATAACATGAACACCTCTACCATACGCTGTGCCACGGTGAATGACAAGCTCTATCATAGGTAATTCAGACATTTCTGGACGGCCCTCAGCTGATACAAATGTGGCAGCATGGAGATTGTTTAGCTTTATAAACTGTCCTGGCTGTTTTGGTGTAAAGAAATGATTTTAAAAATTGAAAAAAGATATTTTCTTGAAAGCATGTCCTTTGAAAAAGCTTGTAATACATAAGAATAGACAGGAAAACTTAACAATCATCAACTTTTTTGCATTATTAAAGTGTGGCAGTCAGACAGGTTCAATTGCCGATGGCCAGATAGCTCAGTTGGTAGAGCACCTGACTGGAGATTCAGGTGGCCCAGGTTCAAATCTCTGGTCTATTGCATTTTTCTCCTTTCCTGTTACATTTGGTGAATGACCAGGATGTGACAGTGAAAGATTTGCCAGGAAAGAGCCTGGGTGGATGTCTTCAGGGGAGAAAACCTTTAAGGAGGGAGGAATGTGGTGGTCAGATGAGTTCAATTCCCAGTGGTCAGATAGCTCATTTGGTAGAGCACCTGACTGGGGATTCAGGGACCTAAGCTCGAATTCCAGTCTGATCTCTAGCATTTTTCTCTTTTCCTGTTACAAATGATTAAACACAGTGGGGAAATAAAAGGCAAAAGAGGGGGATTGGGCCAGGGATGGGCACGATTACTGAAAAATGTAATCGATTAATAATCAATTACTTACAGGAATTTTGTGTAATCGATTTATTAATCGATTACACTCATTTTTGTCCTGTAATCGATTGTAATCGATTACTTTGAAAGAAGTAATCGATTAATAATCGATTACTTCCAAGTTTTTATCCCTTCAAATATCAAAGCAATAGTTAAATGGTAAAATGTTGATGTTATCCACTGAAGTTTGAATGTGTTCCTGCAGTTTCAGAGCAGATTCTTGTAAGGTTTTATTCTGGCTAACATTCTCACTAAATGTATGTATTAATTCTCACTGTATGTATGTATTAATCGTGTTAATTTGTTTTATGTTATTATTGCTCATGACTGTATGCCGACATGGTAATTGTCAATAAATTGAATTGAATTGAAATGCCCAAATGAGGGATTCTCTACCATGGAAAGTGGAGACTTGATTCCTACAATAAAATAGGCCAAGGAATTAATTATTCCTTTCAACCTTGGATCTGAACCTCCATATTTATTGACTTGTTGCTAAAATTATTTAATATTCTATTGTGAATTACTTCATTAGAAGTATTTGGGCTGCCTGTTTGTTGACAGTACACATATAAACATTCCTGTACGTGTCTTTTAAAAAAACAAGTAAATTAGAACTCTTAGTAATAAACATATAAATTAAATGAGTCTTTAAGTAATCAAACTAATAGCACAGTTTCATTCTGTATTGAAATAAGTGTTTTGAGAGCTATTAATTGTTTTAATAATATTGTTTGTCTTCCATGGAATGAAAGTTAAACACTAGGTAGTTCACAGTTTACACCTCATTATCTGCAAATCAGGGATGTCTCGGTCAATTAATTAGCCAAGATAAGCAAACACAGTGACACTTACTCTCTCTCTCTTACAGACACTTATATATCCTCTCACTGATATAAAAAAGCAACCTTACAATTTTGAATGAAAACATGAGAATGATTTTTCAAATTTTAAAGTTACTAAAACACAAGTTTGAATTTGTTTAAACATTTTTAGATATGAATAAGTATTTCCATCTTCTTTTTTTAAGAGTACAATGTAGTTTCTTTACCAAATTATTTATATATAATATAGCACTTAAATCTGTTTTTGCTATTTATAATTTTCTATTACAAGACAAAGTTTTTCAACATCTGAAACATGAAAAAGGACATGCAGCAAGAGTAAAGTGGGTCAAATGTAAAATGCACACGAAAATCTGTATATTTTATTAATAAATGGTTGAAATACACTTCTGAATTATTTAATACTAGACCAGAAGGTCTATAATGCAAATTTTATTGAGAACATTATTAAACTTATGATAATAAAAGTTAGGAAATACAAACATTACACTAGGTGGTTTATATTTGATATTTATGTGTGACTGACTGGAAATAATTCTGCAAAAATAACATCCATTTATGTATAAAATAATCGAAAGTAATCGAAAAAGTAATTATAATTACATTGAAAATTTTAGCTGTAATCGATTAAATTACGATTACAAGTAATCGAAAATCTCTTCGATTACAGATTACTGTCGATTACTTGAAAAAAAGTAATCATTACAATCGATTACGATTACTCGATTACGATTACCCCATCCCTGGATTGGGCATACCGAGACATCTTGTCCACACTTTAGATATGCAATAGTCGTATTCGAAAAATTATATCTGCAGAATAGTGTAATATTTAGTTAGATTTCTACTGCATACAAAGAACTGATACAGTCAGTATATAAATCAGTGATTTAATTTCAAACCCAAGAAACAATTTTTGATTACAATGGTTCACTGGGTGTGTTCAATTTGTTAAACTCTGCACACATCACTGAGCACGGACTGACAATACTGGCCAGTTGGTTTTGCTTACTCACATCTCCTCTGAATTTTCTGGATTATATCTAATTTTTTTCATTAATACACACCAAAATTTCTACTTTTCTTAAGTATTAAGGATAAAGTTTTCCTTATGAAAGTGCAAGGATGTGTCAATCAAATGCTTCCCGAAATTCGTAATTTCAATAATTTCCAGATAAAATAGGTTTTTAATTTATATTTCTGTGTGGAATGCTAAAGCAACATATATGTCATGATATTATATAGAAAATTTGAAAAAAATATTAACTTCAAATCTGTGTCTATGTCCCTTTAAATGTGTACATAAAATAAAATCTTTTTTAAACATATCATTGATATCAGCTAATGTTTTCCACCAGACCTTGATTTTTCTTCCTGTTTCATAATGATCATCATACAATGCTACATCCAGTGCCAAATGTCCCGCTATGTCTAGCAAATCCTGCCTTTTATCAGCTGTAAACTCCCCTACAGACACATCAAATTCTCGTACAGGACTGTCAAAAGAAAAAGAACCTCATTATTAGTATGCTGTCTATTGTGAAAACAACTCCATGTCTTCAATATCTTTATAAAAAAATATACCACTCAATCCTGCCTGATAAGTACAAATTTTAAATATAAAATCTAATTTTCTATTTAATTACTAAATTCAGCAAATTGTTCAAAGCAAAAATAAAAGCTCATTTGCAACAACTTTCTACTTTCTCAGATATAATGTAATACAGCTAATCTTTTTAAAAGTATCATCCTGCAGAATGATTGTATTTCAAAGTACATTACATGTAGATTAAAGATTTATGTATGCAATTTCACAATTTGATTTCATGAAAACAATGCATAATTATAAATGAGAATTAAGGATAGTTGCACTTTATTCTTTACAATATTTGTACATTTGTAGTTTTTTCCATGAGAAATACATGTTCCAAGTCAGTTTTCTTTTTAAGAAAACTTATGTCATGTCTTATTTTTCTTTAAGGGATCTAATATTATTTTTGTTTATCAAATAACATTGTCCATAATCGTGATAATTGACCCTTACTTTGTAGGTTTGGTTCCATCCCAGACTCGTAACAAAAACCCTACATTCTCCTCTAAAATACACGTAGCCAGGACCTATAATATTAGAAGAAATCACTGAACACATATTTAGGTGTATTTTGGAATTTTTTGAATATCTCATTGAAATCTGTAAATGAAAACAGGACGAATAATGCAACAGGTTGTTTTACCTAATATAAATTATCAAGTTCTAAAAATTGTCAGATTTTTACTTAAAACTGATAATATCCTGTCTTTTCACAATAATTCCAAGAGGAAACATTTGATAAAATATGCATTTTTCTCTTTTTAAATAAAACAAAGTTCTACCTGGTATATGTTGTTACATCTGATTGATTGAATGTTGTTTTACGCCCCGTTCGAGAATTTTTCACTCATATGGAGACGTCACCATATACCAGTGAAGGGCTTCAAATTTAGACCTATACTTGGCACTCAGGGCCATTGAGCAGTGAGGGTCCTTTATTGTGCCAACACCTACCATGACATGGGGACTTGGTTTTTAAGGTCTCATCCAAAGGACCTGCAACTTTCACTTCAAAGTGCTGAGCGCTTGGCGAAGGAACAGTTGCTACCAATTTTTTATCGACTTAGGTCAGTCCCAGCAGTGATTTGAACACACGACCTTCCGATCATGGAGCGAGCGCTCTACCGAGTTATATTTGTCTTGCATGTTAAAACCTATAATGTGACATGTTATGTTAACTTTTGCACTTAATTAAAATGACAGGAAATAAAAACATTACCTGACAATAAATATCATAATACTGTTGAGGTTTCATGTCTGCAAAGCAGGTTTTATTGGGATGTTGAATGTCATTCAATGTAGAAACCCAGTCACGAAGTTCCTCCACCTGTGAAAATTGCAAGCAAGAAACTTAGCAAAAGATGATATTCAACATTTTGAAGTTTAATATGTATGTGCAGGTATGACATGATGTACATATAGTATTTTAATTAGTTACACCATTATTCAACATTACCATTTCATTGTACTGGACTTTCCAATATATCTTAAATATACAACTTTATTGTAGTAAACTCCTAATGAATTAATCCTATTAACAGATTCAACAAAATTACTGAAAATTATTTTATTATATTGATATTTTTTGCTTAAAAAATTACAGCAACAATATCATTATATCTAATCATTAATTAAAAGCAAGTTAAATTTCAATCTATGTATTAAGATATCTTGTACATTTGCTTTTGCACAATTACATACATTAAAAAACAATGTTGGGATGAGTTTAATTACTATACACATTGTGTCAAACAGGGCTTCACATTTGTCTGATTGTGTCCAGTACATTTTGCAATCAGACAAGTCAATCTCCAGACACGCACATTTGTCTGATCAGACAAGTAACTTTTTCTACCATTATGGAAATACTACTATTGTGAATATGAAAAAAAATTTCCACAGAGTTCCTTAAACACAGTCATTTATTGAAAATCAAACATTAAATAGGAATCTTCAAGCTCAGGGCTCTTGGGGTGAAACTATACGCCTCCTTCATGATACGATACATATCATATAATTTTTATAAATATAATATTCATATTAACATTAATCATTAATCAGAGGGATTAAAAAAGACACCACACAAAAAGATCCTTATGCGTCAACCATTCTTTCAAGGCAACAATAAAAATTACCATCTTTTTGTCACTGTCTGTGAAGGTGTAATTAGAACTAGATGACACAGGCCTAACGGGAGACTCCTTGTCTTCATCAAAAGCCAGCCAGGAGAATCCCGGTCCACTCTGTCCCTGAAGATCTCCATGGAATCGTGTAATCTAAATATAACAGCAATGTCATATTCTTAATTAAAAATAATTTGACTCAACATCAATGAATTGATTTTATTGCTTACATCTACACTACCATAACACCCAAATAATGACATTTAAAATTTATATTCATTTATATAATTAATGACAAGCAATTACTGATAAATATTTTTGTTTATTTGCTTTCTCATTTTAAGCAACCTTTAATGAATCTTCCACCATGGAAATTCCAAAGGAAAAATAATGCAGGGCTCTAATTGGCGACTAATTTAGTCGCCATGGCACCTAAAATTTTTGATTGGTGCCTAAAATTTTTCCATAAGTCGCCAAATTGGCAACCATTTTAAATTGACTTGGCAATCATCGAATTTGGGAAATTTTCAATTTTTCTGAAATGCAAAAAGAAATTTAAAAGAAGAGGAAATTATTTTTAGCAATTGACAAGTCGTGTTTTCTTAGGCATGTCATGGGTCCCTATATTCTATTAACTTTTAAAGTTTGCGCCTTAGAAAAATAATTAGAAAAATGGCCTGGCAACTAAAAATTTGCATTGGTAACTGAATTTTTTGATGGCACCAGGTGGCACCTAAATTTTAGAGGCCACTTAGAGGCCTGTAATGTAAACAGTTTTGGCCACTTTTTTTGTTATCCATCAAAGCAGTTATATGCTACCCTACATATGTTAAAGGCATTGCCAAAGTATGGTTATCCAGAAAAAAAGTTTAATACATAGGAATTTTTTTTCACTCACAAAATAGAGTTACCTGCCCCTGTAAAGTTTCCCGTGTAGAATTCTCTAGTGTATGTTAGAGATAATTTAGAAGTAATAGCCCTGTAGCTGAGCAAAATGTAGGTCCAATTTTTTTCCTTGATACTATATTAACTTTTAATATTGTTAGTCATTTGATTCAATTATGTTTCATTTTGTTTAAAAAAATATATAGACTCTATATATAAATAAAAATGAAAAAAAAAAGCGTAAGGCATATGATCATACATATCATTAATACATATCATTATATAATATAACAAATATTTTTCAGATTTGTTTAAATGATAAAAATTGCATGTAAAAATGTCATGATATTATCGTTGATATTTTAGGGAAAACTGATTTATTGCAATATTTTGGTGATACTCAATTTAACATAACTAAATAAGATTAGAAAGATAAGTAAACAATTCTTTTAAAAAAAATCCCTAAAACTTTGAGAAAATCTTTATTTTAACATTTTTGAGTATACCTTTAGGCGATGCAGCCTGACAATTTTACCAATATCAAGGAAAGGCAAGCTATCTTTCTCCCTGTTGAACAACAGACATTTCAACTTCTGGTCATTACTATGCAGAGTTGGATCTATAATGCTCAAGACCATACTGTAATCTGAAAAATTAGAAAATTTCAGGTTCAGTATTTTGATATAATCTGAAAAGGTTCAACTACTTATCAGTATAGCATGATAAAAGAAGAGTACTTATAAATAAGTGAAGTACTGAATATCGGATATATTTCACGGGTTGTAATTTTCACGTTTTTCTCTCCTTCGACACGATCGCGGTTTGTTGAATTCGCGGAATCGGTATATAATTAAAGTTACCTCCCTTGTCTTTATTCGTATAATCCGAAGCATAGCTAGAACAACATTAATCAGCGTTACCTGTATGTATTCATTTCACGAACGACAGGGTAGATTGATATAAAATGATAAGATTTAGTAGTTAATTGACGATTAGTCAAAGCAAGTGCCGCTATTAAAGGTCTTTGACTATAAACGTCGAATGACTTATTTCCTATACATGTAAACTTTTACGATGAGTGCAGTGATGTACACCCCAAGATCATTCCGAAGGGATAACACATCGCGGCGAAAAAAAAAACACTGGATGATAATAAAGACTTTGGTTATCTAGGTTGACGTAATAATATCCTTCCATATCTACAGCAAGTTCGATAGTAATTATTCGAATGATATTTTTTTCAACCAAAATGTTGCAAAAAACTAATATGCATGATAATATGCAGGTAACAAATACACGTGGTAACGATATAGTTACGCACGGGTAATTAAAACCCATGACACAAGTGTTTTGACTGATGAAACATGTAGCGTTGGCTATAAAAACAGCTTTTTCACAATAAATTCAGGTTATTAGCTGCTTATTTGAATTAAAGTAAAGCGTGATAATTAAAATAATGGAATGACAAGTACTACTCATAATTATTGAATGACCATGTATTGTATGTATATTATATACCTATCGAAGTCTTTTCTCAGATTTCTATATAAAACATGGAGGTTATTGAAAACTTATTCACTGTTTCTTGAAATCATGGATTTATTAACACCATGAATATAGCGAATATTAACACCGCGAGTTATTTTCCACCTATACAGTATACATTTTTTGTATTTCAGTATGTGAAATATTGAATTTCAGGCAAACAATTAATAACAACTCAAGAATATCTAAGGTATGAATTATCTTTTAACTTACATCAAGAACAGTGATGGTATATATAATCTGATTAACAAGAAGGAATCCAAATGGCTGACAAACAAAATGCTCGATTTTATTGAGAAACGTGAATACAAGAAACTGATTTTGATCACAAATTTAGGAATTTTTTCATTGGGACTCTTGCCGAATTTCGGCCCAGATTAAAATCAGTTACATGCAGTCATTCAAACACCTTTTATTTTGAAAGGTAAAAATACCCAAAACTGGAACTTGTTGATAAATTTTACTAGCATATAATGTATCATCCTTGCTAAAATGTATTTTATGGTCACATTTAGTGAGTATTTCCACTTAATTTTGAACCCTGTCAAATTAGTGGAGATTTTTACTGCGAAGATCCTAAATTACATGAGTTTTATTAGTTAGAATAATCTGTGTCTCAGTACAGGCCCTCACTACAGTAAGAATGCCTCCCATACACCAGCAATGTAGCAGAAAATTACAGAATCGCCTCAATACTATTTTGTAGAAAATAAATGAAATTGCATTGAAAATGACCATCAATAGTAGTCATAAGTTCATAACAAACCTTTTGTGATTGTGGATACCTTTCACTAAAAAAATTAATCCAAATAATGGAAGAATTCAACACTTGTTCTAAACATTTTTTTACTTGCTTCAAATTTATACACCATGTTGACATTTGGAACTCTCTGGATTGTATATAGCAAATGCACTGAGTTAAGAGTTATCGCCAATGTTTGTTTTGCTACACAGCCAATACATGGAACGCATTCTATCTTTAAAAGTCCATAGGACATTACCATTTTAACGATTAGAACATTCTATCTAGGATTTTATCACATAATTATGACTTTTCAACCTTATTAAATGGTAAAACAATAATGAAATGTAACAAGAATTTAACTGTTTTTTTTTTTAATTCTTAAGAAATTAGAATTGTGATAAAAACACTATAAATGCTTCAGTGGAACAGATCAATACATTTACCCGATCCTCTTGTTTTTGTTGGTGGCCTGGCGAATTTGACAACACCAAACACGTTGACAGTACTGTTTGCTTGTAAGTCAGCAAGCTTTGTGTACACGTATTCTGCTGTCTTGCTCTTTTTACTTGCCATTTTTCATTCCATGCAAGGTCAGGATCCAATATCTGCGAATACAATTACAAATATGAATACATGCATCCTATACCTAAAGTCAATAGAAATTACTCGATTGACCAAGCCATGAGCTATGCGTTAGCATAGCGAACAAGCATACAATGCGTTTTTGGAGAAATCGACCAATTTGCTTTTACCCACAGCTTATTCAATACAACTCGTTAGCATTCATATCAAACGACATTTCACTAAAATTTGCTTTCTAAACCTTCTCGAATGCTGTCAATACCCTTGACCAATTTCAGGTAAACATTCATGAAGCCATTGCGTGACGTCACATCAAACCTGAACCTGATAGATAATTATTGTCTTTGCAAGCTCTTGGGCGAAGAAGAAATTCAGCATTTTCTATGAACAATCCAGAGAGTTCTGAATGTAACATGGCGTTAAATTTGAAGCAAGGAAAATACGTCGAGAAAATGAGTTAAATTTTCGTATTTATATGGATTATTTTTTTGTTTAAAGACCATATACCATCTCAAAAAGGTTTGTTATGATTAATTCGGTAGTTATTTCCAGTGCAACTCAAATTGTATTCTTCAAAATCATTTTGCAGTGGATCCACTCCGATTTGCTACATTACAAGTATATGGGACGTATTCTAACTGTGGTGAGGGCTTGTCCCGAGACACAGTTAGATTATTCTAACTAGCCCAAACGGTCGCACTGTCAACATATTACTTTAGGAAGTGTCTATCGGCACGACGATCGTGCCGATTATTTTCGTTATTCGCACGACGGTCGTGCTAATTACAGTTCTTATCCGCACGACACAAGAGAGATAACTCTATAGTACATTATATACACTTTTCACCAAAAATTTAATACAAAGTAAAAGAGATACACCTAATACACTCATGTAAAACTAATTTGCTTACGGTGAATTTTCTTCGTGAATCGTAGTGACACAGTATAATAAGAATTAATTTTTTATTCGTCCTTTTTATCATCTCTTGAGTACATGTAACGTACTTCAGACGTTGATTGGAAATATAAAAAAAATATAGCTATCTATTTTCAATAATTTTCTCTAGTTTTTATGGTGTTTATATTCTCTTTCCATAATTTTCCATTTTTCTGGATGGCCTTAATCTCTCTCTCTCCCTCTCTCCTTCCATACAACCTTCAACCTTCCAGCATACTGTAGACGTATTTTTTTTTATCAAGGGGATTAATTAATAACGCTATATTTGAAAATTTATCACAGCGTACAAATTTAAAAATCTTTAAGAGTGCAAAGGCAATCAAAAATTCAGATAATTTTATATCCGCGAATTGAACAGGGTTTGCGATTCCATGGAATTGTGACCCCGTGGAAAAAATAACGTTTACATTACTTCACATAGCTATTATAAAATGATTAAAATATTCTGTCGTATTTCCCCTATTTATTTTATTTTAAAATAAATTTTATGTTAAACAGTAAATCAATTAATTTCTAATATATTCATAGAGGATTTTTTTTTAAGATTTATGCATTATTATATACTTTGATAGTGAACATATTTAGTTTCATCTAAACGTTTTCTTATTTAAGTACGTTGATCAAACTTGTTTGGAGTTTTTTTCAAATATACAGGAACATTTAAATTCATTCAAAAATTCTTTAAAATTAATATGATACGATATAATCCATGTCCATAAAAGAAAAGACACTGATTTTAATATCAGAGTAGTAAATATAAATATTTTAAAAAAAGCATGGATAGATTCACATCTAGTCTACTTTATTGCAATACTGAGACCGTGATCTTGATTCTGATATAATAATTCACATGTACATGTACACGTATCAGGCGCGGATCGAGGAATTTTTTCCAGGGGGGGGGTCCACCCCAGTCAAAAAGAATTCAAACCCAGAAATTTCTTGACAAGCGAAAATAATAATAAAAATATAAAAAAAATCTTAATTATGCCGCGGCAAACACTCTACATGTAGCACTTGAATGAACTAGGAATTTCTGAAGAGTTAGGGATAAGTTCACTTTTTGTGTCCGTCTAATATGTTTAATTCGCTTTGAGCTTCTACACACAATAGCAAAACACCGAGTAAAAATTTATTTATATAAATAAAGTATATGCAAATATAAATGATATTAAGCTATAAACAAAAAAAAATTATAAAATTGTTTCAAAGTTTGTCGTGCGAATAGCCTCCGTAATCGGCACGACCGTCGTGCGGATAACACCGGTAATTAGCACGACCGTCGTGCGGATAGCCTCGGCCATTACTTTATTGAAAAAATTGCGAACTTCTGTGATCTGTTTTATCGGACAAAAGCTTTGCAAATGGAATGCGTAGGCCTATACCTTTAAAAATCTCTTAAAGTAATGTTGAATGTAGTCATCACATTCCCAGTTCTGGGTGTAGCAGTACAGTTTTAACAAGCAGTTGACTGTCACTTTCTCGAATATGGCGGGGAATCTTTGTCAACGTCTTTTAGATGCTTGAAAAAAGTCATCCGTTCCAGGAACTATTCGGAAAAAATATTCCTGATTTTTTTAAATCTACGGTGGTCAAGTCAAAGGCGGATCCAGTGCTCCCAGTTTTTTTTTAAATTATTATTAACTTTTCGATAGTTATTTATAAGTGATGTCCAATTCAGATGTTTAGGATTTACAGTCAACTCGTACACAATCCGGCTCGTATACAATCCAACCAGATACCAAGCATACAAAATTCAACTCATGAACATTTTTTTCTTTCTTGTGCTCAAATAACAAAGCAATTAAGTTGTATATGTTACAGGTATACGTGTGTGTTCTAATCGAGGCCCTTAGTCACTGAGGAGCAAGCCATTTTTTTTATTTTCATTCAGAAATATGTTTTTAATTTATTTTATTTATTGACAAAAAAAAAAACAAACAAACAAACGCAGCGCAAGTCATACATAAAGTATACAAATACAGTCACATAGAGTTTCCTATATGAAATACATCAAGTATAAATACAAATATTTCTTGATGATTTTCACATAGATTTTCCTATATGAAATACATCAAGTATAAATACAAATATTTCTTGATGATTTAACATCTGATGGATTAAGAATTTTATGTGATATACATGCATTATTAAAAAGTATACAATATTTACTTCGCAGTTGTTTATAAAGAGGACATACAAATAAAAAAAAATTATGTTCATCTTCAACAACAGTATGACAGTTAAGACATTTTTCATCCCTTGGAATAATTATGATTCATTGAACATGTTGAATTGGCTTAGATTCAACATTGTAGAATGATCACCTGCACGTGACCTTCCAGGTGAAGATGAGGATTTGTTTTTCTACATTGGACTAAAAATAGATTGAGAACTTCCAAATTGAAAAAAAAAATTAATTTAAGTTCTGAAAAGTTATTACACGACTTCCTTTGAGGTGAACATTACTTCAGTGCATGCCACATTTATCACCATCCAGGAGGCTGTGGAATTCGGAAAAGGCTTCACTCGATCTGACATCCGGAGATGTTTCTGTGCCATGGCTGTCCAAAGGACTTTGTTCAGCACAATGAATCGGCGAGGGGGGGGGGGGCATTTCCACTGAAACGTTATTTTTTTACAATTATTTTACCGGGTATTTTCAAAGTTTCCATTGAAAACTCAAAGGCTGGGTTCTATCCCCCTTTTTGATACAGTATATAGTCAAATCCCTCCTAACTGAATGATCCAACCCCCACCCTACTTTAAAAAGTATATTGATTTAATCCTTGAACTTAATTCTAAAAAATAGACAGAGAGAATTAAAGTACGTCGTGTAACAAAGTGAGGGTAAGATGATTATGGTGTGTTAAAACGTTGCATTATTATACCTTTTTTTCTTTTTCTTATTCAAAGAATTTATTATTCTTATTCGAAAACATATCAATCCTATTCGATAAAATGTTATTCATATTCGAAAAGTTATTATTCCTATTCCAAATTCCTAAAAAGCAAAATTCAAAATGTAAATAAATAGGGTTTAGTAGCGTAGTTGTAGTGCTGTTTTTGTTTTCATTTATTTTTTTTCACGACTTTTTAACTATTTCTATGTCCCGAGGAAGGGACAGGGCGTCCCGAACAGCAACACGTGGTCAGTCAAAGTCCATTGCTAGCTGGTTTTCTGTTTCATAAGCAAAGAAGTATTCATTTCATTGAAATTAAACATCCAGTCGATGAGAAATATGGTGATTAACATTTGAAACTTTAGTGACACGCTGTTATTGGAATATATAGTATCCAGTAAACAAAACGAATCGCGAACAGGGCAAAACACCGACCCCTGGACCACAGGTGGGATCAGGGGGTCGTAACATAAAGCTTGCTAAGTTTTTGACTTAAGTAGGGTCATAAGTATGTTTTTGGTGCAATCTTAAGACCTGCCTAAGTACTAATTAAGTATGTCTTAAACCGTAACATAAAACGGACTTAGGTAGGTCTTAGCTTAGTCAAACTTATGTTCAAAATATCTGTTATGAATCATCCTAGTTTTTCAATTCATTTATATATATATTTGTAAAAATGATTTAGTTACGTTTTTAATCACATATATATTAATGCTGACGTCCTTACCTATCGGATTTAGTTAGGTTAGATTAATTTCGTATTTAATTAAAGTTAATTCTGTTTAAATTATTCGAAATACAATGTATTTGAAAACAAATATTGCACGGTCACAAAGTGGCACTAGTGGTTCATTGTAAATGCGTGAATATTGTTTATCACTCGAAACTGCGATGTTTTCAGTTTACCGTTTGTTGTTATTCTTTCGTTTGACAAATGTTCACTTGCTTTCAAATTGTCATTCTCGCAGACATGGCACGATAACCGAACGTCTATGTACTTCAAATTGAAACTCTAATAAAAAAAAAAGTGCAAAACAATAGGGACATTTTGAATTTTTTTCTCCATATCAGTAAGCAAAAACTGCAGACGTTTTATGATATACTTATTTACAATTTAATGAAGGATGGAAATTAAAGAATTGTTTTAAGAAAATAATTTTTCGTATATCTCCAACTTAACAATCTCTCTCTCTCTTTCTCTCTCTCTCTCTCTCTCTCTCTGGAACGTTAGTGAACGGTCGTGAACCCTGTCTGAATCCTCGCTTGTTGCGTTCTACATTCAATCTAATTTACAGAAAATCTTTATTTGTTTTCTAGTCATCATCATTTAATTCACCAACAATTTTTAAAATCATTTCATCTCATTTTTCAAAGTGAACAAACAAATCCATGATTGTTGTATACAAATTACTTTTATACTTTTATGATTAAAATTATACAATATACTTATAAAGATTAGTGTTTATAACCTAGGTCCCACTAATATTTCAAACGTACCTCCAAAATAATATTTTGCATTTAGATGTATATGTCATTTAGAGAGTGATATTGCAATCAGTGATGAATACCCCCCCCCCCCCCCACCCGACGAAAAACTATAATTTTTATACCAGTATATTAAATATAGAAAATTATTTTTTAATGCATAATATAAATTGAGGAATATTTTAACATAGAAAGTCAACGTTAAATAGTTCTAAATATATGTTTAAGAAAGTTAAGACATACTTAAGTCACCTCTACCGGCCGCCTAAGTTTTGCTAAGATTGTCAAATCTTAGCACGTTTCTAGTTACGGTCTTAAGTTTAAGACTGTACTTAAGTCCTACTTAAGCATGGTCTTAGACTTAAGTACCCTTTATGTTACGACCCCCAGGTGGCTAGGAAGAATAAGCATCTCCTGTTGACCGGTCAACCAGCCGTGAGCTCTATGTATAGATTAGATTTTGTTTGTTTGTTGTTTAACGTCCCTCTCGAGAATTTTTCACTCATTTGGAGACGCCACCACTTGCCGGTGGAGGGCTACAAATTTTGACCTATAAACTCGACACTGAGGGCCATTGAGCAGTAAGGGATCTTTTTCGTGCCAGCACCTACTGCGACAGGGGACCTCGGTTTACACGGTCTCATCCGAAGGACCTGTCTCCACGTCCCGCAGTGGGATTCGAACCCGCGACGTAAGGATCAACTCCTTACCACGCGACTCTAGAGCAGACGCTCTAACCACTGCGCCACGCGGGCTCATCAAAACTGCGCCCCCCTTTTCTGAGTGTAGTATTTTGCTATTGTAAAGTTTTCTTTAGATGCTGGTTGCCCCCCTAGACGGAATGCCCCGTGGTAAATTTTAGCATAAAAGTAGTGACCTAACAAATGGTAAGAAATTTGTCATACAAAATACGACCAAGCAATAGGTTGTACATGTATTTACAAAGAGGGTGATTATAACAACCGTAAAATTTGCGAAAAACTGACTTTAACGGGGTTTTTGAAATCCTTACAACATCAACTTATTTGTCGTTACATGTAGCTTGCCTCAGTTTAAAAATTGTTCGTACTCGTAGCATGTTCTTGCGTATCAAATCAACAGGGAGACAAAAACACCATATGTATGCAGGTGATGCTGCAATATTAACTGCATAAATAAGGAAAGTTGACAATTAAAAAGCTAAAGTCATCCCATTGTCAGTTTAGTAATTAGTTGGCCATTATCGTCTATAGTCAGTAAAACATCTCAATACAAAACAGATGTGACAGACTATGTAGTGTCCTTTATTTCGAGTTCACCGAGAAATATATTAGGCCATTGTTTTCACTGAACTGAATTGTCTACGGATTTTTGCTGATCATAACAGGGAGCACAAGGCGGATGTGACCTGTGGACAGGGGATGTTTACTCCTACATGGTACCTGATTGCCCCTTTGATGTTTTTAAAGGTCCTTGCTTGCTCTGCTCCAAAGTTGTATTGTTTCAACGTCCTTTGAACTTGATTACTATTTGTTATCTTCATATTTCATTGATTTGAAATATGAATGAAAGTAACTATTGTTAATTGATAAAATGTCATCAATATACTAGTATCTAAACACTGAGTTCATGGCCACAGCAGAAGTTTTCTTCTTCTCATGAAGAAGTTTTCAAATAAATTTTGCTTCATGGGATTATGAAAACTGTTCTGCCAATAAAGGAGCACAATTAGGTCCCATTGGAATTCCAACAGATTGATGGAGACCTGGTCTCTAAAGACTGCATAGATATTGTCCATGAGGAACCCCAGCATCGTTTAATATCAACTTTCAAAGTGCTTGTATGTAAAACCAGATGATTTTTAATGATGCAATTTTGTAGATGACCAATCACAAGATATGAAAATTTATGAGCTCCATTTTTAATGTTTCCAAGTCAAATGACAAAATCTGACTTCATCAATCATTATAAGCATTTATTCAAAATAAGCATGAATATATAGGTATGATTTACAATAAAGTCCTTTTATATTGGGTAATTTCATTTGACAGCTTCAGACTTTGCAGAAAACATAATTTATTGCACCTTAAACAGAAGAAAAACAAAAACGCACAGTTTTAAATATGCATTCTCTAACAATCCTTCCCCTTACAAAATTGAGCGTACCATACTGACACATGAAAACAAAAATTATAAGCTTGGACTAAACATGAAACTAAAGGAAAGTTTTTAAAACCAGCATATTTTTTATTTTTTTTTAATATTTTTTGTTGTTGTTGAAAAACCAGATTTTTACTTACATCATAGCTGTGACATTTTCACAAAACGAAACATTTAAATGGCACAGTAAGTTACCAATATAGATATTCCACCAAACAATTACAATATTTTAAGAAATTTCAAGATCTATATCTGTTAACCTTTATAAAATATTACATTCCTCAGTTTTTTTTATCCTAATATAGCTCATTAACTAAAGAACATGGCATTTCATGTATGTCAAATGTGATGTATAAACATGTATAAACAGCATGTACATCATTGATAATGTTTTAATTTTATGCTATAAAATTTTCCAGTTAGGGAGTAATTTAATTAAGCTATAGTCATCAACAGGATACTAAAAAGTAAGCATTAAGACAAACCACAAGTTGAAAGACATTGTGTTTTATAAAAAGAAAAATATAGATATTAATTTAAAAGTAATAAACATATTGTAATAAAAAATTACATAGCTCACCTCAACAAATGTTATAATTTAAGTAAGCCAAAAGTCTTACACTAGAAAGTGTGCATCTATAGAAGCAACATTTTATGCAAGTTTAGTCTGGGTGGGATATGAAGAAAGAAGTAAATAGTTACTTAAGATCCATCATTGCTTTCTGTTATCGTCCATCGTTATGCATTGTTCATCATCCATTAACATTTGAACATTTTCAGCATCTTCTCAGGAACTGCTTGCTGAACTAATTCCAACAAATTTTGGCATACAGCATATATATGAGTGAAGAGGAACAAAAAATGAGAATTTCATGGTCCCTGTCCCCAGACAGATGAGGAGGATACCTATAGTCTTATTTGGTTCTACCAGTAGGGGACTAATAAGTGTATGTTCACTTGGTAAACTCTTCCCGAGTACCATGAGATTTGGTGCCGAGTGAAGCAAGGGACTGAATTGAATGGCGAGGGAAAAAACAACATACTTAGTACATGTTTTACACAAGAAATTGAATTCTTTGTGTTTCTATCTATTTCATCACAACTCTAGTGTGTTTCTTTTTAATTTATCTTGATAAATGTTTTCATTTAATACTAAACATTTTCATGTTTCTTTTTTTCAAATTATATCTATAATTTACTAAACACTGTGATTTCATATTTGTATTTCAATATATACATGTATATATATATATATATATATATATATATATATATATATATATATATATATATATATATATATATATATATATATATTTCCATTTCGATTTGTTTTCTTTGTGATAACTCTTTGAAAGTTAGGAGAGTTGATTTCTTGATCATTCCACTCGAAGGCAAATTTTGCCAAGCGAAAGGTCAGGAGCTAAGAAGGCCTAATATGCATGTAATTCTTGTGCGGCTGTCTTTGTGTCTGACTCTAAGGAGGCCTAATTTGCATGTAAATCTTGTGCGGCTGTCTTTGTGTTTGACGTCAGTGGGCGGGGACTATTGAAATTGACATGTGAGGCCTCATGTAATTTAAATCTATTAATCTACATTTTTAAAATCTAAATTTATAATTTTATTTCACAATGAAATGGAAATATAAGGAATCACTGTCTAGTTAGTAGAGTATGCCAGGAACATCAACGATAGTTGGAAACGTGGGATAATTTATGCATAACGGGCTTTGCCCATTATGCAAATTATCCCACGTTTCCAACTATCGTTGATGCCCTGGCATACTCTACTAACTAGACAGTGATTCCTTATATATATATATATATATATATATATATATATATATATAATATATATATATATAATATATATATATATATATATATATATATATATATATATATATACTACAGTTGAACTTCTGTATCTCAAACAAAGATATCTTGAATACCATGGATATGTTGAAGTCATTTTGAAGTCCCAACTACTTATTCCGAAAGTATTTTACCTTGGATGTCTTGAATCCTCGGTTTTCTCAAAGTATTTTCTCGGTCCCTTCAAGTTAGAGATAACAAGGTTTGACTGTATATTTATATAGAGAGAGAGGGAGAGAGGGAGAGAGATACCGTAGATAGATATATACAGTCAAACCTCATTATCTCGAACTTGATGGGACCGAGAACTAACTTCGAGATATTGGACGATTCGATATATTGAGGGTAAAATACTTTTAAAAGAGAAAAAGTGCTTGGAACTTCCAAATCACTTTGACATATCCATGATATTCAAGATATCCATGTTCGAGATAGCAAAGTTTAACTGTAGATAGGGCTGCACAATAATATCTATATTCCGGTATATTGAGATTCGTTAGCAAAAAATATCGTATTGCGATGCATTTTTTTTCAGTACCAATATACCAGCAAAATACTTGGGTTTTAGATTTCTAAAGTAAAGTGTAAAATTTAATGTCAGAAATGTTTTCAATCGTGCCAGACAGTAAGGTTGTTGTTTTATGGATGAATTTTGTTGCAAAACTGTAGTGAAATCAACAAGGTTTTTTCTTGTGACAACGTAATTATAATACATGTAGTTACATGCATTCTGCTTATAGATAAAGGATTTAAAAAAAAGGAAAAAAAACATCTTAAAAGTCATTGAAAATATTGCGATACTTATCGCAATACAGATAAAAATATTGCAATATATTGCTATACAAAATTTCCAACCAATAGCCAGCCCTAACTGTAGATAATGAATTGATGCTTACAAGAAGTGATTTTCATTCCCCATGGCTTTAGAATATGTTGTTTACTGAACAAATGTAACGAATTATGTTTATAAGTAAGTAAAATCATCCGTCCCTAGCACTTTGTTATAGTAATTTACTGTATTCAAATTCCACTAAAGAGATACTATTTTTACATACTACACACTGGTTTTTAGAACACCATAATTATTTGTAAGACTACTGCATGCATGCATATATAAGTCCATGTATATATATGTTACTAGTAGTCACTGCACATGTTAAATAAATGTGAAATCCATCTTCCACTGATCTACGTTTCTTCATTTTTTAGTTCCTTTTTCTCCATGGTACCTTCATTTATCATTGTAAAATACCTACAATGTATAAATATGATACAATTATTGTGCATCTGAGCTCAGGTGGTCCCCTTCCTTGATATTAGTCTTATATCTTACAAACCTAACTTAAATTCTTGACCATTTAATGTACCCTTAACTGATCTTAACCATCTGCATCCTTTTATCTAATTACTGCAGAGCCATGCTTTTCCAATTTAACCATCTTGCCATGCTTTACTAGTTGTCTAACCTCTTAGTCATACTACATATAATATAGTTGAACTTAGTACAAGGAAGTCACAGAGAACTCAAAATTTGCTTTTTTTAAAACTGAGATTCTTTATATCTATAGAGGGAATATAGTGAAATGTCTTCTACAGGATTTGTAAAGTTTATTACATGTATAACCTAATTTTCCTTATAAGCAAGTTTTCATAACCCAAGTTTTGATGTACATGTATTTGTTGATCCAACTCCTTTCTAGATACCTGTTGATCCATCTTCTTTGTAAAGTATGAGGTACCTATTGATCAAATCTCTTTAGCCATGCTCCTGAGGTACCTGTTGATCTAACTGGTTTAGCCAAGCCTTACTGAAGTCCCTGATTAAACTTCTTTAGCCATCCCTTTCTGAAATACCTGCTAATCTAACCTCTTTTGCCATGCCTTAATGAGTTCGTACTGACCTAACTTCTTTAAACAAACCTTGCTGAGGTACCTGTTGATCTAACTTCACTGAGGTACCTGTTACACTAAATTCTTTAGCCAAGTCTTACTGAAGTACCTGCTGATCCAACTTCTTTAGCCAAGCCTTGCTGGGGTACTTGCTGATCTAACTTCTTTAGCCAAGCCTTCTTGATACTACAGCCTATTGTTAAAATCTCCTTTTGATATCCTTTTGATCTAATCTCTTTAGTCATGCCCTCGTTGATGACAAACTTGAGTTACCTATTGATCAAACTTCTTTAGCTATGACTTACTGAGATAATAGCTGATGATCAAACCTCTTAGCCATGCCTTTCTTTTGTACCTGTTGATTCGACCTCTAAGCCATGCCTTACTTTATAAGCTGTTGATCCAACCTCTTACTTGCATCTTATTAACATACCTCTTGACCCAACCTCTTAGTCATACCTAACTGAAATACCAAGGAATCATTTAAATTTTTGTGGTCAAATTTTGTGAGCAACTGGTTCACGATGAAGTAATTTTGTGGGTAGCTCAAATAAATAGAAGAATCATTGAAACAATACTTGGACAAACTTTGTGGGTATGCATATTCATGTGAAAGGATGACCCAAAAAATCCATAAATATTGGTTCTCCTCCAGGATCAATGATGATTCCAAAGTACTTATTGTCTAACCTACAAATGTTGATCTAACCTCCTTGCCATGCCTTACCTAGATATTTGTTGATCCAGCCAATCTTTGTGTAGTAATTTTTCCCTCCATGACTTGGGGATGGCTTCTAGTCCAAGTTTACATGCTAACATTGCACCAGCCACACAGGCATTGGTATCTGCATCACCTCCCTAAAAGCAAAGTGCATGGTGTTCTGCATACATATTTACACTGCAGGCTTCAAAAGCAGAACATTCAATATATATAAATTGGCATTGTATGTCCTTAATGCATTTTATAAACTCTATGACAAATTCTAAGGAAAAAATTATGACTGATAAATAGCATAAATTAATCCCACCTGGAAAAAAGTACATCTACAGTATCTGTACAGTTGATGTCGCAAAATTTGAAATTTAATATTTTGGAAAAACTTAATGCTGTCTCTTTTTCTAACTTACCTGCAAAACTATTTTGGTAATTGCCTTGCGGAAATCTTTCTGTTTGAGTGCCCAAAAAGCTGAGCCCATAGACTTAAAAGTGTAGCCAATTTTTCCTGCTCCATCAAGTTCAAGTTTCTTTATGTCAGAACATTTCATATACATCAGGAGTTCTTTTTTCTACAGAAAATAATTAAATTATGAAGAACATTTCATATTTGTGGAGAGTTCTTTTTCTTACAGAAAATAAAGTATGGAGATTGATGAAGAGATCTTACAACCCAAATCATCACATATTACACTAGAATTAAGGTCAGCGGTTTGCATCACACACACAATCTAACTGTACATTTGTAATTAAACAAACATATAGTAAGTATAATATCTTCATTTGTATATAAAAGAAAATCTTAAAGAGACTTGCCATTATTTTTGTTGTAAACAATGCAAATATCAAGTTCCAAAAAGTACAAAGAAATTGTAGCTTTTCTTTGATTTTAAAATCCTCACTTCATCCTGTTAACTTATATAATTTTCTAAACCTTTATAGGACATATTAATTGAAAAATCCTGAAAAAAGTTGTACAGCTAAACTTATTCATTTTACTTATACTAGCATACTGGTAGATTAAATACACATTTTTATTTTCATAAATTTTGAAGGAAAAAAGCTTGTTTGTAGCAAGTGGCCTTAAACAACCATTGGAACAGCCTATGATCAGTTCAGTAATAAGCTTAATAGTGTATTCAGTTTGAATAGTAATAAAACTTAAAAAAAAAAAACGAGTGGTCAGCTAAGAAATTTCATACGTATTGAAGGGTGGGGTTGGAAATCAAAATAAAATATGCATTCTATAAAATGCCAGTCTTCAGTGGACAAAGGGTAATCTTACAACAGACGTAATTTGCAGAGAGATCGAGGTGTAAATATAATTAATATAAACTGACAAAAAAGGTAAGGCTTTGCATCCACAGGCAAGGTAATAAATTATAGAAAAAATTTTAAGAAGTCTCTCTTAACCATTCATTCTAATGCATCCCCACCACCCCCACTTATGTTGGTTTGTTCCCGTTTTGCACACATTTGAATTTCGGGTATTGGAAAAAATGTGTGCAAAATGGGAATTTGTCCAGGTAAGATAATTATTTAATTGCTATAGTTCATATCATATAGAAAAATTTTATGATTAATTTTGCATTTGATATTTTTATTTATTTCTGTAATTTCATAAGAAAAGAAAAATATTTTAAAACATAACAAGAGGCCCATGGGCCACATCGCTCACCTGAGCACATTGGCTAGGCAGAAGCACAAATCAGTTCAGTATTGAAAAGATTACCTGGGGTGGGGGGGAAGGGGGGGGGGGCTTGAATTTTAAACTACCTGATGATGCTTCCATGTCAATATAACAAATGGCTTTATTGTACTTGAGAAGATTTTTAAAAAATTTTCCCATATATTCCTTTGTAAAAATTTGATCCTCCATTGTGACTCCTCCCTATCCAAGGGGTCATCATTTGAACTTGAATCTACACTACCTGAGGATGCTTCCATATCAATATGACTAAACATAGCTTTCCTGTTCTTGAGAAGAAATATTTTTTCTATATGTTCTTATGTAAAACTTTCGATCCCCCAGTGGGCCCCATCCAACCCCTGGGGGTCATCATTTGAACAAAATTGAATCTACACTACCTGAGGATGCTTCCATATCAAAATGACTAATCATGGTTTGCAGTTCTTCAGAAGAAGATATTTTCCTATATATTTCTATTTAAGACTTTGATCCTCCATTGTTGCCCCATCCTACCCACCGGGGTCATGATTTGAACAAAATAGAATCTACACTACCTGAGGATGCTTCCACATAAATATGACCAATCATGGCTTTGCTGTTCCTGAAAAGAAGATTTTTAAAATTTTTCCTATACATTTCTATGTAAAACTTTGATCCTCCATTGTGGCCCCGCCCTACCCCCGGGGGTCATGATTTGAATAAATTTGAATCTACACTATCTGTGGATGTTTCCATATAAATATGAACAATCTAGGCTTTGCTGTTCCTGAGAAGAAGATTTTTCCTATATATTTCTATGTACAACTTGGATCCTCCATTGTGGCCACGCCCTACCCCCGGGGGTCATGATTTGAACAAACTTGAATCTACACTACCTGAGGATGCTTCCATATAAATATGACTCATCATGACTTTGTTGTTCTTGAGAAGATTTTTAAAGAATTTTCCTATATATTTCTATGTAAAACTTGGATCCTCCATTGTGGCCACGCCCTACCCCCTGGGGTATTAGTTTGTACAAACTTGAATCTACACTACCTAAGGATGCTTCCATATAAATATGACCAATCATGGCTTTGCTGTTCTTAAGAAGAAGATTTTTAAAGATTTTTCCTATATAATTCTATGTAAAACTTTGATCCTCCATTGTGGCCCCCCCCCCCACCCCCTGGGGTCATGATTTTAACAAACTTGAATCTACACTACCCGAAGATGCTTCCATATAAATATGACTCATCATGACTTTGCTGTTCTTGAGAAGAAGATTTTTAAAGATTTTTCCTATATATTTCTATGTAAAACTTTGGTCCTCCATTGTGGCCACGCCCTACCCCAGGGGGGTCATGGTTTGAACAAACTTGAATCTACACTACCTGAGGATGCTACCACATAAATATGACTCATCATGGCTTTGCTGTTCTTGAGAAGAAGATTTTTAAAGATTTTTCCTATATATTTCTATGTAAAACTTTGATCCTCCATTGTGGCCACGCCCTACCCCCGGGGGTCATGATTTGAACAAACTTGAATCTACACTACCTGAGGATGCTTCCACATAAATATGACTCATCATGGCTTTGCTGTTCTTGAGAAGAAGATTTTTAAAGATTTTTCCTATATATTTCTATGTAAAACTTTGATCTTCCATTGTGGCCACGCCCTACCCCCGGGGGTCATGATTTGAACAAACTTGAATGTACACTACCTGAGGATGCTTCCACATGAGTTTCATCTTTCCTGGCCCTATGGTTCTTGAGAAGAAGATTTTTAAATGTTGCCATTATTTTTTCACCAATTCCTAATTATCTCCCCTTGAAAGAGGGCGTGGCCCTTCATTTGAACAAACTTGAATCCCCTTTACCCAAGGATACTTTGTGGCAAGTTTGGTTGAAATTGGCCCAGTGGTTCTTGAGAAGAAGTTGAAAATGTGAAAAGTTTACAGACAGACAGACAGACAGATGGACAGACAGACAGACGGACAGACAGACGGACGCCGGACAAAATGTGATCAGAAAAGCTCACTTGAGCTTTCAGCTCAGGTGAGCTAAAAAAAATCATAAATACTTATCAAAACTCTAATTATATTCATATGATACTAACTGGACAAGTTCATTTTTTTAAATAATTATGATTTAATTCTTTAAATTTATTCTTTTAAATATATATCATAATGCATTGGTAAAATACAGGTAATTCCAGGTAAATCCAAAATGGAGATCAGACTATAATTGCTATCAAAACATATTTCACACCTATTGTTCTAATTATCGAATGTGTGAAAAATGGGAATTCACACACCTCTTGGTCCTATCTAAAATACATACAGAGTCAAACTTGATATAAAGTATGTCTTATTGCATGTGAAAACAACATACCAAAGTTTAAAGTATCATAGTACAGTCACGGAAAAAGGTACTCTGGTATATAGGAAAAAACATAATATTTTTGAAAATAGACAGCTAAATAATGTACAAATAGGCGGAGTGATTATGAGAGAGCACCCACAGCTCCTTGCTGAGACTTTATAAGACTTCAGAGAGCTCGTGTAAGGTAATATCTTATGTAAGACTTTTCTTTCTTTCTGAAACATAAATCCTGTTATGATGTTAAATGAAATGAAGAAAGAAACTAACATGTTCCTCAGTGACGATGTATTTGACAGCATAGTCGTATGCATCTTTGATGATGAGGCTGATATTGTAATGTCCTGTCTTGTCAATGTGTTTTCTGTTTTTTTGTAACATCATTGCTATGGCAACAGAAACAGCCACAGAGGAAGCCTGACATCTGAAATCCAAACAAAAATCAGCTTTCATAGTTTTATGAATTGTGCAATTTAAATTTTCCATTTATAATTAGTAAAAAAAAAATAAAAACAAATAAACCTCCACATACCAGTGCTATAACTTTATTCAAACTTTTCTGCATGAAATCACTGGTAATAAAACTTTTCCAGTGAAAAAAAATTCAGTGAAAAATACTGATGCCAACCAAACGAAGATACATTTTGATTTATATAAGAAAACTTCCATATTCTTTTATAGTTCTATTGAAATAAAGGACAGACAAACAGACCTGGGATCATAGTGTGTAACCTTGGCTACTTCAGATGCATTTTTTGCCACTTGTTCCAGATCTTCAAATCTATGCACCCCTAAAATAGAAGTCCTCATCACAGCTCCATTTGGTGCCAAGTAACACTGACTCTCTCTCCACACATGCTCAGAGGCCTGGAACAATAAACAAACTCAAAGTACAATTATGATACATGTACCACATGTATTTACCAGTAATAGTAATCCTTTCTTATAAACTATTATTCCCCACCTATATAATAGAATATGAAATCAACATTTTGACTGTAAAGTGTTTTAATATTTTCAACTCCAAAACAAGATACTCAAAGGCCAAAATGCTCATATGAGTGTCATATTTCTATTCCTTTTGATGAAGTATTAATGGAATGTTACAAATTGTAAAAAAGAAAAAGTTTAAAGTTCTTTAGAATTTCAGATTTTCTATCTGGAAACAAAATTTTCAATTATTTGTTGGTGGTCCACCTGGTGGATACATTTTATTAATTATTTCTAGTTTATATCTGGTTATAAGTCAGGGTGTAACTTTAGAGGGTAATCTAATTAAGTTACATACTGCATGTGGATCATCTAAAAAAATTTTCTGGTGGAGGACAGACTGTGTGGTTCGGCCAATCCCCAGCCCCCCAGCGTCCCCTAGCTCTGGTATTCCCTTTAACATCCATTCCTTCAGTCGACCAGCAATGTCTTTACAATTCACCTGGAAATACATCATTTTTATCATAACATACAATGAATCTAAAAAGCATGAAAATTTAGAACACTACATGTATTTGTCATTTCTTCTTAAATCTAAGTTAATTTCAGAATCATTCTGTACAGAATAGTTTGTATTAGAATTACATGTATCCTAAACTGGCATTTTCATTGTTATTAGCCATTGCAAAATCAGGAAAATATGAAACAATTCACAGACATTAATGACCTGCAACTCTGTAGTTACTTACCTTTCCATGATTGACTGCAGGATAGAGATCACAGATCTGAAACACAGTAGTTACTCACCTCTTCATTGTTATCTGAGACTCAGTAGTAGCTCACCTCTCCATTGTTATCTGAGACTCAGTAGTAGCTCACCTCTCCATTGTTATCTGTGACTCAGTAGTAGCTCACCTCTCCATTGTTACCTGTGACTCAGTAGTAGCTCACCTCTCCATCGTTATCTGTGACTCAGTAGTTACACACCTCTCCATTGCTATCTGAGACTCAGTAGATACTCACCTCTCCACTGTTATCTGAGACTCAGTAGTTACTCACCTCTCCATTGTTATCTGTGACTCAGTAGTAGCTCACCTCTCCATCGTTATCTGTGACTCAGTAGTTACACAACTCTCCATTGCTATCTGAGACTCAGTAGTTACACACCTCTCCATTGCTATCTGAGACTCAGTAGTTACTCACCTCTCCATTGTTATCTGAGACTCAGTAGTTACTCACCTCTCCACTGTCATCTGAGACTGAGTAGTAGCTCACCTCTCCATTGTTATCTGTGACTCAGAAGTTACTCACCTCTCCATTGTTATCTGTGACTCAGTAGTTACACACCTCTCCATTGTTATCTGTGACTCAGTAGTTACACACCTCTCCATTGTTATCTGAGACTCAGTAGATACTCACCTCTCCACTGTTATCTGAGACTCAGTAGTTACTCACCTCTCCATTGTTATCTGTGACTCAGTAGTAGCTCACCTCTCCATCGTTATCTGTGACTCAGTAGTTACTCACCTCTCCATTGTTATCTGTGACTCAGTAGTTACACACCTCTCCATTGTTATCTGAGACTCAGTAGTTACTCACCTCTCCATTTTTATCTGTGACTCAGTAGTAGCTCAGCTCTCCATCATTATCTGTGACTCAGTAGTTACACACCTCTCCATTGCTATCTGAGACTCAGTAGTTACACACCTCTCCATTGTTATCTGAGACTCGGTAGTTACTCACCTCTCCATTGTTATCTGAGACTCAGTTGTAGCTCACTTCTCCATTGTTATCTGTGACTCAGTAGTAGCTCACCTCTCCATTGTTATCTGTGACTCAGTAGTAGCTCACCTCTCCATTGTTATCCATGATGGATTGTAGGATGAGGATCATTTGATCCGAGTCATCAGTCCAATCCCCCTCTTTCCAACGCGCTCTATGAAAATCATCAACAATGACTTTGTGTTGGTATTCCAAATTTTCTTTCAATGTTCCATAATACTGAAAGCATGTTTACAAATTTAATTAACTATTTCAAAAAATGTTCTTTTGCTCAAACAAAAACGAAATGGTTTTTCCCTTGACTTGATGATCACTTGCATATTCTCTAACCTCAGCCTGCCTGTAATTCCAAATCATTGACCATTATGCCAAATTAGACAACATTGTAGTTCCAAATAATACTGTGACTACTGAGAGGTTGTTGGATTTATGTTAAAATTCAAATAATATGTAATTAGTACAAGTTTCAACTCACTTGTTTAGCTTCTTGTTTGGTTAAGAATTCCGTCAACAGTCCAATGGCATCACCCACACACTGGCCATAAATTACTGCCTGAATCTGATGTTGTACCTCAGAACTCAGAACCTATGAACATGTACCTGGGTATGTAGTAAAAATGTTTATCCAAAATTCTTCAAATACTTTTATGCCTTATCCTATTCATGGAATTACAAAAATTGATTGTGTTTCTATGTCTCGGCCACAAAGTAGGTGGGACATTAATAAAATGTGAATTTTTGTTCACCATTCTGTGCTTATATCATGCAACACTTATAACACCAATTAACTTTAAATTTCTTGCTATTTACTGAGAGATATTGAGCTGAATTTTCAAAAGTATAATCTGACTTCAATTACACCTATAAACATGCAAAGTTTGAAGTAATCTAATACTTCCCTGTTTCACTGTTCACAAGAAATTTCAACAAACGTTTAGGAAAAAACTGGGTCCTGGGCATAAAAAGTCAACTAGAATTTTCTGGATGAATTGCAATAGTACTGTATATCTTACAATTATGATGTTACAAGATTTATTGCAATTAGAATAAAACTGAAGGAGAAGTAGCCTTTTAAAATAATTTTACATAAATTTTGATTTAAGTAACCATGGCAACATCATTCAACAAAATCAAAAAGCAATAATGGCAATTATGTATCTCAGTGAGTCTATTTGTATGCCAAGTTGTACTGAAATCAGACAAAACACGTAGGAGGAGTATTGTTTTGAAAGTATTTCAAAAAAATTCTATTTTTAGTAACCATGGCAACACCGTTCATTAAAATCCAAAACTGGTATAGAGGATTATGTATCTTATGCCTTGTTCACACGGAGAGTTTAATTCACAGTAAATTAATGTGAAGCAAAATAATGCAAATTAAATTGCGTTCACACGACAGCTAATGCAAAGTAAACTAATGCGAATTAAAATTCTATTTCTACAGTAAGGCTATTCAGTAAGGCTAATATGACATCATTTTCAAATCATGTCACCATATGCAGAGCAGACCCATATGACATTCTGTCATAGTGTCTATACACAGTTCAGTGATTAACATATTTTTTCTTTGTTTTTCATTAAAAAATAGCATAAGTACCTATATCTGACCACCAACATGTGGCATGTGACTTTATTCTGCCCTTATGCATGCATCAAAATTTAATTCGAATTAGCTTCGCTTAGCGTTCACACAGAGCTAATGCGAAGTAATTTAATGCGCAGTAAATTAATTCAAATAAAACTTATTCGCATTAAATTCCCCGTGTGAACGTGGTTTCAAATTTAATTCGCAGTAACTTACATTTAATTCAAATTAAATTCTCCGTGTGAACAGGGCATTAGTGTAGTCTACTTGTGTGTCAAGTTATACTAAAATCAGACCAAAACTGTAGGAGGAGTAGCATTTTGAAAGTATTACAAGGAAATTTCTAATTTTAGTAACCATGGCAACACCGTTCATTGAAATCAAAAACAAATACACAAAATTATGTATCTTAGTATAGTCTACTTGTGTGCTATGTTATAATGCAATCAGACCAAAACTGTAGGAGGAGTAGCATTTTGAAAGTTTTTCACAGAAATTTCTATTTTTAGTAACCATGGCAACACCGTTCATTGAAATCAAACATAGGTAATCAGAGATTACAGAGCTCACCTCAACAAATGTTGTCTTTAAGTAAGGCAAAGTCCCACACTAAACTAATAATCTAGGAGTGTGCATCCCTAGATGCAACATTATGCAATTTTGGTCTGATAGGGCTTGCAGTTACTTGGTAATAGACTTATCTGAAAACTTAAAATTAGTCACTCATCCAGAAAATGTAAGTCAAATCTAGCATCCGAAGCAAGTTTGAGATTGTTCGTCCCTTGATTCAGATAGGCCTTATAGTTACTTGGAAATGACATCTGTTCCAAAAACTTTAACCTGGTCACTTATCCGGAAAATGTAGGTCAGATCCAGCATCCGAAACAAATCCAGTAGTGTGAATCCTTAAATGTATCATCCATGCAAGTTTGGTCAATATAGGGCTTATAGTTACTTGGAAATGAGATCTACTCCAAAAACCTTAACCTGGTCACTCATCCAAAAAATATACGTCAGATCCAGCTTCCGAAGCAAGTCCAGTAGTGTGAATCCTTAGATGTATCATCCATGCAAGTTTGGTCAATATAGGGCTTATAGTTACTTGGAAATGAGATCTACTCCAAAAACTTTAACCTGGTCACTTATCCGGAAAATGTAGGTCAGATACAGCATCCCAAGCAAGTCCAGTAGTGTGAATCCTTAGATGTATCATCCATGCAAGTTTAGTCAATATAGGGCTTATAGTTACTTGGAAATGAGATCTACTCCAAAAACATTAACCCGGTTACTCATCCGGAAAATATAGGTCAGATCAAGCATCCGAAGCAAGTCCAGTAGTGTACATCCTTTGATGTATCATCCATGCAAGTTTGGTCAATATAGGGTTTATTGATACTTGGAAATGACATCTGCTCCAAAAACTTTAACCTGGTCACTCATCCAGAAAATATAGGTCAGATCAAGCATCCGAAGCAAGTCCAGTAGTGTGCATCCTTAGATGTATCATCCATGCAAGTTTGGTCAATATAGGGCTTATAGTTACTTGGAAATGAGATCTACATTGTACTCCAAAAAATTTAACCTGGTCACTCATCCGGAAAATGCAAGTCAGATCCAGCATCCGAAGCAAGTTCAGTTGTGTGCATCCTTAGATGTATCATCCATGCAAGTTTGGTCAATATAGGGCTTATAGTTACTTGGAAATGAGACCTGCTCCAAAAACTTTAACCTGCTCCAGAAACTTTAATCTTCTCCAAAAACATTAACCTGGTCATTCTTTAGCTGAAATTGCAGCATCTGAAACCTTGACTGGTACAATGAAACACACTAGCATCCTCCATGCATCTCTGACTAATATAGGTCATAGAAGTATTTGAAAAGAAAACTGCTCCAAAAACCTTAACCTGGGACGCTGACGCCAACGCCGGGGGTATTACATAAGCTCCCCCAACTTCATTGAGGTGAGCTAAAAACCGATACCGTCATAGAATTATGTATCTTAGTATAGTCTACTTGTGTGCCAAGTTATACTGATATCAGACCAAAACTGTAGGAAGAGTAGCATTTTGAATATATTTCACAGATTGCAAAACCGTTCATCGGAATCAAAAACCAATATACAGAATTATGTATCTTAAATTAGTCAAATCGTGTGCCAAATTATATTGAAATCAGGCCAAAACTGAGGAGCAGTAGCATTTTGAAAGTATTTTATAGAAATTTCTATTTTTAGTAACCATAGAAACACTGTTCACCAAAATCAACAAGAGGCCCATGGGCCACATCGCTCACCTGAGCACATTGGCTAGGCAAAAGCACAAATCAGTTCAGTATTGAAAAGATTACCTGGGGGTGGGGGGAGGGGGGGGCTTGAATTTTAAACTACCTGATGATGCTTCCATGTCAATATAACAAATGGCTTTATTGTACTTGAGAAGATTTTTAAAAAATGTTCCCATATATTCCTTTGTAAAAATTTGATCCTCCATTGTGGCTCCTCCCTATCCCAGGGGTCATCATTTGAACTTGAATCTACACTACCTGAGGATGCTTCCATATTAATATGACTAAACATAGCTTTCCTGTTCTTGAGAAGAAATATTTTTTCTATATGTTCTTATATAAAACTTTCGATCCCTCAATGGGACCCATCCAACCCCTGGGGGTCATCATTTGAACAAAATTGAATCTACACTTATTATTAGTCTACCTGAGGATGCTTCCATATCAAAATGACTAATCATGGTTTGCAGTTCTTCAGAAGAAGATATTTTCCTATATATTTCTATTTAAGACTTTGATCCTCCATTGTGGCCCAATCCTACCCTACGGGGTCATGATTTGAACAAAATAGAATCTGCACTACCTGAGGATGCTTCCACATAAATATGACCAATCAGAGCTTTGCTGTTCCTGAGAAGAAGATTTTTAAAATTTTTCCTATACATTTCTGTGTAAAACTTTGATCCTCCATTGTTGCCCCGCCCTACCCCGGGGGTCATGATTTGAATAAATTTGAATCTACACTACCTGTGGATGTTTCCATATAAATATGAACAATCTGGGCTTTGCTGTTCCTGAGAAGAAGATTTTTCCTATATATTTCTATGTACAACTTTGATAGTCCATTGCGGCCCTGCCCTACCCCCAGTGGTCGTGATTTGAACAAACTTGAATCTACACTACCTGAGGATGCTTCCATATAAATATGACTCATCATGGCTTTGCTGTTCTTGAGAAGAAGATTTTTAAAGATTTTTCCTATATATATATTTCTATATAAAACTTTGATCCTCGTGGCCACGCCCTACCCCTGGGGTCATGATTTGAACAAATTTGAATGTACACTACCTGAGGATGCTTCCGTATAAATATGACTCATCATGACTTTATTGTTCTTGAGAAGAAGATTTATAAAGATTTTTCCTATATATTTCTATGTAAAACTTTGATCCTCCATTGTGGCCCCGCCCTACCCCGGGGGTCATAGTTTGTACAAACTTGAATCTACACTACCTGAGGATGCTTCCATATAAATATGACTCATCATGGCTTTGCTGTTCTTGAAAAGAAGATTTTTAAAGTTTTTTCCTTTATATTTCTATGTAAAACTTTGATCCTCCATTGTGCCCCCCCCCCTACCCCAAGGGGTCATGATTTTAACAAACTTGAATCTACACTACCCGAAGATGCTTCCATATAAATATGACTCATCATGACTTTGCTGTTCTTGAAAAGAAGATTTTTAGAGATTTTTCCTATATATTTCTATGTAAAACTTTGATCCTCCATTGTGGCCACGCCCTACCCCCGGGGGTCATGGTTTGAAGAAACTTGAATCTACACTACCTGAGGATGCTTCCATATAAATATGACTCATCATGACTTTGCTGTTCTTGAAAAGAAGATTTTTAAAGATTTTTCCTATATATTTCTAAGTAAAACTTTTATCCTCCATTGTGGCACCGCCCTACCCCCGGGGGTCATGGTTTGAACAAACTTGAATCTACACTACCTGAGGATGCTTCCACATAAATATGACTCATCATGGCTTTGTTGTTCTTGAGAAGAAGATTTTTAAAGATTTTTCCTATATATTTCTATGTAAAACTTTGATCCTCCATTGTGGCCCCGCTCTACCCCCGGGGTCATGATTTGAACAAATTTGAATGTACACTACCTGAGGATGCTTCCACATGAGTTTCATCTTTCCTGGCCCTATGGTTCTTGAGAAGAAGATTTTTAAATGTTGCCATTATTTTTTCACTAATTCCTAATTATCTCCCCTTGAAAGAGGGCGTGGCCCTTCATTTGAACAAATTTGAATCCCCTTTACCCAAGGATACTTTGTGGCAAGTTTGGTTGAAATTGGCCTAGTGGTTCTTGAGAAGAAGTCGAAAATGTGAAAAGTTTACAGACGGACAGACAGACAGACAGACGGACGCCGGACAAAATGTGATAAGAAAAGCTCACTTGAGCTTTCAGCTCAGGTGAGCTAAAAACCGATACACAGAAATATGTATCTTAGTCTACTACTGCCATATAATATTGAAATCAGACCAAAATTGTAGGAAGAGTAACATTTTGAAAGTATTTCACAGAAATTTCTATTTTTAGTAACCATGGCAACACCGTTCACTGAAATCAAAAACAGATGTACGGAATTATGTATCTTAGTGTAGAGTACTTGTGTGACAAGTTATACTGAAATCAGACTGAAACTGTAGGAGGAGTAGCATTTTGAAAAATTGTTTACAGACAGACAGACAGCTAGACAGATGGACAACTTACTATTGCATAAGCTCTTCTGGTCTCTGACCAGTAGAGCTAAAAAAAAAAACATAAGGAAGACCGTTCAAATGCTTAACATTATTTCATATATGCTATATCTTTAATCTTGTAATGTATTGCATTATCAGATTGAATGAGGTGCAGTGTTTTCCCAGCCACACTTCAATTGATATAAATGCCACTTAGAAATCAAAATTCAAAAAATAAATGTTATAAAGTCCACAGAGATTTTATTCATAAACCTCAACCCCTAGCCTGTTACAATTGATCCCAAACCCTTTACTTTGAAATAAAGGAAAAACACTGGAGGTGCTCTAATGTGTGCCTTTTTGGGCATCTGTATCCTGTGAAATGAACTTATTAATAAAGTTATCTGCATGTTATAGGAGGAATTTTTTAAAAATCTGTTTAACAAATAAAATATTCTTTTATAGAAACATACTAATGCTGATATTCCTTTATAAATATAACTGTTGTTCTTAAGATCTTTTTTCACTTCTGTAAAAGTTCATTAACTTAATTAATTTTAATTTTCTTGTATCAAATTTTGTGGTATTGTCTAAATTGGGAAGTGTAGATGATGAAACTCATTTTTTGATAACATGTAAAAAAAAAATATGATCATCAAAGAAATTTTTCAGTCAATTAAAAGTTTATTTCCAAATTTCTTGGCGTTAGATGATGAACAAAAACTTTTTTAGGTTACTCAATACTGAGGACAAAGAAACTCTTAATTTTGTGGGCAAATTCATAAGTGATAACATGTTGCAGTAGCCATACACTTTTATATATAGTATTCCCATTAACTGAAATAGTACAATATTATTGTTGAAATGGGCAATGTCATTTACAAATTCGCATATCTTTCCCTTATTATTGTAATAACTTCATACTTGTCTGTTACATGTGTTATGGGCTCTATAAAATTAGAAAATAAAATGTTCTGTTCTGTATCTGCCCTATCATTTTTATTAATAATAATATTTTTTTTAAAAGATGCCAACAGTTGTGATAAATACAATGTGTGTGCGTGTGCATGTGAGAGAGAGGGAGAGAGAGAGACTCACCATAGACTTTGCTGTCGCCATCGAGTTTAAAACAGGTTGCGCTTCCAATTGTGATTGGAAATTCATATAACTAATTTATCAACACGTGTATGTTGTACATACTAAATCGGTGGGGTTCCTAAATCGGTTGGTATTTCCCGTTGGGCAAGCACTAAAAATAGTCATTACACCAGTTGTAGACCGGCCTCGCCTGTCTGATATGCGCGATATACAGTAGATAGAGGCAGGCATTACCAATCTACATTATGAGATGAAAGTAAAATAACAGATTTTGACATAGAATTTCCTCTACTGTGGTTGATTTTATCCTTGCTAGATTAAATTTGTTTTTCCTCAACCCCACCCTCTTTCAAAAACTTGTTTTTAATGAACATTTTTCTGAATAACGATCCCGAATTTCATATTATTTCAATAAATCTTGAAGAGATAAGAATGCCACCATTTTCTTATGAACGGATTTGAAATATTGACAATCAATTTGCAATTTTTAGGATATTCTATTACTAGTATTTTATGTCTAACACAATAATGACTCTGCATGGTGTTTTGTTTACATTGACAAATTTGCGGAATGCTGAGCCCGAATTAATAATGTTCAAAATATATGATGTATATATATATTCCAACTTTTAGGATTTTTTTTTTTCATCTCATGTTTACTTGAGAAATTCAAACTATAATATTTTTTTACAAACAGGGCATAAGAAGTCAGTTTACATCATTTTATTAGATAATTTGATTTGTGTGATAACGCCCGAGTATTTCCGAGAGGTCACAAAAGCGTCTTTGACAACATGACGTGCCCATGAAATGACCTACAGTGATGACTGATTTGCCATAACTTTACCGCAGGATTGTAAAGAAAATTCTGAATGAAGAGAATAAGGTAAGGTATGTTTTTTTGTCATTTTAAAGGAAAATCGTTGAGTAACATTTGCGAGAAAATCTCTTTTGCGATAAAACCGCGTGACGTATGGTGGCAATTTCGCGCGCGGATCTAACTTTATATTAAATCTAACAGTGCACAATGCTGCATTTGTCTTATTTTTCGATTATTTCATAAAGTCGTTAGAATATATTATAAACTGAGATATATTTAATGCATAATACGTGTATGGATTAAACTTAGCTGTAATTTTACGATGTATTTTTAATTTAAGCATGTTTAACTACAAATTTAACGTTAGTCTTAGTTCTAAGTAGTTTAGTACCCGTTGAACTTGTGCTCGACATAAGGAAAACTATCCAAATTTATCCAAGGTTTCGCTGAAATGTATTTTAGAAGCAAAACAATATTACATATTGAAGAATTAATGATTAAATCTTCTTTGTCCTATCTTATGACATGAAATGAAGTTTGCTTCCAATTCATCACACATCTAATTGATAACGATTAATTTGTACAATTCGTAGAACTTATTAAAGGCATTCGATATTTTTAAAGGAGGGGTAATTAACATTTATCAATCAGTGTTTCCCTGTTTTACCCCGGCACGCTTGGAGAAAGGTAACCCCCCCCCCCTTCCCCCTACACACACACACATCCTTCCCCATTCACGCCACGATTTATTTTTTCATATAATTATTCTTCAACAAGTAAAATTATATGCACTGCTTTAAAAGAAATTAAAAATTAATTCAAAACTAACGATAGTTTAAAAAAAAACTGACTGCATACATATTAATTTCTGAGGCTTCTCGTATGCATCACACTGGAAGGATCACCATGATTATATAACTAAAAACGGAGAGAAAAAACCCAGCACATAACATTTCTCTTCCTATCCTTAATGCTCCTGTTTTAGGAGTCTATTTTTGTATATATGAAGAAAAAGGATGTATGTGTATATATATAGAACTGTAAATCTGATAGGCTACCTCATAAAATCAGAAACCTTTTAAATATTGATTTTACAGCAATTCTATATAAAAATGTAGTTTAATATGGATATTTATTATTATTAAATTCTCTTTTTATTCTCTAGCTTATTTGGCGTTTTAACATTATACAATGACGACGTCAATAAGGTCATAAAAAAAAATTAAGGTATTTTTTATCTAATATCAATAATTCTTTATTAAACAACTTTAAGCCATACGCCCCCATCAGCATACACAAAATTAACATAATTATGCACGCATGGCGAGAGTCTACATGGGGTGGAACCCCTAGTGTCCATCTGTCCGACTCCTCAACACCAACAATTACAGTAAGCATTATAAAAAAATATCTATACATAATATACATATGAATTAAATTATTCATCATTTCTTAATATCATTGCATGAAAAATGAATTTCCCTAATCCAACTAAAACGCCAACATCATGAGAACTGAGTAGCTGAGTAAGCTTGTACATATTTGGAGATCTGAAGTAATATGGTTTGATATATTTTCTTATTTTTTATCCTTTCCCCTCTCTTCCTTATCCGTTTAGAGCAATGGGGATTCTGGTTTCTTTCAATATATATATATATATATATATATATATATATATATATATATATATATATATATATATATATATATATATATATATATATATATATATATATATATATATATATATATTAGGGATGTCAACGAATAGTCGACTATTCGACCATCAGTCGAATGGACCGACGATCGAATAATGAAACGACATTCGAATATTATTATAATTTAAAAAATGCAATAAAAGAGTGATAACGAGATGGAATTCTCATTACTAAATTGAGAAAACTTCTTTCCTCAGAGACAGTCGATAATTTTCCTCCACAAAAAACAATTGACTACCATGTACGTATAGAAAGTACCTTAAAATATATGTGCTTCACTACTACTAGAATTATTTGTCAGTAACTGCTGGTGTTGTTTTTGTAATAAATTACCCACCCCAAATACTGGGCTTTGTTTGTAAATTTATTAATTGGACTTTTGTTATCTTTCTTCGATAATTTTTAAAACAATTCGCTTACTTTATAAACTGTTTAATAACAATTTGATAGCCGGAGCAATCAATAATTGAATAAGCATTATCTAACTGTTTACAATTTCACGAGCACCGTGTGAGATCCCCCCTCCCATTTATTTCTTAATAAGCTTTAAAAATATCGACTGCCAATTTTTTAATGCTTACTAAATAAATACTGACTGCATGTACTGACCGATTTATGAATTCGATTGACGGGGAAATCATACATTTTGGAGAATTAGGAATCTAAATTTATTTCATATGTTACTTTTTAGATTTAACATAAATGTTTCTGACATCCTGTACGTCCTGTACCAGTGAAGTTTGAAATAAAATTTTATTTTAAGAAAATGTTCCGAATATTCGACTATCGTTCGAATAACGCAACTGAATAATCGACTAAGGAAAATAATTATTTTGACATCTCTAATATATATATATATATATATATATATATATATATATATATATATATATATATATATATATATATATATATATATATATATATATATATATATATATATATTACAGATACGTGATGCCTTAGATGTCAATGTCAACACACGTTGTGAATTGTAAGATGTAAGAATGACCTCGGATGCCATAAAGAATGTGGGTTTATCATCCCCAGGTGCTGAGAGAGAGAAGTTAAACAAACTACTCAAAATCTTTGATGATAAAGGATTCAACTTAGAGGACTCTAAAGTAGGTCAATCAATGTTTCTATTTAGTCAGCAAGAAAAAAATATCTCTGACCATCCATTACCGTAGGCCTACATGTGAACGATCATGTCTTATTCTGAACGAAGTTGCAGTTATTAATAATGATGAAGAATTATACTTACATTCCTGTATAAGCTTTTACGATATGTCAATCCAATGTTTTGTTAAACTCAATAAATTCATGTTCAGATAAGAACTTACTAAATTTTGTTTGCTAGAAAATTTTGTATGAAAGGTAGGCCAAGTAGATTATGTTAAAAATTAGCTGCAGAACTGTAGCGTTATGGTTTTATTTTTTTGTCTTTGACCATAACGCTACAGATCCCGTAATGTAAATGAAGTGCAATTTTCGGCGCAAGATTTTCTGCGCACTTTGGGGATGTATTTCGCCACTTTTTAGCTCTGGTCAATCAACGATCTTTCATCCCCTAATTCTAGACATATTCTATAACCAGCCTGTATATTTTATCCACCTCCTAACCGTTTACAGTCGTCTCTACAGACCAATAAACTCGCTTGTTGTGAATTTGTTGTCGGATGGCATAACAAGTCTATTGGTCTGTAGAGACGACTTAGGAGGTGGATAAAATATATACAGGTTGCTTATAGAATGGAGGTGGATAAATTTAAAGGTTGCTTATAGAATATGTTTAGATTGGGGGATGAAAGGTCGTTGATTGACCAATGCTGAAAAGTGGCGAAATACATCCCCAAAGTGCGCAGAAAATCTTTCGCCGTAAATTGCACTTTATATACATTACGGGATCTGTAGCGTTATGGTCAAAGACTAAAATATAAAACCATAAAGCTACAGTTCTGCAGCTAGTTAAAATAGTCTAAAAAGTATTGGGTCTTTGTAGGATGTAAATCCTCTACCATATGTAAAAAAAAAGGGGGGGAGGGGGTAAAAGTAGACAACAGTTTAGGTTTGAAAATAAGGAATTTACCCTTGCCCTTTGCGAAAAACGATGATGGCAGAATTGAGAGAAGTCTGTAGAATCTTTTTGTACTTAAACCTAAATGTTTCCATAGCTAGGGAATTGTGGTTGCTTAATTTCACCTGCCGTCATCCCCCCCCCCCTCCCACCCCGGGGAAATATTAACTTGACTTTTAATATTGAATTTTGTAAATTTTAATTACTTAAGATGACATTTGTACAAGATGAACATATATTATCAATATTTAGAATACAATAGAATAAATTTCTAACCCAATTTTCAATAAATTATCAGTGATGTCTTTACTTAGCGTTGTCAATCCTCCTGTAGTAGAAAATATGAAAAACAAATCAGTATTTTTTTAAAGGGAGACTTAATTTAAAAAAAAAATTCGTTGAATGTGTTGGTGTATTTTAGTTTCATTGTTGTGCATTAATAATACCATTTCACTTTAAATAAATATTTTCTTTGCAGATATCATTACAGGAGAAAATTTTGACTATATATATATATATATAATCTTTTAACCAGAAAATGTGTTACGCTTCAATGTGTATATCAAAAGCAACTCATACTACTAATATTGGAATCATATATGTTGTTAGGCTATTGAATCAATCAGTTAAAAGGCTGGGTTTTTTTTTCTACTTTCATTTTAATATTTGTCAAATTTTGAGATCAAACATTTTCAATTGAACAAATTTGACTCAAACTTACAGGACGTAAAGTGTGTACGTATGCTTTTTATTATTGAATATTGCACCCACATTCTTATTAACTTCACAAATAATATTTTTCTCTATTTTTTGTTTGTTTTATACATTATCATCTACCTTATAGATTTGAAAATTATTTTTCATTGATCACTGTACATGTGTTATTACAACTTGAGTTTGTTTACCCCAACATCTCTTGCAAGAATTTTTTGTTTCTATAAAAGTCTGTCGATATTTTATATTTATATATATATATATATATATATATATATATATATATATATATATATATATATATATATATATATATATATATATATATATATATATATTATATATATAGCTGAATGGCCAAGACTCCTTATCACTTTTTAAAACAACGATTTACATGTATTTAGTCAAGCGTACGGTTTTTTGTCTTATTTCGAATATAAGGATCATTTGTACTTAAAAACTAGACTATCTGTCCATTGACAAAGTGCAAATAGTTCACCCAAGCTCTTTATGAAAAACAATGGTTCTATACAGCCAAATCATATTAATTCTTCTCCAAGTTTCTGGTGGTATTGATTAAAACTTAAGCAATAAAATGGTCTTGTATTCTAGCAGGAAGATTAAAAGGTAATAAAGCTGCAGTATCAGAGACCTGACTTGATATAATTCAGCTTTTGTAGAAATCACTTGATATTACCCCGAGTCAAGAGTGCTCAGCAAACGGAAGATAGCAGAAATCGATGAACCCTGCCTCCTTAAACTCAGATCTAAAAGGTGTCGATTTTCACCCCAACCTGCGAAAACACCGATTAATCAATTAATAGTTGCAGAATTTAAACAATTCTGAAAATATCATAATATACTGCTCATTATTACCGTAAAATAATTTGATACACTTTATGTAATCAATATTGTGTTCGTACTAAAATTTTATTACGCAAAGTCTAATTAATTTAACATGCACGCCTTTCTTATCTCTTTGAAAACTATTATCTCTGCTTGTGTGCTTTGGAAATCAAAAATTTCAATATTTATTTTGCCAGTCAATCAGATATAGTTGTTAAGGATATTGTGCAACGAAGCATAAAAACCAAAGATAACTTCAAAACTCTGCAATATTTTAATTTGAGATACTTTGATGTAATATTACAAAAAAATCATATTCATACAGTATAGTTAAAAAAAAGGTTTTCGGTATCTATTTCAAAAGTGAATATCTCAACGATGTATGGAGGACAAAATAATACTCTTTTCCAAAGAATTCACAAACTTTATACATGTATGTTAATTTCAATTTTTCAAGGAGGGGTTTGGTACTGTATTAAATTCTATATCTGTACCTATTTTACCAGTATTTTAAAAAAAAACACGATAGACGGGTGGCAATGTTCGGAAGTTTATATCACTATGGATATGGTAGACGTGTAACTGTAAATAGTACTTTGTGTTAGATGGCGATAAGCTGAATAATATAAGATCGAGATTGCAATATGCATAAATTACTCCCAATCATTGCGTTAAAAAGAATTTTTTTTAAAAATTCCATTTTCTGGTGATCTTAATTCACAGAGACGTGTTCGATTCAACAGTCCTGCAGACGACAATGAAAAGGCGCCTAAACTTACTCAGAGAGTGAAGACATTCTACGTTGAGTCATGGCCAGAAGTTCAGCTCAATAAAGGTAGGTATATGGGAGAGAGAGAGAGAGAGTTTGTATGCGTAAAATTAAAGAGAACTTTATTCAGAAAGTCATTATTAAAGATTTTCCCTATCTCTGCTATGAAAGGAGCGACAGAAAAGGCTCCGAAATAGCTGCTCAACAGAAAAAAAGTGCTTGATACAGAGAAACATATGCAACGATTGTACAGGTAATTGAACACACAGAGTCTCGAGCGGAGCCTATATAATTTTTAGACACTTTCATGGCATTTACTTTTTTCTCTCCATTTTCCACTTGCACTAAACGGCATCATTTAGCAAATTACATACCTGCAAAACAAATATTATGCCGTTTTAAATAAATCTTTTTGGTTACATAATTATATAGAAAGACATAAATTTTGTATATCGTAAACGCTTGTGTTTTATGATATGAAGTATTGACATTTCTATTTTTTATTTTTTCTAAAAATCATTTCGGCACTTGATCGCTCATAAAATGAAATGAATTTTAAACAATTTATTATTGTACATAAAACAAACATTAGTCTTTGCAGAATGAAATGAACAAAAACCATACCATTACTATAAAAAACTACGCAAATACTTGTAACAAATAGCCGGGGAAGTTTGTCAATATTCTAATCTATATAATACCTTGTAAAAGTACCATTTGTGCAATTGACAGGATAAGATTGATAAATTGAAATTGCGCTCTTTACTCTGTCTTCATGAAGTATTGGATATTTTCCCTATTGGAGAAATAATATCATCAGTAGTTTTTAATGCTGGATCCAATCGTGCGAGATTGACGCGATTTCCTTTCTTTCAGAGAAAGGATAGACTTCAGTCTAATATTTTGTAAATTGCGTAAATAATTTAAATAGATAATTTCCTCTGATTTGTTGATTCATGTCCGACTTGCTCTAGTGGTTTCATCATTAAAATGTATCGGAATTTACTACAGTATCTTCCATTATTTTAATTGAAATTCATAGATTGACTTTTATTATGGCGCACAGTGGAGTCATATCTGTTTGTATTGGTAGTATACATATATGTAACTAACGAAGGAAAATCAACAATTATGGAAATTTCGTTAATTCTACCCACAGATGGAAGTTTAGTTCGCCCCAGATCGGGACGAAATTTAGGTGGGACGCCAATAACGGTTCACACAGCAACGGTAAGATTGTTTAAAAATAAGTTTCAATTATAATAAAAATAATTTTAAAATATGATATATATTGAGATACTCATGATAATTCGTCTTTACGAAAAACATATTTTTTCCTAAGCGCAATTTTAACAAATCAAATATGCAAACAACATGCACATTGTCATAATTTGTGTTGATTTTAATTTAAAATAGGAAAACAATTTTAGACTTGAAATTAAATTATTTTCCAGTTGGTTAGAGAAATCCTTCACGGCTCGACAGTCCACTCATTTTGTAGAGAATGGAAGAAGTCGTCGTTCACTTTCCAGGACCCCACAAGTCCCTACCCCTGGGGATTACAAACACAGAGGGTGATTTGGCATTTCACTATCTAATCCAATGTCTTATAAAAATGTAATATGCTGCATTGTATAGAATTATTTGATCAAAGTGCCTGGTGTATAGTACAGTTTATCTGTGAACATTTTAAAACGACTTAAAATTATTATATGAATACTGTACCATTGCAAAACTTGATTTAGAGTGTAGTTTATGGACTTGAAAATTCGTTTGGAATATTTAAGGTAAATATTATGGACATTTATTATCATTAAAATATGCTGCTGTGTTAGTACACGAATTTCTTCATTGCTTACAACTGTAGTGTAATTTTTTTTTTAAAAAGTGCTTATTGCTATAAACGCAATGACGCATCCAATATTAGTGTATATTTATTTACCAAAATCTCATCTTCAACAAAGCTTAGTTCAACTTTCAGTATAATTCATCCTTTTAAAAATTAGATCTATTCATGAGACTCTAAAAAAAAACTTGTAATTTTTATGTAGGTTTTTACTGGTTGATTGAATATAAAAAAGGCTATGAAATTAGCTTTTTATGGATGCATCATTAATAAGAAACTATTTTGCAAAATTGCAACCTGGGTAGAAAACTTAAACTGTAAACTTCCTTGCTATTTTCTACCCCTGTCTTTTGATGCTGAAATCAACCGTTTTATGATCATTAAATCGTTATGGTTCCTACATAGTTACTATATTTAATGTCCGGGATCACTGCTTGCGTCAGCGAACAACTCTGTAATTGAGTAATTATTAAAAAAGACTTTACAATAAAAACTACAAATAGTGCTTATGATAACAAAGAAAGTTGCAGAGTTTCCTTAAACAATATCTATTTTCAAGTTGCGAAAATACCATAGAAACACCAGGTAATTTATTCAATTTACTTCCAGTGAAGTTCCCAAGCATTTAGGGATATCCGCTCCTCAGTCAGGAAGGATAACTCTAAAAATTATGATTTAATTTTAAAAAAGTCTCAAAATGAAGCTTGAAATTGAAATAATTTTCATTTCATGCATCTCAATATGATTCAAGGTTCTTTGAAGTCTTAGAAAAAGTACTGTTAAAAGTTGACACTTGTACCCCATAAAAGTACAAAAATGAATATATAATTTTAAAAAAAATCGAATTTCATTTAATTAAGCCTTAGGTACCAATGCTTATTAGTATGATATAAAATAAGAAGTGATCTGTGATGTATTGCAATGATAATAGATTGAAGCCTTTTTCACTATGTTTTATATAGCAATTTAAGTAAATAGAAGTAAACGAAATACGATATAAAAAACATGCAATTTTCTCCGAATGTCTGGATACCTATAATTTAAAATCCTTATATTCATTTGTGTATTAATTTTCAATTAGAAAATGCATAGCTGGTGCTTCAACTCGCGTGTCCTGAAAATATATTTAAGATTTGATAATTTTCCCTATATAATATGATCAAATATAAAAGATACTTAGTAAAATCGTATTCAGATCTATATACTTTTTCTGAACGATCAAGAACAGCTATTTTAATTTTTTTTTTCAGTGCGGATCGCGAGGTCTAATTTTAGCTGTACAGGCTTACGTCATAAAGCAGCTGCTCTTCGACAGAGAATATGTTTCAAACATTCTTGCACAAAGGTATATGTCAATTCCTCGATACCCAAGGAAGAGAATAATAAAACAGAAAGCTAACAAGTAATTTCAGAAAATTGTAGTGCTCCGCTTTCGGGGTCTTGTTGGTCAGGGTGCAATGATTTATGGCTTATTGTAACTGTCTTTTTTTGTCCTGTTTTGTCTGTCCATCATTCCAATGAAAGTTATACATTTTTGAAGTAATTTGTTAAGATCTTATCACAGGTAATGCAAATGTGAAAAAATTTGAGAGCACCGTCTCTTTTGGTGCAAAATTTATTGCCAAGGTTAAATTTTTGAAAAATAGGTCAAACTTCAAGATCATGAGGTCAAAAATCATAATATATTCGGAAAAGTAAGAGGTAATGCACATGTACTGTAAATATTACGGAAGCACTGTCTCTTCAGGTTGAAAGCTACGGTCAAGGTAAAGATATTTGAAAAGAATGTCAAACTTCAGGGTCATGGTCATATATCATAATACATTTTACATCCGGAAGGATCTTGTCATAGGTAATACACACGTAAAATATGTAAGCCATGTCTCATCAAATTCAAAAAGCTTCGACTTAGTAAGGTTATAAGTTTTGAAAATTTAGTCAAACTTTAAGGTCATGAGGTCAAAAATTATAGTAAATTCGGAGAGATCTTGTCACATGTAATGCACACATGGAATATGAAAGCCAAAACTTCTCACTTTTTTAAAATATTTCTGGTAGTTTTAATAAATTACCACTCGATGAGCGTTTTTTTCGATATCATGCATCTATTTAGTGCATGATTACAAAATGACCATTTCAAGTTTTTATGACAGAGAGACAAATGAGAATTAATGTCCTCGTGTTTTTGCGAAAAACACGAGGACACGCTAACACACTTCATGAAATATGCAGGCGTGAAGCTTCGTAGTTCATGTCCTCATGAATTCTCAAAAACTAAATTCATCTCTTAATTAGATAAGTAATTTCCAATGGGTTCCATATAGGCTGATTCGAAAAACAGAAATACCAGATCACCGAAGTTGTACATGTGTACGTCAAAAAGAGAAAATATATTAATTCTAAATGGTATTCACATAAATAAACATGATACAGTTGCAATCCATGAGGCAAAGACATCGTTTACAATTTTTGCTTAGTGCTCTGAAGCCTACCGAGTTTGAGCGGAAGAGGTCTTTGATTGGCGCCCTCTGTGAGATCCTATGGAAAGCAGGGGATGGTAAGCGGTGTTCTGTCTGTCTGCTCCAGGATAAGAGAAGCTTCCCACAGGACTACAGACTACGGGACGACAACATTACAGAATATGTGAGCATTATTAACAGGGATATTTAAAAGTCTTCTTTTTCAGTTTTCTACATGTTCTTCATCACCTTGTATAAGGAGATTGCATGTCAATGTCTTAGACATTTCACTTTTCACTCACCAAGTAGCTTGAAGCTCATGATAAGCTTTGTTACAATCAAAGTGTGCAATAACTTAAATGCGGTACTATCATACAGGTGGACATATGTATACCTGTACAGTTTATGTCAATGTCTTTATTATGGCACTTGCATGCGTTTGTTGTAGGTTGTCTTATTTGAGTTCAAAAAGTTCACAGATCTCTCCACGTTTATGAGAAGGAATATTGAAGAGGTATAAAAGACTGAGTTATTTTTACTTTGTTTTTGGATATTACATTAAAGTTTTTCCTTATACTGAAGTTAATGACACATAACTAAATGATATGTATCTTAACGTCTTTGCAATATGTCCAATTAATTACAAAATATGATGTAAAATAGTTTAATTGTTGTAACCCCGGCTTAATTACTACATGTACCTTAGCTCTCAATGACTACCCAGATAGAGGGTGATTGACTGTGTTATTGTAAAAACAAGATCCTATAATCTAGTTTTCTTTCTAATGGAAAAAGCTATTTAGATTTGCTAAAGTGAGTAAAACTTAGGATTTGCAAAGATTTTTACGATGTCATGTTTCAAGAAACCTTTTGAAATTTCTTATTTTCACAACATATGTTTAAGGATTTTTTATGACTTTGAAACATTACTGCTAGTTATTTCAACTGTTCCAGCAGTTATTTTCTACATTAGATTCTAGAACATAAATCTGTAACTCGAAAGGAAACTGTTAAAGGATTTGACTTTGTAACTATGTTTTGAATTCTGTTTTATTACAGGAATAATATGCCTCTCTATCTATTTCAGTTTACGTCTGACAAGAGTCCCGGATGTATTCTCTTTTTGTACAGTTTGGTCCTATCTGCGTCAGTCTTTAAGTATGTCAAAAATATTTTTATACTTTTGCACATACGTGTATTATAAAGAAAAACAAGAAAAAAAGGTTATCATCTTTATTCTCTCAAGTCTGATATTGACCAAAGGAAAACGACCTCGCAACAAAGCACAAAAATGCATTGCTATTGTTATAGATATTTTAAATTCATTTAAAAAAAACAGACAACAACTTTATTTCTTCGTAGATTAAAAGAAGAGATGTTAATCACGAATGAAACAAATTACAAGCTTCTGAATGACCGAGAAGAATGCACGCAGGCGCTGATGAACCTGATTATCACCGGTCATGCATGTCATTATCTACACAACGGAAACCTAGTATACAGTCAAAATGGCAATCTGCTGGTACGGAGCAGGAAAAAGCTAATTTTTTATGTCACCTGCCAGTGACATCTACATTTTGATTCTTTGACATTTGTCATTAATCTCATATTGTTTAATGCAATAGAAAGGTTCTGAAAGTCAGCTAGTATATATACATATTGTCGCAGATTCTTTAAAAAATATCAAAGTCATTGATTTTTCAATTTGATACTTATCGTTTACTTTGCTTTTATAAGCGAATTACTGAAAAAAAAATAACGATTGAGATTATTGAAAAACCTCTCTAAATTATTCGCTACTGATACAGTTTATGACTCTGATCTTTGAAATATGGCTTTGAGTCAGGTTTATGACAAACCTTTAGATGATTAATATCAACCCTCATTCAGGCTTTCATTCATTCTAATCAAGTTTCACCAGGGTTATGACCCAAGCAGAATTTCCATATCTCATCATCTTGACCTTTGAGATATGATATTGAGTCAGGGTCATGACACACCTGTGGGCCATCAGCAACAATACATTCATTTTTAAAAATATCTATCAAGGGTTCCAGACCATTTTTCAATTTCACTGCTCAGTGACCTTCACCTAATATGTAAAATGACCTACAGATCTTGACACTTTCAGGTTGCGGGTAACAATATACATAAATTTGCCTCCATTCTAATCAAAGGCTATTGAGTAATGACCCGGACTCAATTTTGTGACAGACAAGGATTCCAAAACCAGTGTCACCTCTTGTTAGTGGAAAAGAAAACATCTTGCATTTCTATATTAGATGTACAAGATATTAAATTGTTTTTCTGAATTTGGCCGGTAGAAAATAAGGAATTAATCAGAATGAAACTACTAACAATTAATATAACACAATTTGGGGGGGGGGGGGGGGGGGGTCTGCAACATGTTGCAAACAATTGAAACATGTATAAAAACGGACGTACTTATACGTCATCAACCACATTTTAGGACGACGTGGATCCCGAGGAGCTTGTAAGTATAAAACTGATAAATTTGCCATAACAGGTTTACTATAAGTTAATCAAGACTGTCGCTTATCTTTAAATGATTAATAATGATCACAGTGTGTGTGACAAACTCTCTGTAGATAGTAAGAATTTTCGTCATTTCTGTGTAATGGTTTCTCTGGCATATAATTTCCATGTAAACGGGTTTGTGTTTCATAACAAAACTGATAAGATTTCGATTTTAAATTTTCACAAAATGCTAATACAAGCTGCTTTCTTTCAAATGAAAAAAAAGTATAGCATTTAATGTTTGTTGTGTGAACAAACGCAGTTATGATATCGAGATGGTATTAATTAATTGTTGGCGTCTAAGAAAACTCTATTATAATATCTGATTTATTATTAATAAAAGTCATTTTACATTGCAAATTGAATAAATTCACTAAATCAACATTTTTCTATATTGTGGTTAATACAAGGAAATAATGAATTTGACACAATTTGTCATGTCTGAACTACTTTGAATAATTTTTTGCAGTGGTTTACTGTGGTAAGGTTGTGTTTTTCGGACGTAAATTAAACACTAATTAAATTCCCACATAGCTTCCATTGTATTCTATGTCTATCGCAAGCTGTTGGTGATATCTTTGCTTGTAACAGACACTTTATTAAGAAATAACGATGGCGAAGCAATATGAAGCTCACAAAAGTGAGATGCTTACATGTGTAATTGCCGCCTAAATATCGAATTATATTACCTTTATTAGCTCACCTGAGCCAAAGGCTCAAGTGAGCTTTTCTGATCAAAATTTGTCCGTTGTCTGTCGTCGTCGTTGGCGTAAACTTTTCACAATTTCAACTTCTTCTCCAGAACTACTGGGCCAATTTCAACCAAACTTGGCACAGAGTATCCTTGGGTGAAGAGGATTCAAGTTTGTTCAAATGAAGGGCCACGCCCTCTTTCAAGGGGAGATAATAAAGAATTAGTGAAAAATTAATAGCTTCTTTTAAAAATCTTCTTCTCAAGAACCACAAAGCCAGGGAAATTGAAACTCATGTGGAAGCATCCTCAGGTAGTGTAGATTCAAATTTGTTCAAATCATGACCCCCGGGGGTAGGGCGGGGCCACAATGGAGGATCAAAGTTTTACATAGAAGTATATAGGAAAAACCTTTAAATATCTTCTTCTCAAGAACAGGAAAGCCCTTATTGGTCATATTTATATGGAAGCATCCTCAGGTAGTGGAGATTCAAATTTGTCCAAATCATGACCCCCGGGGGTAGGGCGGGGCCACAATGGAGGATCAAAGTTTTACATAGAAGTATATAGGAAAAACCTTTAAATATCTTCTTCTCAAGAACAGCAAAGCCATGATGAGTCATATTTATATGGAAGCATCCTCAGGTAGTGTAGATTCAAGTTTGTTCAAATCATGACCCTCGGGGGTAGGGGCGGGGCCACAATGGAGGATCTAAGTTTAACAGAAATATATAGGAAAAACCTTTAAAAATCTTCTTCTCAAGAACAGCAAAGCCATGATGAGTCATATTTATATGGAAGCATCCTCAGGTAGTGTAGATTCAAGTTTGTTCAAATCATGACCCCGGGGGATAGGGCGGGTCCACAATGGAGGATCAAAATTTTACATAGAAATATATAGGAAAAATCTTTAAAAATCTTCTTCTCAGGAACAGCAAAGCCCTGATTGATCATATTTATGTGGAAGTATCCTCAGGTAGTATAGATTTAAGTTTGTTCAAATCATGACCCCCGGGGGTAGGGCGGGGCCACAATGGAGGATCAATGTCTGAAATAGAAATATATAGGAAGGTATCTTCTGATGAAAAACTGCAAAGCCATGATTAGTCATTTTGATATGGAAGCATCTTCAGGTAGTGTAGATTCAAGTTTGACCCCCGGGAATAGGGATGGGCCACAATGGGGGATCAAATTTTTTTTTTACATAGGAACATATTGGAAAATATCTTCTTCTCAAGAAATGAAAATCATGTTTAGTCATTTTGATATGGAAGTATCCTCAGGTAGTGTAGATTCAATTTTTTTTCAAATGATAACCCCCAGGGGTAGTTTGGGGCCCAATGGGGATCGAAAGTTTTACATAAGAACACTTAGAAAAAATATTTCTTCTCAAGAACAGAAAAGCTATGCTTAGTCATATTGATATGGAAGCATCCTCGAGTAGTGTAGATTCAAGTTTGTTCAAATGATGACCTCTGGGATAGGGAGGAGCCACAATGGGGGATCAAAATTTTACAAAGGAATATATGGGAAATTTTTTTTTAAAATCTTCTCAAGTACAACAAAGCCATTTGTTATATTGACATGGAAGCATCATCAGGTAGTTTAAAATTCACCCCCCCCCCAACCCCCAGTAATCTTTTCAATACTGAACTAATTTGTGTCTAGCTTATGTGCTCAGGTGAGCGATGTGGCCCATGGGCCTCTTGTTAATACTTCTAGGGGCATGGTACCCTTTCCCCCTGTTAGATGAGATAGTATTAATCCTTAACTAATTAATTAATCATTTCATTTATATGTATCAAAAGTTCTCTTTCCCTACTTTCATTGGTCAGAATGAATACAGATCCTGTACGATTATTATGTTACTCCTCACATTCAGTAACATAATTAATAAGATCCATCTTAATAACGAAATTACGTTGTACAAACCCCAAACAATATTGTTACAACAGCTCCGAAGCCTTGTAAGCCTAGTAACTATATATGTAATCTAAACGTGGATACATAACACAGTCTGATTTATAACGTTTTATTATCTATTTACCAATGCTAACAATTCTAAATTTAAAAAATATTAATTTCATATAGCGGTTTGAAATGTCAATGTACTGGTACACATAATGTTGATATTTTTTCACTAGAATGTGTTATCCTTATAGTAATTTTGTTCTTTACTTGTTTTATTAGGCAAATCCACTGAAAGGTATCCAGGAGAGAAGTGAAATCGGATTCCTGTTTTGGGACAAAGGAGAAAATGATGACGATAGGACTGATGTATTATCATTATTATTTGTTTCCTTTTATATTAATTTATCTATTTATTTCTATCTTGCATTTAAAATAATAATTTTAAAACTTTACAAGTACTCTTCAACTACAAATACTGTATAGAGTTATGCTTCTATATTCATTCTAATTACTTTGCAACTTTGGCATAGTTGAATTTAATACTGTCTAGATTATAATTTTTTCATCAGTTCTCACTTTTGAATGAGTCTAATGTCAGGTATTGTTAATTGTTATACCTTTAAATATTGTTTCCGTTATAAATCTTTACTGATTGAAAACGAATAAAAAAAATCGATGTTGGGCCGCTGAGTGAGATGTTGGACGTGTCGATGAGATATTGGACCGCTATGACGTTTTTACGTCACACTGTAGGTGGGACCAGCTATATTTGTTTGACAGTTACGGAATTGACCGAGTTAAATCCGCAGTGCGGGTAAACGAAGTTTGATCACGAAATTTACATCAATTTTTGCAAGTATGGAAGCCAGTGAAATATATCAAAATTTTAAAAAAAAAATTACAGGTATAACAAAACATTTATTGATTGTGGTCTCGGGTAGAATGCGTTTTGTCGAACCCTCAAATCAAACTTTTTGCCTATCAGGCAAACAGTTTGGTTCTTGGATCCAACAAAACGCAAGTTGCCGTCGAACCCAGTCGATAAATGTACATTGTTTACAGCGAAGAATCACAATATCTACACAAATTTAACATCTGATCGTACTATCAATCAAAATTTATGAATTTTAGCTCACCTCAACGAAGTTGGGGGAGGTTATATAATACCCTTGGCGTCAGCGTCGGCGTCCCAGGTGAAAGTTTTTGGTGCAGTTTTCTTTGCAAATACTTCTGTGCCTATATTAATCAGAGATGCATGGAGGATGCTTCTAGTATGTTTCATTGTACCAGTCAAGGTTTCAGATGCTGCAATTTCAGCTGAAGAATAACCAGGTTAATGTTTTTGGAGCAGGTTAAAGTTCTTAGAGCAGGTTAAATTTTTTGGAGCAGGTCTTATTTCCAAGTAACTGTAAGCCCTATATTGACCAAACTTGCATGGCTAATACATCTAAGGATGCACACTACCACGCTTGCTTCGTATTCTGGATCTGACCTTTATTTTCTTGATGAGTGACAAGGTTAAAGTTTTTGGAGCAGGTCTCATTTCCAAGTAACTGTAAGCCCTATTTTGACCAAACTTGCATGAGTGATACGTCTAAGGATGCACACTACTGGACTTGCTTCGGATGCTGGATCTGACCTACATTTTTTAGATGAGTGACAAGGTTAAAGTTTTTGGAGTAGGTCTCATTTCTCAGTAACTAAAAGACCTATATTGACCAAACTTGCATGGATGATACATCTAAGGATGCACACTACTGGACTTGCTTCGGATGCTGGATCTGACCTACATTTTCCGGAATAGTGACCAGGTTAAAGTTTTTTGAGCAGGTCTCATTTCCAAGTAACTTTAAGCCCTATGTTGACCAAACTTGCACTGATGATACATCTGAAGATGCACACTACCAAGCTTGCTTCGGATGCTGTATCTGACCGACACTTTCTAGATGAGTGACCAGGTTAAAGTAAACTATAAGGGCTATCTGAACCAAACTTGCATGGATGATGCATCACAGGATGAACACTCTCAAACTTGCTTCAGATGCTGGATATGACTTGCATTTTCTGGATGAGTGACAAGTTTATAGTTTTTAGGTAAGTCCATACCCAAGTAACTGCAAGCCCCATAGGACCAAAATTGCATATATGTTACATCTAGGGATGCACACTACTAGATTATTAGTTTGGGTTTTTGCCTTACTTAAAGATAACATTCGTTGAGGTGAGCTCTGTAATCTCTGATTACCTATGTTTTAAGGTAGAAGTGATTCATGCACACAAAACAGCCATTCAGGGCAAGAAAACAGTTGATTCCGTTTCATCAGCACTAAATAGACATGCATTTTCATCTCTCCTAGGTTGGCAGTATGTTGAAGACTCCAAAGAAACCAATATGGCTGACCTCAGTAAATGGACACCCTGGTCTGCTTTTCAGTACGAATTTAGACCTTGTCAGTGATTGGAGGGTTGAGACCAGATTCTTTCTTCACTACTACACAGGACTTCCGGGTATCCCAGCATGCCCGTTACATATAGGTAAGAGTCAAGACCGTGAAACTCTACGATCTTTGCTTCAATTGATGTGATATATTCAGTACTTTTATTAATGTTTTACATCAGCTTTAATTAACAAGACGTACATCGGATGTATAACTTCATCCTGAAACACCCCCCCCCCCCCCTTTCAATTATCTTTTCTCTATGTTTGTAGAGACCCGATTTGGTAGGAATGCGCTGGGTAGAACAAAACTTTATAGGCGACAAAAGGAGGAGTCAATACCACAGCTTGAGAGGTGTATCATGACAAAGTAAGTTGCAACCAGCATCTAACAGTCTTCTGTTGAGTTACTTCAGGTCAAGGCCTGACGTTAGAGACTAACGTTCCCATGACAAAGTAAGTCAGCGTCAGAGTCAATTCCTCCTCTGACAAAGTAAGTCAAAAAAGTAAAGATGGGGAACAGTGATCAAACTCGCAAATCCTATCAGCAATACAAATCACGAACGGCCCCCTCGAAAGTATCGGAGGTGGAAACAGGTGCCTAAAAGAAGTGAGCATCCACTATTGACTGGTCTCACCCACTTTGAGTCTTTTGAGCCAAAATTAGTATGTAAACAATAGCCTAACAACTGGTATCAAACATTGGTCAACATTACCAATAATAGGTTGTATTTGCAAACATGGTTATTTTAAAAAAAATTGAATTTTCAAAATGCAGTCGAGACTGTTGAAAGTCTTTCATCATCAATTTATTTGTCTGAAGCCTGTTTAGGTTTTAGAAAAATGATCATGATACTCAGAACTTACGCTTGTGTACCAAATCAGTTGAGAGACATAAATACTATATGCAGATGATAATGGAATATTACTACAAAAATAAGAGAGATTGACGACGGGAAAGCTAATCATCCCATTTGTCATCAAGTTTAGTTGTTAGTTTGCTATTGTCTATATTCAGTCAAACATTTTTTTTTTGTCTTTTGATTGTCTAAAACGATATTTTATTTAACATTTAAACCTTTTAATCCATTCTGACAAAGTTTTGAGATCTTCCCCTTCATGTTTAGCCCATCGCCTGGCATACTCTTCGATGGCATTCATAAGATAAAATATTGACATTCATAAGATAAAATATTTGAACAAAAGTCAGTGTTAAGAGTCAAACTTTCTCCTTAAAAAGTAAGTCAGTGTCAGTGTCCAAAATTCCCCTTGTTTAGAAGCTAATAATTGGTGTTTATATAATTCATATGAAAAAATTATACCCTATAGATAATCTACATGTAAATTTTGAGTTTTGCTTCTGTCATACATTAAAAAGTCATTTGTAAGTCTACAGTAACAAATGCATTCTGGAAAAAAACGAGTATGAGTTACGGAAAGGCGATACGTAATTCATGTAGACAAAAGAAAATACCGTAAATTGAAGCGAAATAAATCCAAATGGTTTCATAAATATTTTATAACTTTTATTTGTAATTATTTACTTAGGTGGTATGGTGCAGCAATAGACTGGCCTGAAGGTGTGCTACCTTTCTATTAAAAGACCAGCCAATCATTTCTCATCTATGCAATTGCAATCACTGATCATTTACATGCAGACTACCTTGGTATAAAAAGAGGCTGTCTTTATACTGTTTTATATTTCATTTTATGTATATCTCGTCTTTAAGAACTACATTATCAATCAAAAGAGCTATTTGTAAACATAATACTAGTTTTTGACGGAAATCCATACCAGGAATGGAAAAAAACCTATTTATTTTATTATTATATACATGTTACTAGGGATGATGTAAAACTAGTAAAAAAAATTTCCTAGAATTGTCTTTACAAACCGGAGACCTTTATCTTTTCATATAGTTCTTCTTACAAAAAAAAAAAAAAAGAAGAAGACTTGTTTATCTTCAAAGATATGACAAACAAGAAGACTTGTATATCTTAGAGGAAACAAGTTATCAGTCTTCAGAGAGACGACGATTTCTATGTTGATAACGTGTTGAATCATTTTACGACAATTAATATGGAATAAAGTCTCAATATCAGGAAACAAAGTATCTTTCGGTGGTTTTTTAAACAAAATCTAGTCATAAATTTCTCTCAATATCCACCATTGTGTACCTCATAAAAAACTTTTTTCTTGCTGCTGTTAAGGATATTTTTTCAAGTGTTTTGCTATTTAAGTGTTTGTGTGTGAAACAATGTTGGTTTTTTATAGTGATATATACATGTATGCTTGTATTTTCAACTGCATTTAGAGTGTTTTAAGTAAATTGACTTGTGATATAATCAAAGTACATCAGCATTTGTATTACATGTATATTCTTTACCTCACAATTAAACAACAAGGATATTTCTTACATATGTATAAATTATGGGTCTCTGTGACGTGTCTTTTTTTTAAGTCCTAACAAAGTGCAGTTTGTTTTGTTTTTGTTTTTTTTACATATTGCATTTATCAAAAGAGGACATTTGTTATTTATGGCAAAAATGGTACTCTTTTATTTTCTGGTATTGTTTCAATAATAATTTAAGCAACATTTTAGTACCATCTAAAGCCTTATTGCCCTTTTCGTTGTAGCAGATCAACGTGCTAGGGAAATTCTTTTTCTACTTTTTTGTACATATACTGTGTATTTTCGTTTGATATACAAATAAACAAATAAGAAAAGGGAACTTTTCAACTGAAATGTCCAATCTGAAATTATATATTGACTTAAAATTTTACTTTCAAATTGAGGATTGGAATTTCATTTCATAAAATTTACTTATTTTATACTCTTGGGCTACCAAAATAAACCTTTCAAATTCTCTGCACTTTATTACATCGCCACAAAGCTTATAACTCTTTAAGTGTATTTGTATGTTCAAAAACCAGTTGTTTGTAATTTTGAGCCTTACAATAAATGATTTATTTTTTGCTTTTGTTTTTTGTTAAACTGTTATACTAAACACAAGATCATCCGATCTGCAATCGGAATCATATTATCATTGCATTCGTAAATGAAGCAACATATGAAATTCGGTATACATGTACGAATTGTGAATTATCAATAAAATAAGATTGACACTACAATTAAATTTGAAAAATAAACATCTATACTATGTTGCGTAACTGATAACGATATTTATTATTGAAGATGTACATGTAGACCCGATTTATTATTAATAACAGAGTATGATGGCACTAAAAAACTAAAAGCATAATGGATCTCTTCTTGTTTATATGATTTTATTCATAAAAGTCATAAATAGATCCACTTCAAATCTGAAGTCGTTTTTCAAAAGTAGAAAATACCCCTGATGTCTTTTATTAGCATTCATATCACGGCGTTAATCTTATCTAACATCCGTTCACTCGTACAATGAAAAACAAGGAAGCCCGAGGCCCAATCAGATGTGCTTATTAATGAAGCATTTTCTTCTCAGAATTCCATGCAATCTTCAACATTATTTTTTTTTAATGATCAGATTTTTTTTTTCATTTAGGTTAAGGACAATATCCGTATAAAAAAACTTCAGTTTCTGAAAAGAAGGTTTATGCGCATATTGATATCGTTAAATATTTGTGCATCCTTGTCTCCCCGTCCCAACCTTGTGTATGTTATGCATTTATTGGGATGAAAATTGACACAATTAACAAAGTTTAGATAAAAATATGGTGTTATATTACAATATTTCATACGTTAAGATATTAACATGCAATAAGTATTGATACAGTGAGTATCTTTCGGGCTCTTTCAATCCCAAGACAAAGAAAATATTTAGCCAGATTCCGAGTATAGAGCACTGCTCGATTTAAAACACAGGAATTAATGATCAATGGATGCAAAAGATAGACCATTGCATTTTGCAAATAAAATTATTTTAAATTTTTACTTATTTATCTCACCTTGATATATGCAAGAACCGCTGACAAAAATTCGAATAAGAACAGCCCCCCCCCCTTTAATTGTTAAAGTTTAAGATATTTTTATTAAAAGAGAGTAACTCAAACGAAACATAATGGATCTCCTTTGCCATCCAGTATTTTCACTGCTTTTTTTTTTTGTTGAACTTGAGATTCAGATTGTATTTCGGCCCCCGTGTTTAAAGCTAGAAATAGACAAACTAGAATGTATAAAATATCTTTTTAAATGTGTTTTGTCATTTTATGAACAATCTTGTCCAGTTGTTTGATGTCTCAAAATGACAATTCACAACTTCCATTATATTTTAGGCAAATCCTCTTTTTCAAATTATATATCATCATAATATTATAGATCGTAAATTTTCATTTAGTTCAAACCGAGAAATGTGAGTACACACTGTGTTTGAATTAATTCCAGCGGTACTAAAATAAAGAACATGTACTAGTATTTGACCATACCACACCATTTGCTATTTTCTGTTCGGAATAATTTATCTTTAAGCTTACTTGTTCATCTTGAGATGAATGGAAGTTATCTACAAACAATCTTAAAACAAACAAATGAAGTTAGTTATAAACGTATAATGATGAAAATTACAAATTGAAGTTTTAGAATAACTAGCTTCACTACTTGAAACATTTATCCTAGTATCTTAATTAATTGAATGTCAAAAGCAAATACCGGAATTTCATTTGGTTCTATCTAACATATAAAGGAAAAGTAGGAATGTATCCCTCTGTTAACGTTCATAGGATGATTTTTACAGAAGGATCATTTCTTCCAAGAATGAGAAGAGATTAAAATTCTGAATATTGATATCTTCCAGCATTTATGTTGGCAAAGAAATAAATGGCTTTATTACTAAAATCGTTTTTAGTCTTCTGATGTCATTTTTATGATATTGTCTTAAAGACTACAAGGTACAGGGTATTAAATTAAAGTTTTGAGATGTAATAAATACTGTATATATATGAAGATAACGAACAGTTTGTTTCGTTGGTTGGTTGTTTAAAAGTTTAACTACTTGCCGATAGAGGGCTGCAAATTTAGACCTGTACTCGGCAATTGCGGCTTTTGAGCTGTGAGGGCTCTTTTTGTGCCTGCACCAATGCGAGACGGGATCTTAGTTTATACGCTCTCATCTGAAGGACCAGTCTCCACGTCACACAGTGGATCTGAAACCCGCGACGTAAGGATCAATTCCTGACGCCGCAACTCTAGAGCAAACGCTCTAACCACTGCGCCACGCGGGCGACATAACGAACAGTAATCAAGCTCAAAAGTCAGGGAAAATATGAACTGGCAGAAGAGCAAACGCATACCTCTAAAATATCAGAAGTGGGATCAGATGCCATGGAGAAGTAAGCATCCCATGTCGATCTGTCACACCCGCAGTATGCTCCTTGTCATGATCGGGTAATAACGGAAAAATCCGTCGACAATTCAGTGTGTAAATAATAGCCTAACAATTAGTATAAAAAACTTCAGTCAGCAGTTGACTTAATGATAAATTGTATTTGCTGACAAGGTCATTGTATCGACCATGGAACGTAAGAAATGACGACTTTAAACGAGACTGCCGATATTCTTGTTTCATCAACTTGTTTGTTAATAACTTACCGGTACTTCGTTTTAGAAATTGTTCATACGTAGAGCATGCTCTTGCGTATCGATTCAACTGAGAGATATAACCCCCATATGCAGGTGATGAAGGTATATTGCTGCATAAGTAAGGGAAGTTGACGACTGAAAAGTTAAAGTCATCATGTTTATCATAAAGCTTGGTTGTTAGATTACCATTAACGTCTTTTTCTAATAAAATATCCAAATATGAAACAGATGTGTCAGACTCTGTGGTGTCTTATTTTTAGCTCACTGGGATATATATGGAATTTACCATTGTTAATTGACAGTACGTCGTCGATATATCTGAATGTCGAGTTGATGGCCACAGCAAGGGTTTTCTTCTTTTAACGTACAAGATTTTGAACAAATTCTGCTTCATATGAGTACAAAAATAGGTCTGCTAATAACGGGGCGCAATTGGTACCCATGGGAATTCCAATAGATTGTTGGAAGACCTGGTCTCCAAAAACTACATAGATATTGTCAATCAGAAACTCCAGCATTTTTTTAATATCAACATCAGAGTACCTGTGTGTACAATCAGAATGTTTTTTAACAAAACAATTTTGCAAATGACTAATGACAAGGTAAGTAAATTTACGAGTTCCATTTTATTGAAAAAGCAGCTGTCAATGATATCACATGACTTTAATTTATCGTGGGGAATGGTTTTTTATAAAGTTGAAAAGTCGTAAGTTTTTATGTTGCTGATTTTGGTAAAATTTTGTGATTTCAAATTTTCCAAAACTCGAATTGAAGGCCACGGCAAGAGATTTCTTCTTTCATATAGAAGTTTTTGTATTAAAACTTTTGAGTAGCTAATTGATAACACTCTGATTGTCACATGATTACTTTTTATTTGGTGCAACGCATGCGCTCCATGCGTCTCACATCACCAATGCAAGTACATGTAGTGACACCCATTGAATTACTTTCAAAATCTGTTTTTAATGAGAATAACAATGCACATTTTAATTTTTAATTTTCAAAAAGTACTTGAAACTGAAATACATACATAAACTAGAAACTATTCATTATTATTGTTTGGATTGTAACTTGCACAAACTTTGTATCGTTCTAACCTCTCCTTTACTCTCTCTTGAAAATCCTTTGTACGAAGAACGTATATCAGTGGGTTAAGAAAGGAATTGGAAAACCCTAACACTAGCAAATGAGTTCCCACTATGTCTTTAAGTATGCACATATCTTTCCCAACTGTAATTTGGACAAAGGACGCAACAATGAAAGGGCTCCAAGTAATTAAAACACAACCGAATACGTAAATCATAGTTTTTAAGGATCTCCAGCTCCGTGCTGACATTCGTAGAATTCCCATATTTCTACGAAGTCTTTCAACAACCATTATATTTTCCAGTGCTTCGATGCGCTTGATATGAAACCTCGCATTTCTGTATAGCTTGATGTATATTACGACCATGATGCCTAGGGGTATAATTGCTCCAAAGACGGTGATGAATATAATATAATTGGCCGGCAACACGTAAAGATACGAACAGTACTGTTGATAATGGTTGTTTTTCCATCCCATAAGAGGTAGAAATCCAACCACCACTGATATAATCCAAATAGCAGCAATAGCGCCGACAACCCTGTTTTTGGATACTACTGATTTGTAGTTCAGAGAGTACGTTATTGCAATGAATCTTTCCAGTGCAATACACATTAAGCTGAGGATGGAGGCAACACATGTTGTTACGGTAAAACCAATCCGAATTAAGCAGTGTTCATATGTTTTCTCGTTTGCTTTTGTAATTAAAGTCCCAACAGAAACTACACCAACAAATAGATCCGCCACACCAAGAGTGGAAATAAAGGCTACTTTTGGATTATAAAATCTTTTGTCAATTACCACTAGAAATAAGATTGCCACGTTTATGCCAATTATTAAAATTGTTAGAGGAATAAGGATACTTTCCTTGATTTTTTCGTGAATATTATCAGCTTTTGCAATGCATTCCACAACCACGGCTTCATTTTTGGCAACAGGTTGTATGATTTCTATCCATGTTATTGGAGGAGAAGTTGGTGGCATCTCTAGGACCGCATTGGCAGATCTTCTCTGTCCCATCTGTTGATGTTTCCTCTTCAGGCGTAGGCAAATGAACCTGCAAATCTGAACACGGAAGAAGCATTTAATACAAATATACAACAAAACAATACTTCCCTAATCTGTACATTAACTACTAGTTAACTCACATATTTTTCTTTATTTTAATGTCCTTGAATTGAAGTCTCGTCAAACCAACTTCTCACTAAGAAATCTGATCAAATGAATGCAACGATAAAATCAAACACCGCTTAATTTGAAGATTTCCTATAGATGCGAGTTTTCCAGAAATGCAGAACTTTACATTTTCAATCGTTAAAATTTTTTCTCAGTTAATTACAATTCTCTAATAAACTAACGTTCTGCCTGAAAAAACTATTAACCCAGCCTGACCAGTTCAACTACAGACCCGCGGCTTTGCGATAGCGGAAACTTGGTCAAGATGCATGTAAGTGCGTCAGTTCCATGCTGATCAAACGAAAATCGCACACCACAAGCACTTGTAATCTGAATCTGCAACATCCTTAAGAGTCAAAGCATGCACGTAGGATCAATCTATGGCCATTTAATGTAGGAAAAACCAACTTGTAGATATTTATTTAGCCTTTGAGTAGCAAAAGGTACAATTTTCCTCCCATTCACCTGTACTTTATCAATCAAATTAATCATTTAAGACTCCAAAAAATGTCAATATATTTTATGAAAAGTGTCGCAGATAGAATGTCAGATAAGGCAAAGGGATTGGTCTTTGAAAACTTAATTCATATATTTCTGCGAGAAGTGCAATAGCAGCTTCCATCAATCAGGTCAGGACACTTCAGATGAACGGGATTTTTCGAGATAAGAAAAGTCTTCTACATCTGTCCGATCTGAATTGCAAAAGTAGAAGGAATTGCTCTGTGTATAGTTGCTTTTTCTGGAAAGATCGATTTGTTGAGTCACTCAACACTGTTGATACGTACCATAAATATATGATCGATATATTCCAAACCTGGGATCTAAACATTATAGCACTTTCATTTGCATCTTAAAGTTAAGACCAACTTTGTCCCATTCTAATGCATGGATCCTGCAGAATGAATTTAACAATTTAGGTAAAAGTTTAAGTACTTATTATGGTCATGCAAACAGGTTGGATGCTCGATGTAAATAAGCAAAAAAGAAACCTTTATGAAATATAATGTAATTTTAATATATGACCAATTTAGCTTAATCTAGTACGAAAGCCTATTAGGACCAATCTATGGGTGAAAAAAAATTAAATGGCATAATCACGCCTTTTCAAAAGGCGTACTATCGCGAAAAATGGCGTAATAACTCGAAGTGAAAAGGCGTAATAACACCAATAAAGGCGTAATAACTTGGAAAAAGGCGTAAATACGCCTTTCAAAAAAGGCATACTTTCACCTTTCAAAAAGGCGTTATTACGTCTTTTCAAATGGCGTTATTACGTTATCAGTAAGGCGTTATTATGCCTTTTGAATAGTCGTTATTATGCCTTTTGACAGGCCCGTGTTTTAGATGGGGGGGGGGGGGCAGTTTCCCAAAATATTGACGAGCAAAAAAAAAACCCTTTTGAAAAGGCGTAATAAAGCCGTTTTTTCGCGTTATTACGTCTTTTCAAAAGACGTTTAATTTTTTTTTCTCCATAGATTGATCCTAATAAGCTTTTTTCGTAGAGGGTAAATTTTCACAGATGTGACGTATTTTCAATATCCATGTATGACCAACCAAGCCCCACACCAGAGACCCAAAGGCCGGCCATGTATTTCAAAATTTTGGTAAAAGGTTGAGTTATCATTGTAATTATGCAAAGAATTATATCCATGAGTAAAGAAGAAAATTTCATAACATTAATGCATTTTCAATATATGATCAAATAAGTCTTACGCTGAACCCTGAACCCATGAGTCACGAATTTCTCAATTTTTGAAAAGGGGCCATTGTTCATTATTATCATTCAAACAGTTTCCATACTAGGTGACAAGGAGTAAAGAGGATTTTTGAAGATTGTATTCTTTTTTATTTGGCCCCATTAATTTGACCCCCATCCCTCAGGCCCCGGGGAGGCAGAGGCCATGAAATTCACAACTTATGTCTCCCTTTAACCCAAGATGTCATGTACCAAAATCGGTTTTACTGTTGTAGAGAAGAAGCTGAAAATGTTCAATACTTAATGGACGACGGACAAAAACATATAGCAGGTCAACCAAGTGACTGAAATGACCTAAAATTTCTAGATCTTTTACTTTATAAAATTCCAAATTTACTTTCTCCGATTTTTTTTTTTACCTTGTGCACTGTAAGCGTTATCTCTGCTACTTACCATCTCCTACAATATTCTCACTGGAGACCACAAAGCTCACTTAAAATAAGTTATCAAATATGCTACTGAATGTTCCGCGTCTGATCGGTGTGGAATTGGTAAGAGATCTGAAGATAATAAGATTGAATAAACATTTTCACTGATTAAAAGTTAAAAAAAAAAAAAAGTTTATTTTTATTACGAGTTTTTTTTAATTACTAGTAAGTATCTGTATTTTCATACCTGGTCTTCGGCAAATAGACCATTTCATCGGCCATACAATCATCAGACTAAAAGTAAAATTCACTCAGTAAGAAAATTTTTAAAAACAAAAATGTAAGTATGGTCACATATTGCTCTCTACAAGTATTTTTTTTCACGAATTATGCCAATATGCAACAAATCATGCCAAATTTTTGTTTATGCAGTCATGCAAAATAGTTATGCAAACATATAGCATAACACTCCAAAAACATTTCTTTTTAGAAAGGACATGACATTTTACTTGCACGATAAAACATATCTTTTGACAAGATGGCAATGGTAAATTTCAACTTACGCTTTTATGCAAATTATAGTATCCATGCCTAAATGAAGGTGCAACTTAACTATCTTGATATTCAACTTTAACTTGCTTATTTGTAGTTTAATTACGGTGACCCAACTTGAATTTCGTGCAACTTAACTACCTTGACATTCAACTCTAACTTGCTTATTCGTAGTTTAATTATGGTGACGCAACTTGAATTTCTCAACATGCAAACTAATTCTGTTTACATGCAAGATATTTTTATGAACATTCCAAATATCTTATAGTTCTATTTTTAGATAACAGGGCTTTTGTTAAAATTTATTTCACAATGTTTGTGAATCTCAAAAATTCCCACCTCTATATTACAATATGTGTAGACCACTAGTGTTCCATTAATAATATTATCATAAGAATGAATACCAAATAAAGCAATGTAATTCACTTTTTATACTTCATATTTTGATGTAATATATCGATTTCCAAGTGAGATATCTGCTTGAGTATGCTCATAATGCTTCATTAATAGCTTGAGTATGCTCGCAATGCTTCATCAATTAAAAATCTGAGATCCGAAAGTAATGTTACAACTGCTATAAAATCTGAAATAATCCAAAGTTTTCCTCAAAACTTTAAATACTAATACATCTGTCTATTTTGATTTTAGACATAAAATTTCATTCAGATCTATGCAGTACTTTAAAAAATATTAAAATAAACACAAAGTTGGGTCTCGTCTATCGTCGTATGGTTCTTTTTGACACGCATTTTGAATCTGATGAAACATAAGATATACGCAAAGCAGAATGAATTTAGAAATATTGTTTGGACAAAATTGAAATGATTTTAATACTAGAACCCAAAACAAGACGGTTTATATCAAAATGGTTCTAAAGATCATTAAAAAAAGAAGCACGTGAGAGTTTTATAAAAAGACATGCGAATGGAATGAAAGTGGATGCCGAAAATAAGCGTCCTAACGACGTTGGTAGCATTCTCGCAGTGCGGCGATAGATAAATCCTAAAGTTGTGTTATTTCAAAAAGTATTTTATATAATACAGTGAAATTTTCAGGATAAAAATCAAAATAGATAGGGGTATGATTATTTCAAATTTTGTTGATAACATTTGGTTATTAAGGATTTCATAGTGGTTGTGACATTACGTTTTGGATCAACCCCCAATCTGGTATGATGACATAATTAACATGGGTCATTTACATGCTGACAAATTAATATTGCATATCTTCATAACTAAAGGCATATCGACAAATCTAAGTAAAATAACACGTCTTCATTAGTTTCATCCTTACATGATTATCATGCTATGATTAGGTTGCATCTTATTAAATAAAATATACATCTAGGCACAATTTGTGTTTTAAAGGGACATGCATTTTGTAATGGAATATTACATGCTGGCATAAGCAATCATAATTTGCAGAAATCTTGCAGACAGAGGAAGAATTATGCACTAAAAGCAATAGAATTGAACATGCTAGTATTCCTCAGAAACCGGTCTTATATCGATAAGATATACATTCTTCATTTTGACATACCTTTATTGGTTGCATGTTTTTAATTTGTATATTTTCTTGTGGATTACTCTTGGCTTTGTGATTGATGACCCAGCTTTTCTGATGTTCACGTTTGTCAGAATTATCATCCTCTTTTTCTAAGTACAAGTCTTTTGAATGACCGATAGACCCAAACAAAAACTGTTCCATTTCGTGCTCAGCTTTTCTTAGTTTCTCCGATTTCCCACAACAACGTGTTCTTGGAGAGAGCGAGTCTTGACAGAATTCGTCTTCTGGTGAGATTGTTGCGAAATTTCTTTGATCTGCTGCACTGTCGCCATAGAAACTTCTTCTTGAATCAGGGTCATCAACGGTGATAAAATCGCTTTCGCTTCCACTCCAATCATCAGTTGTTTCGTTGGTCATTGTTTCAGGACATGTCTTTTGTTTCTCCAGTTGTTGTTGATTTTCCAATACATTCCTGCTGGTCCACTGGTTTTTATATAGCAATTCTGTCTGAGGAAGGGATTCTGTTCTTCGATTAGTATGAGAATATCCCTCGTAAGGAATGTCTATATTCTCACTGTTACTTATGTCTATCTGTCTGTTAATACACTTAGTTTGATTTGGGTCAGCAGGGTGGTTATCCATATTTGGAAAGTCGTTTTGATGTTCTCTTGTATTACGCCACGCCTCCTGATTAAAATACCCCGTATTACTATTCCTATTGGATGTTGTCAGTGCAGCCAAAGTATCTTGATTAAGACCCCATAATGCTTGAGTGCATTTCTGTTTTTCGTCCTTTTCGTTAGCAATGGAAGATGGTCTGATATTATCTTTATTGTTACTCCATGCAACAACCTGACCAAATCTGTGTCAAAAACAGTTACAAGTAATAATATGATTCTCGGTGTAAAATTCTTGCCTGGATACTGTTTAACGAAAGGGATTATGACAAAACATACCATAACTTAAGTATAGAATTTCAACAAAAAACAAATCCAAGATTTATTATTACTTTTACAAAAGAAGTTATGGTAAAAGTTTAAAGTTTCCACTAATTCTCTAAATTGTTCACAGAAACACTTAAGAGTATAACATCATTTAATACATAGTCATCGTCAATTGCATAGTTTCATTTTCTTTCTTTGCCTCTCATCAGATGAGATCAACACTTGAAATAATTTGTATCTACATTACATAAGGTGGCTTTTTAAGATTTAACATCGTTGTAAAGTATAATTATCATGTTTACTTATTAAAAAACAGTTCAAGACTTTCCCTTTATATTTTTTTATTCAAAGCTGTGACACCCTTTTATTTCGAACTCTAATCTAAACATTCATGTCATTCGTTTTTTTCTGTACAAGTGGTCCTTGTTTTCTTTTTTTTTTTAAATGTCACCACCCTGTTTTCAACATTTCCTTAGGTGAAGTCAATCCCTTAAATCAAATGTATCAAGCTTGGTTTTAGCCTATCTAGTAGCTATGTAAAAAAGATGCAATTTAACAGGACATACGGAGAAACATACATGACGTGTATTTATGTCGGGAAACGTTAAATCAGAGAAGTTAACGTGATCATCTGAATCAGAATAACTTAAAGCCTGCATGTCCATATACAATTCAAAAAATCAGTGATTGCAATTTCTTTGACATTGGACCAGAAAGGTCGAAATTTAACTCAATATGTAGAGCGACAATTACAATAACATAATGAAATTCAAATCAATACCTCCAGGCATAAGAAAAATGTGTAAAACTTATTGCTTTTAAAAACCATATATATATTCTTCCAATTTAGGAAAGATACATTAGGATGTTTTCCCCATGACTTTTTGGGGAAACCTTTATAAATTATATGTAGAAACCACTATTTTCGAAGCTTTTTGTAATTAATGCAAAAGTTGATTTTTTAAATCTCATTTCAAAGTGCCAGTTATACATAATAAATGTACCTCGGTGTGGCGGGGATATAAGGTAGCATATGGTCGTCAAGAGCTTTTTCTTGTGATCTTTCAAATTCTGCTTCAACGCCACTATATTCAAAGAATATAAAAAGAAATTATTATAATAAATTTTGGAGAAACTATTAAATTATTCTGGCGAAGAATGTACTTCATTGGCTCCAAAATTAAAAAGAAAACCTACATATTGCAGGATTGGTCTTCTAGGTCTGACAATTCGTCATCAACTTAAAAGAAGCGTACTATATTCAAATTAGACTCTCACTTTTAATATAGAAAATTGTCACTTTTTAAAAAAGTTTGAAGTCTTTTTCAAGCCTTCATAAATATATAATTCACCTGAATACTGATGTTTCATATACATATCTAAGTCTGCCCAATCTTCACTAGGAGAGAAAGGCACGTTTCTGTTCGCTAGTTGCTCATGTGGAGTATTTGGATGCACACTTTAGTGACAAAAGACCGTAATTTAGTTCGTAAGAAAACAGAACGTACAACTGAAAATTGATAACTGCATATCACTTTTATACCAACATGTCGGTATTCTCGTACTTTTGACTTGGAATGTGTTAATCTTTATCGGGTTTTTGTATTCAATATTGAATGTGATCGTTCAAGTAAAAAAAATCAAAGGGTATATTCTCAATATTTTAAAATTAATACTCTTATATCAATTCCGTTCAAATTGTGAATTTAAATTCTACCAATCTTATTACAGGTATTTGCAAAAGAAATTGAAAGTACCATTCTAAATCCAGCAAAGTTCTTCCCTCTACTTCACTTACAATAGTTTCATCAATCTCAGAATTATGGATAGATGGCATTCTCTTTGTTTGTGGTTGATAGGCAAATTTATTTAGATCAAGTTTTGGACCTAGATTGGTGGAACCTGACATCTGTAAGAGAAAAAAAGCTTCTTTTTTTTAACTCACCAGAAAAAAATACTAATACCTGAGTCATGCACTGTATTAGAATCATGCCTGATAAAACGTAAAATAAAAAAAAACTAAATATAACTGGTGTTGAGAATTCTGTTAATAAACATTACCTAAAATTACTGTTAGATAAGAGGAACTTAAACCCTTTTTATTTCTAAAACGCTTATAAAATCCTATTTGGTGTAAAGAATGATAGTCAAAACTTGTGACGTTGAAACTTTAAACAGCATGATCAACAGCTAAGTCGTGTTCAGAAATATGAGCGTTCGCATCAATTCAAAATCGGCAACTTTTGCAAGATAAAACAAACTCAAAACTTTTATATCTTAATAAAATTTACTGAAAGATGATGTTGAAAACATTTGACATTCTTGACTGGTCTCAATCAAGTTAAGAAATTTAGTTGTTTTAGTAACCGAATTGATTTAGTTGTTTTAGTTACCAATTCAGTATCACATTTATTGAATAAAAGCCGATTTCGACTTTCAATTGTGTGATCTTCGTTATTGTACTGTGTTGTTATGAAATATTATCCTAATTTTGTTTATTGAATAGAAGCCGATTTAAGAAACTTTAAGAAAATTTGAAATCACAAAATTTTACCAAGTTTAACAAATTTAATAACATCAACACTTAATACAACCATTCCCCATGATAAATCAAAGACCAGGCTTTCTGACATCATAGACAGCTGTTTTTTTTTTCCAATAAAAATGGGATTGTATATTTACATACCTTGACAATGGTCATCGGCAAACTTATTTTATTCAAAACATTCCGATTCTTCACACTAGTACTCCAATTATTTTTATTTTAAAAGGTGTTTTTCAACTTGACAATAGCGATGTAGTTTTTTAGACAAGGTCTTCCAACAATCTGCTGGCTTAGCCATGGGTATTTATTGTGTCCGTCATTAGCAGACCTGTTTTTGTATTCACATAGAAGTAGAATTTATTCAAAAACTTCTACAGAAAGAAAGGGGCTTTTGCTGTGGTCTTCAATTCGACATATCAATGACATTTTATCAATTAATAATATTTATTTCATTCCTGCGTTGATTGGATATATCCCTTCGAACTCGAAATAAAAGATACCATAGAATCTGACAGATCTGTTTCATAGTTAGACAGAGGAAGAGACTGGTGACAAACTTACAGCTTAGTCTAAACTTTATGATAAACGTGACGACTTCAACTTTCCTTATTTATGTAGCAACATACCATTATCTCCTGTGTATAGATTGTCTCCTAGTTGATTCGATACACAAGAGCATGTTAACAAACAAGCAATTTCTAATTATAAAACGAGGCAAGTTAATTAAAAGTAAGTTGATGATGATACAATGATATCAGCAGTCTCATTTAAAGTCAACATCTCACAAACTGTATGGTCTTAGCAAATACAATCTACTGATAAGTTAAATGTTGACAAAGGTTTTTCATTAAAAAGTGTAAGGCCATTGTTTTATTTATTAACCCGATCATGACATGGAGCACACAGCGGGTGTGACTGGTCAACAGTGGATTCTTGCTCCTGTATGGCACCTGATCCATACTCCGATGTTTTAGAATTCTTTGCATTGTTTTCTCTGCTCACGATTTTTATTGTTTCAATAGACTTTTGAGCTTGATTACCGTTCCTTATCTTCATACGAGTATTTCATCATCACCTCACGTATATATATTTTAAAGCAATGAGATTCTATGAACATTCTAAGTTTAGTTTCTGGCGAAATAATGTGCCACTGCCTTGTTATTTTGACACTGTAATTTTGAAATTTGTATATATAACATGTGTAATGATTTTTTTTTAAATAAAATGTTTATGTACCTTCAAACGCTTGGCGTGGTTTGGCGTTTCTGGAACTCTGCTTTTTACATTACTTATATATGAATCCATTAGCTTGGGTTTTGAGACAACATGTGTTTTACTAGTAGTCTTTGAAGGCCTTTGCTTTGTCACTCCATTTCTACAGCACTCATGTCCACACAAGGACTTATTCAAACATCTATGACCACATGCCTTTCGAACATCTGTACAAGACGACGTTCCTTTTTGGTTATCAACCTGTTGATTAAAAAAAACACCATACTTCATTTCTCTAACAGAAAAAAATAAAACTCTACATTTTAAATTCGATATTTTCAATTTAATTTTTCACAGTTCATATCTACAATTGATTTTAAAATATGAACCTCTATGAAATAATTCTCTTTAGTAAATCTGATCAATATTTTCACGTATTGCAGTAAATTTGACAAACGTGACAGGGACGCATGAAAATACTGTATATTTCTAACCTGACATTTGGGAACTGATTCCACTGCATTTGAAATGTTTGAAACTTTCTTTGCTCCGATGTAATAAGGAGTGTAAGTGATCTGCACATCAAGTCCAACTGAAAATAGCATAATTTTTTTACACTTATAAATCCAGTGACATTAAAAAGAGGCATTTACAAGTAAGTCACTAAACACTGTTAAATTATCAAGTAGGTAATCCAAATTTATCTATGTTGTGTGAACATTAGAAGGTACCCCATTCTTGACTGATCAGGTTTATAAACAATTCTGGTCCTTTTGCTGCTCGTTTTATTTCCAATTTCTTTGTAATTCCATGTTCCTTTAGCAAGAGTACATCCCTTAAACAAAATAAATTATATTATGAAAAATAAATGATACTTTTGAAGATTTGAAATTCCCTCATAAAGCTAGTGATCAATTCTACAAGGAATTCACTAGATTTTGATTCACCTTCGATGACAACACATATGGATTTTATGAGATACTTTTAATAAATCATTTACATTATTTTCCTTTTGTAGATAACTTTGTTGTCCTCATCTCCAATAAGAAGTACGCATGTGTGATTTTCTGGGAGTGTCTTCCGGATCCCCAGTTGTTTTGGATTGCTGATGACTAGATGAATGACTATATCAGCCAGGTTTTCATGGTATTTGCTGACCTGCAAAAAAAACTGTTTTTGAATTCTATGTGCCCTACCAAATGAAGTATGTAATACACACAGTTAAATATAACTGTTTAACCGAAAATGGTTTTGCTGACTTAATAAATGCACATTTTGGAAATAATAAAGACATTGCTAATAAACAAATGTGCATATAAAACTATAAAGAGATTTGCACTTTTGTTATATTCAATTGTTGGATATTTACTTTGTAATATTTCCTTGCTCTCCTTAATAAATTTTATACAATTGGGCATATTCATAGAAACTTTTTGGGCATTGAGCTCTGTTCTCGCTAGAGGGTTTTCCACATATCTTGAAATTTATAAGTTGTTAATATGTTTTGACTTCAGTCATGTCTTCTTTATTTGACCCCATATCTTTTTAATTGAATCTTAAACGAGACTGTCCCAGTGCAATAAAATGTAGAAACTACATTTCATTTGAGGAACTCTCTTATGCTTTCTGAGTTATAGCATGCTGCTGCAGGTGTCATAACAGTATTTCACTTGAGGTTCACGTCAAATCAAGGCTGACGCAAAATAATTCCTGAATCTTCCCTTCCGATTCGGGCATTTTAACACGAGACTGGAGCTGAATTTTTTTAGGAGATGAAAAACAATATGTAAACTTCCTATATTGACTAGATTCATTAAAATTTAGGGCGTGCTGAATTTTCTATATACTGTATATGAGTGGGGAGTGATTAGGTCCTGGACTTGTTTTTCAAGCACCTGCTCGACTTCCAGCGAGACAAACTTGCGTGCCTTGCTGGATGGCTATGTATTTTTTGGTACTAAAATCTTTATAAAGAATTGTTTTACAAGATCCGAAAAGGACACTTCTCAAAAGTTTGTTTTCAATTAATACCACCTACTCCAATTTGCTCATTTTTGGTAAGAATACATAGCAAAATTTAATACTGTTGTGCAACCTGCAGTAAAAGCAGATTTTATACTTCGAAATACTGTAGTCTATAATTTAAGGTTTAATTTCGTGAGTTCAGACGGAAAATGAGAAATAATGGCATTTTTTGACCGTCATTGCTGTTCGTTCGCGTTTAATGGAGCATAGAAAATTAGTCCAGATTTCCTCTAAAATAATTTATCTTGACCACACAAGGGCCTGATTTCGATGTAATGGGTTGAGAGAAATGCATGAAAATTAGAGGACACTTTAACAAATACCTTGCCATCACACTCGTTAACATTATTTACTCATAAACAATTTCAAAATCTATCAATTTAAAGAATTTAGACTAAACCTGGAGCAAAATAAAAATTATGAATATGTGTAAATATCCCTTAATTTGGAACACAGTGGTAACAGATAAAGAAATCTGGTTCGTAAAAAGAATTATTTAGGCAAAACAATCGTAATTAAGCAGAAAACGCCATGATATTTCAATAATATGTATTATTTCAATGCTTTTTTTAACCCCACCCCCCTTCCTTATGACAAAGACTACTTCTTTCGCCCTGTTATAAAAAGCAAACATATTTTAAATAATTTTTAATCCTTATGTGAATCAGTAGGCATTAATTAAAAATTTGAGACGAAAAAACAACAAAAGTTCAACGCGCAAGATCATTACATACAGTTCAACTTTTGCCATATTTTTAGAAATCCGTGTTCACCGCGAACACCCCTGTCACCGAGTGTCGCCAATATTTTTCCTACCTTGAGACGGACTTTTATGAAACTTGCTTTATTACATTGAATATTCATTACAAATCGGGAAAATACCATTATACTGGCAAGCAAAAATTTTCACTCTTATTGCAGGTGTCATAACAGTATTTCACTTGAGGTTCACGTCAAATCATGGCTGACGCAAAATAATTTCTGAATCTTCCCTTCCGATTCGGGCATTTTAACACGAGACTGGAGCTGAATTTTTTTAGGAGATGAAAAACAATATGTAAACTTCCTATATTGACTAGATTCATTAAAATTTAGGGCGTGCTGAATTTTCTATATACTGTATATGAGTGGGGAGTGATTAGGTCCTGGACTTGTTTTTCAAGCACCTGCTCGAATTCCAGCGAGACAAACTTGCGTGCCTTGCTGGATGGCTATGTATTTTTTGGTACTAAAATCTTTATAAAGAATTGTTTTACAAGATCCGAAAAGGACACTTCTCAAAAGTTTGTTTTCAATTAATACCACCTACTCAAAGTTGCGCATTTTTGGTAAGAATATATAGCAAAATTTAATACTGTTGTGCAACCTGCATAATACATGCATGTTCTGTCAAGCCCCTATCTTTACTCTTCACAAAAACATAATCATGTAGGAGAAACCTATGAGTATTGTACAACAACATATTCGAGAAGTTGTGTTAATTAGATGCAGATACATAAAAACTCAAAGGAACTTTTAGAAAATTTGAAATCACAAAATTTTACCAAATTTAATAACATCAAAACATTCCACTTTTCAAGAATTTATACAACCTACCCCTAGATAAATTAAAGACCAGGCTTTTTGACTTCATAGACAAATGCTTTTTCAATAAAAATGGATCACGTAAATTTACATATTTTGTCATTGGTTATCTGCAAACTTATTTTATTAAAAAAAACATTCTGATTCTAGACACAGGTACTCCGAAGTTGATATTAAAAAGATGCTCGAGTTTCTAATTAAAACTTTGGGTGGAATATGAAGAATTAGATAAAAACATGCCAAAACGGCTTGAAAAGGCATGTCATTGTGGAAGGTACTTCAGCGGGAATGGTCCTCAATCCAGAAATAGTTCTGTTAAAACTTAATATGTAACATGTCCAATTGCATTTAGGCTGTTACTTGTGTAAAAAAAAATGGGAGCGAATATGTACTACAAAGTAAATTATCAATCATGAATATTAAACTATAATAAAGTTGCAAAAATTCACCATACCTTTTGTTTGCACTTTGTTTGATAGTAATATATCATTTTCCAAAATGTGCATTTAATTAGTTCACAAAAGTATGCTAAATTAAAAAGTCTTTGGAGCTGTATAGTTAGAGTAAATGAAAAAGGTGAAGATAATGAACAGTGATAGATCTCAAAGAAACCTACAAACAATACAAATCTATGAACAGGGCATAAAACACGGACCCCGAAAATTCCAGAAGTGGGATCAGGTGTCTAGGAGGAGTAAGCACAACCGCCTTAAGCCGTATCCATTGATCATGTAGATGGAATATTCCGGAGTCAAATTAAGTATAAAAACAAAGCCTAAAACACAGTTTAATTTTTTTTCAATGGTTTATCATATTCAAATGCGCATTTTTATTCGTGAATACACGTATGTCTTGCCTGTTCTATTGTCAGTTCATATTTAGGTAGACAGGACACCAAATCTCTCAGCTGATTTCCAAAAGGTGGGTGTCTGTTAACGATCTACAGATGATAAAACAGCATTTTGTCTCTCATTAGAGTTAACATTCATATTCTATAGATGTAAATAAGCTTCCAAGCATTTCTTTTTCCTTTGATGAGCAGCTTAAACAAAGATTTTATCTTTTATAAAAATACATTACTTCTTGGAGTAAATCAGGGGAAAAATTCATTGGCAAGAACCAATATACATCTATTTTGTTTGCTTGTTGGTTTGATACCTTTAAAACTGATTTACCAATTCTAGTTCCCTTGGATTTGATTCTAAAATCTTTTGAAATGTTGTGATCCCAGCGTTGACGAGCGCATTTGAAAGAGCAGGGCCTACAAGTGAACTTTTACATATTAAACATTAATTAAACCTCCGAAAATATTTCAATTCCAGAATTTTCAAACATTACTCATAATAAGAATAATTACAAAAAATAAATCACAAAATGGAAAAAGTTAAAAGTTATTTCAAAATAATATCAATTAATATATATAATACATTAATATTCTTAAATGATTTTTTTTATTTATCTGAGATATTCATTAATGTTCATGTTCTATCACCAATGCCGTCCAGCTGTTTTGAAATGTATTTCGAGTCCTCCCAAAGCCTAGCTTTCAGACACTTCATCAGTTGGACTGCACTCAGCAGGGACTTGTAATCAGCTTTGAGCCATAATAATTCCACCAAACCTTAAATGTAAATGTTTCAATGAGTTAATTTACACACACAGAATGGTCGACTTGTATGAACGTAAAAATAAAAATCCAAATTTTTCTAACATTTGGCACTCCGCACAACCTTGTTTTCTTTTACAGTTCAGAACATTTACCTGTATACAAACGTACAATAAAACTACCTTAATTCTAAAGCACTATTACATATTGCTTATAAAATATCATAAGCTGTATTATGAAGTACACAACAGAAATACTACTATGATGAAGCTTACATCTTGACACCCTTTGCGCTGCCCTGAATATTCTGGTGGTGTCTTGCTGAAGGGAGAAGTCTTGTAAAAGGAGACACCCAAGACCAACTTGAATAAGACTTCAAAATGGAAAAATCAATGATTTTAAAATGTTGAATAAAATCGTGGGGTATTTAAAAAACGTTAAATACATATCTAAAGTTTTATATATAATGATAAACATGTATTAAGTATATTGTATTTTTTTAAAAAGTAATAATTTTCCTTACATGTTAACCTTCATTTGCTTAGTCTTCACTTTGCCTGTTAGAGGATACCTTCAATATTAAAATTAGTATTTTAATTTTCAATGTTTACGTATTTTAAATATGAATAAAATTAGAACATAATGCCTAAAAAATTAAAGATTAAGGAATCCACTACATCTAAATATTACAGTATAGTAGGATAAATTAACTTTTTTGACACCCCCCTCCCCCCATCACCATTCCTAAATGAAAATCCTGGATCTGCTCCTAGCAATATCTTTAAACACTAGTTTTCAGCAGGAAAACTGACTCTGAACAGGATAAGTAAAGATTTATCTTCACTTCAAAATTCTTGCTTGCCATGATTTTTGTTCATTGATGAAAAGCTTGGACAAACCTGACCGTGACCCTGTTCTTGTCCCTGTTAAATGTGTTCAGGGTTTTCTTCTCGTTATTCCTCAGCTGTACCTCTGTAAACTCCTCACATCCTGATAGCTCATACAACTTTCCATGTCAAAAAAGTATCTCCATTTAGTTACCAACGAATCAATGATTAATTAGTTTTTGTTGAGAATTTACTATTTTTAATGAATTGCTATTTCCTTTGCATTTAAGCATTTACCAGCTCGCTTATTGTTTCTGTGGGTCCTAGCTTGGAAAACTTTTTCATAGTTTCAAAAGCAATACAATATCTTGCCATCAGCTTCCCAGGTTCTAAAATGAAAAAAATCAACAGGGATTAATGTGAAGACATGAAAGATTTAGTTTCAGTTTCTATAGTAAACTTTGATAAAACTTCTAAAATGTAATTTATATACCAGTTGGTTTGACTTCGATGGTTTCTTCATCCATTGTGATCATTCCATAAGTATTTAGTAGGTTCAAGTTTTTCATGCATAATTCTATAGTAAAAAGAAAGTAAGCATTCCTATAAAAAAACGCTGTTAAAAACTTATAAATGTAAAATACTAGATAGACTTTCATGTAAGTTTACATACCCTGCAGCCTCTTTTCTATCTGTTCTTTGTTTAATCCAACAGGCATGCCTAAAAAGCGAGAAAATGCACATACCTTAGCATATATAATTTATTTCAGTCTGCAATCATTAATTTAAATTTAAACAGTATTTTATTCACATAAGTGCATAGGATTGGGCAGCAGGCTCAGCCTAAGTCTGCAATCATTAAGTAGATATACATTTTTATCTTGATTATATAAATCATTTTTTTCTTACCATAGTTTTTCGGATTTTTCATGACACGAATGTACAAAAATGTATATCGAATCCATTCCATGGCTATGGAAATGTCGTTGATCGTGTGCAAAACTATCTCTGCATTCAAGTGTTCAATAAGATTTTTGTGCAAACTGTAAATCAATGCAACAAAATCAAAATACACGAAATATTTACATTTTAAAATCATTGACATGTATGACAGTCATTCATTCTGTGTACAGACCTACTCTCTATCAGCTGCGTTCCGTTCACCAATGATTCATATTTGTCCTAAATATAAATATTATCAAATAATTACAGCCTCTTTAAAATATAAGTTACAATTATATGAGGCCAGTTTTAAAAAAAATTTGTTTGCCCTCTCCCGACTCAAGATAAAAAATTTGGGTCAATAGATAGGTGGGAAATTTTTTTCCCAGAAAATTTTCAAATCAATGCTAGATTTTCAAAATCTGTTTTCCGGAATGCATGAAAAATAATTCTTTCCTGGAGGTTAAAAAAAGTTTTTAGCCAGTCGGTCGGGAGGGGGCAACCAAACAAATTTTTGAAAGATGCCCGGATATTATAAAATATTTTTTCAATATTCAAATTCAACAAATATTTCCATACCTTTGTATGGTTCTTAGTCATGATTACTGCAGTAGCTGTTGTGTCAAACTGCAAGAATAACAGCCCCAGTATACTCCATGGGAACATGATATAGCCATCAAAAACTGCATATCAGAGATTTCTTTACATATAAGTATTCTAACTATTCGAGATACAATAACAGCCTTTTTCTGTCTTTGTACTAAGTTTAAAATATTCCTTTTTTCCGACAAAATGTAATTTGAGTAAAACATAGCATATGGAAACCCATCTGAATTAAACCGAGATGCTTAAAATTACCTTTTTGGTCAATTGCAGGATGATTTTATTATGTGTTCTATATGATCTGAACAAGACTTGAGTTGCGCAGTCATAAATCCAAAACGTAATCGTTGTGACTTTCTTGTAGACCTCTACACTTTGTCTTTTTTTTTTAATTTTGAATCAGTTTCTTGTACATGTGTAACAATGTTAAAAGCTTGAAAACTCTCAACATGCCATACTCGTCATTATTTAAATGATGAAATATCTCTATGTGAAGTTACCTGTGGTCTTCCAGCTCGGCCAATCATTTGCAGAATCTGGGTGTCTGAGTATTCCACATGAACACCAAGATTGTAATATGAAGTGGACTTTAAGATCACAAGATGAGCAGGGAGATTAACACCCATCGCTAGTGTACTAGTGGCCACTGAAAATGATCAAAATGTTACATAGGTTATTAATATCTTTTGTACAAATGATTCCCAATTACTAAGTACCGAAATATTTTTTCACTCGGTTTAATTATTTTTATTTCCTAATTTAGCATTTCTTCTTTTTTTTCTATACAATGAAAAAAATTCTCACATTTAACCTATACCCCATTTTTTATAAAGAAAAATAGGTACCTAACACCATCAATTGTCCCTCGAGAAAAATTTCTTCTATAGCTTTTCTGTCATGGACATCCAGACCAGCGTGATGGTAACCCACTCCTCGTGCTACAAGGTCTGAAGCAGAACGATTCCACATAATAACTTTCCAACAATAACCTGTATTGCCTGTATATATTAAATTTCATATATACAATAATTCGGGATAAATACAAGTGAACTCTGAATTATATATATAATAAAAAAATATTTTTTCCCTTTTGAATGCAATACACTTTTTTACAAATGTTAAAAGTTTGAGTTATGTTAAAAAGATAACGTGCAGTAAGTTGATAGACCAGAAGACATTCCGAATTAATCATCAATTAGACCGGGTCCTCAACAACTCAAATGCATTTAATTTGCAAATAAGCCTACCTCTGAGTTTATTGTCTTTCAGGGAATTGGCACACGTCCGCAATGCTTCTTTTTGGAAATAAGTTCTGACATACGTACTTCCGTTATCTCTTAGCAGGATCTCAGCAGCTTGTTGGGTACTTTTTCTTGTTGAACAAAACTGTACAGGAGAAAAATGGAAGTATATTTCGAAATGGACATTCTGATAGAATAGGATTTTTTTTTTATTGTTTGAAAAAGAATAACCTTTTCTACATTCATTATAAAAGTTTCGTTAAGGTTTCCTTGGTTCAGGTCACTCTTTAAAACACTAAAAGATATTTTTTTTTAAAAAATTGCTTAACAGCTCACAGTTGAGTACATTTATTGATCTGTTAATATTAGTAAAAATAAACAAAAAGAAAAAATACAGTAACATTTTATTAAAAGAACACAAAATGAACATAATCACAGAAATAATGCCAACAAAATTAACCACAAGAGTTGGTTTGTTCTCAGAGTAGGTGTTTATAATTCGTGGAAGTCTGTAGTTCAATGACATGTCAAACTGGAAATCAGATCCCTTGTTTTCGTCAAATGGGGATCCCAGCACCACCTTTCTTAAACGCACTGGTCGGAAACTGTCGTCCATACTGAGAAAACAAAATTGTTTACTAATTCAGTAAATCAACCATGCACTGATTCAACATAATACGATTATATACTTGCAATCAACTACACTTTATTTCAGTATTAAATATGCTTTAATTTGATTATAAAGACAAAATAAGATATCCTTACTAAACATTTAAATCAAACTTACTTAAAATGAACTGCAGGCATTTTGTCTCCAAGCCATTCTGCAATCTGAGAAGGATAACACAAGAAATCTTTTCCATATCAATGCAATTATATTGCTTATTGTTGTATAAGTGCGACATTTAAAAAAGAAAAATAATGAAATTTTAGAAAAAAATATGTACGTCTCATGCAGGTTTTGAATAACCTTACCACAAGATTTCTCCTCAGTTGTCTGTCCCACGGTACCATAGTCACTTTTTACACTGTATTTCAAAATACATAATTGAAAACCTTACCTTTCAATCCCCTCATCCCCACCCAAATTTTCTACTTCGAAAGAAACCTCGAAGTTCAGTTAGTGTATAGACAACAAACCCAAAATCTGCCACAATTCAGCACTTAGAAAGTGGCCAAAACTTCGGAACTTTTTTGGAATCCTTCATACGAGAGTATTTTGTGATTTTCCGTTGCTTGATATCAGTAACATATTGATATTTTATATTATTATATAGTATAATACGGGAATTAATTTATAGGTCACTCGGATAATCTCTGGAAATAATAGATTTCACGTATGCTTGACATCCGTAGGCTTTGAAACATCATAGCACACTGGTTTGTTTTTAAAAGTTCTATATAACCAATCCGACTAAAAAAGATTTTAAATGATAAAAGTTTAATGTCATTTTTTTTAAGCAAGTCAAAATCTGTTTAAATTGTGATGGAAAAGCTCATGTGGGACAGACTAAAGGTGACACATAATTAAAAGTTCAAAATATCAATACATAAATCTGAGATTGGCTCATATTTTTTACTTTTGTCAGTATAGCCAATATATCAATGGGATGGGTTTTTTTTTTCCAGATGCACCCACACAGAGGTCGTGACACCTCCCCTCCCCCACCTTTAAAATCACACTAACATCTTTTATATTTGGTATTGTAGCAGACACAGCAACAAATCTTAGCTTAGGAATTGTTTGTCCAACACCCTCAACAGCTCTAATCCTGGCCGCTTGAATAGTTTTCATTCTTGAAATTACTGCTTCCATTGTTGCACCTCGAGTGGCATCACTTAAAACATGAATCTGAAACATCAAAGGTAAATTGATATTATTTAATTGTCCAGCCACAGGAGTTCGCGTACCTATCAATTTAACCGAAATTTTTAGTAAATAAAAAAAATACGTAATACCTATAATATTATTATTATTATTATTATTATAGGTATTACGTATTTTTTTTATTTACTGAAAATTTCGGTTAAATTGATAGGTACGCGAACTCCTGTGGTCCAGCAGAATCGATAACTGGGTACATTATTATATAAACTGCGTATAATGTGTTATTTTAGTTATAAAATAAATATTATGCATCTTCAGCACTAAGCACTAGCATTAAATCGGTTCCATAATCAGAATCCTGAAATACTTAAATTACTTAGAAGATACCTCGTCAATGAAGAAGAGACAAATTGACTGCACAATAAATTTATTGTCTCTCCATCTCCGAGTCATACTGTCCCATTTTTCCTGTCAAATACATTAGATAATATCACTATGATAAAATCAATGTCAAAGGAGTAGAAATAATTATCTGGATGCTCAATAATTCATCTTTTCAAATTCTAAATTATATACTGGAGTGGTGCAGATGATGTTGACTTGTTGAATGTGGTAGTAATCATCCTGCTCAGAGTCTCCGGTCAGTTCCTGGCATTTCAATCCGAAACATCCGAACTTATCTGACCAATCAGAGCAACGCTCACTGCATAAAGCTTTTATTGGAGCCACTGAAAGAAACACACAGCTCTGGGTAAATCTATCATTACTCCAAATTCACAAATATCTGAGCATTATATCTTGGGTTTTTCTTTCGGTAGCCTCTTTTCTTTAATACTGTGATGAATGTATAGAAACTATGTAGACTTACTATAAACGATTTTGAAATTCGTGTTGAACGACATTTGTTCCATCTTCATTAACAACCGAATGATTGCCAGTTCGAACACGACAGTCTTCCCGGCGCCAGTCGGTGCACACACAACAAGTGGGTTGTCCTTGTAAAAAACCTGTTAGTAGAGTGTAAAAATCGATTTTTAACTATCCCAAAATTTGCATTTGTACAAGCTTTTTTGGAAATATTAAATGAGATGACATGTGTGTAATTATCAATTACCTCGTCAAATACTTTTGACTGGATGATGTTGAAGAATGGAAACCTGAATACGCTTCTGTATTTTTCAGCTGCAAAGATAATGTGTAGCTACATCTGCATTTCCCAGCATTTGTTTAAACTTCTTTAATTATTAATAGTACACGTTCTTCAATATTCATTGACCCTCAGTTAAGAGACAAGTCCTACTGGGACGAATGACTAACAATTCTTAACAATTCTTTCTGTCAGAATTTCTACAAGATATGCTGAAATTGTTCCCATTTAAATTACGGTATAATTTAGTTTTCATTAGAAAAATCATTAGCTTTTTATTTGAGTATTTCAGTGAAACAAGGAATGATGAACCTTAAACTGTTCAGTATATACAAGAAGGGAACAAAACATATCAGTTATTACCTATTTCATCTACAGATTTCAGCTTTACTCCAGCAACATTTCCCTGGTTTACTAAATTAAAAAAAACGTATGTATATAATATGGCAAATACAACCCCCTTAGTCATAAATTCACAGAGAGAATAAGCATGAAAGCTTTCTTTTTTAAAGAAGAATAGCACTGGTTTTGCACATGACGCGTCAGATATACCAGTTGAGAACAAGCTTTATTTATATATTGGTTTAATGTTTTCTCTCATACTTTGGAAACCCGTATTTTTAGATATATAATCTTAAATTTCAACCACAGAGTCGAATTTTAGAAAAATTACGGACCATAAGACGAAACATAAACTGTCAAGATGAAAATGTGTGGTGTACATTCTTTCCTTCAATGAAATAGTGGGTAAGATTTAGCGTGGACATCAGAAAAATATACTGTTATTTCATAGAATTGCTGAATGAATTGCACATTTTCCATTGCGCGCGTTTGTAGATTCATCACACTGCGGAACGCTGAAAATATGAAATGCTGTTCAGCGCGGACGTACCTGAAAACATTGGATTGAAATTCTAATTTCTAAGTTGAATTTATTTTACATATGTATCTAGCTATTTCCCTACACAGAAAATTGGTATTAATGATTGATCCAGATGGAAAAGAATCTTTTTGATTTTGGGGTATGGTCTGAATTTATTCTACATCTGAATTTCCTATCAAATATTTTAAAGAAAATCGAAACTTAAATACTGATGCCTTTGGAAATTCATTTCAAAAACCATAATTTCAATCCTGTTTTTACATATGCGCGCACTGGAAATTTGGCAGCTCCCCCGACAACTGGAACTAGAATTTTTCTCTGTCTTTACAAAAATCTACGCTGGATCGTACTACACATTCCATTATCTTTAATTAATTCAAAATCATTATGAATGTCCATGCTGAATACCCGCCCATTCCATTGACTGACGTGAAATGTTATCAGAGTAACAAATAGAAAGGACGTAGGCTGCATATTGCGAACCTTGTCAGTCAATGTTCCGTGGTCTTAATTCACTTATATTTTAAATTATTGTAAAAAGTGAGTGGTTTACCCCCAGTCACTCCCACCCTTCTCTCTTCATCCAACGGATATAACGACCTAGTTTATCTCTTTTCTTACAAATACGTACAAACAAGTGGAGAAGGAGTATAGTAATTTTTCTTCAACGAAGGTATGGCAGATGGAGTCACAATCTGAATATTATTTTCTCGCTGATTAGACGTAAATTCTTTATCAGACTGAGACATCTGTTGCACGCGGGAATTGTCGCCTTGGTTGTTATTGTTATGAAAGGACACAATATCGCCCCCATTTAGTTGAGTAGATGATGTCTTTGTTGGTAGTTTGAATAGCTGTCGTCTTTGGGATAATTGTAAACGTGAAGTGTTTGGTGTCTTTTCTTCTGGAGTGCCAAAACTGCAATAAAACAAAGATACTGTAAACACTGATCAGGCTCACAAAATGACACCCCGCTCCCATACGAGTACATATTTAATGGCGAAGTGCATTTCTTGGCATTATGTAAACGAGATTCTGTGAAAGTTCCATTGAATTTCGCACAGGGGTTTAGGAGTATATCGAATATAATGTAAATTTCTCTGTTTTGCTATGGGAAACCCAAAATATCTGTCCGATCAAAACATAAAATAGGAGGTGCACAATGGCACTATGTAGAAAAACTTGCGTGAAATTTTCATGAAATTGTATTCTGTTGTGAAAGAGGAGTCGCGGATAAGTAATTGCTACCCCAAGTGTACCAAGAATGGCAAAGTTCATGCTTTGCTATGGAAACCCCCACATATCTTTCCAATCGAAACATAAAATAAAAGGTGCATTTAGTGGTGTAAAAGGAGTTGCAGATAGGTGATGGTACATCAAGTGTACCAAAAATGGCAAAATTCAAATATTGCCACGGGAAATCCCAAATATCTGTCCGGTATGAAGGGTAAAATATGAGGTGCATAATAACACTACATAATAAAGTTCTGTGAAAGTCTCATTAAATTGAATACATTGGTATAGGAGGAGTTGCGGAGAACAGATAGATACCCCAATACTATAGAAAGAATGGCAGTGTCCATGTTAATATGCTATTGGAAACGTAAAATAAGATGTACTCAATGCTACTTTGTAGTAAAGATTTCGTAAAAGTTTCATTAAATTGTTCAGTTGTGTAAGAGGAGTTTCGGAAAAAGGGATGGCTACCCCAAGTGTAACAGACGGACGGACACCCCATCACTATATACCCCCACTTTTCAAGCGGGCTATAATAATGCAGTAAACAAGAATAAAATTCTTGATATTACACCAACGATAGAGATTGGACTTTTTGGGGAAGGGGAAGGGGACATATAACAAATCAATTAGTTTAGAAAATATTTATCATTGTTGTAGGGATATTCAACACATTCTATTTCTTAGGAAAAGTATCAGAAACACAGACCAGTTAAGCGCCTTTCATGAAAAACAACCTCTGATGTTTTAGCAGTACTGTCTTTTATTAATTTTCAATCTAAAGTTGAATATGATCAGTCATTTTCAACTTTAGATTGAAAATTAATAAAAGACAGTACGATGCTGGAACAGTTACAATGGAAAGCACTCTCTTAGGTTTGTGGGAGAAAGTGCACATTTAATAGTCTAGAGTTCAATCAAATATACTTTTCGATTCTTGTATGAAAATATGGCTGATTACTGTCAGAGTAAAATCAGAAAATTTTCCTATCACACTTGTATGACCAAAGTAAAAATAAATCATCACATGACAATCCTTGAAGTGATCGATTACACTGGTAGGATTTTTACTACCAGTAGATAAGCATGCTCTCAACTAAGCATATTTTCTTATGGTAGAGGTATGTTACAGAATATTTTCAAGCCCTGTGTATGGCATATTTTTCTAACCCTTTATATGCTGAATATATTTTTCTCCCAAAATAAGACTTTCCGGGCACTAGCTCTTGGCACATATTGTGGCCTGCGAAAATGTATGCCGGGATTAGAAAAATTCTGCGAGAGAGAGAGAATTAACATGCATGATTTTTTGCCAACCATCTTTTGCATGAGACTCCGGGACAAGAATTCAACCCAATTTCAGAAAGAGTTTAAGCGGCTTATTATATTTTTATGGAAAGCAAAAATATCTAATTCAGGGGTTGAAATAGTAGGTCTAGACAATCATCCAAGTGGTATACGCTTATCACCTGCATATGGGGTTTTTTGACTCCCAGTTGATTCGAAACGCAAGAGCATGCTCTACGTATCTGCATACGGGGTTTTTTTGTCTCCCAGTTGATTTGATATGCAAGAGCATGTTCTACGTATGAACAATTTCTAAAACGAGACAAGCTACTGACAGACAAGTTGTTGAAACAAGGATATCAACAATCTTGTTTGAAGTCATCATTTCGCAAGTTTTGTGGTCGATACAATGACCTTGTCAGCAAATACAACCTATCATTAAGTCAAATGCTGACTGATGTTTTTCATACTAATTGTTAGGCCATTATTTACACACTGAATTGTCTACGGATTATTCCGTTCCTCCCGACCGATCATGGCAAGGAACACAGCGGGTGTGACCGGTTGGAAGGGATGCTCACTCCCCCCATGGCACCTGATCCCAAGTCTAATGTTTTGTCCGCGTTTGCTCTGCTCCCGATTTGTATTGTTTAAATGGACTTTGAGCTTCAATACTGTTCGTTATCTCCATATTTCATACATGTATAAGCAATAAAAAACTAGAGGCACTGTAAGCATTTGAGCTTACAAAATACATTCCCTTCCCGGCTTCCATATGAGTATAATGGCAAAATCCATGTTTTGCAATGGGGAACCCCAAATATCTGTCCAAACGAAATTGAAATATAAGGTACACAATGGTACTATATAATGAAGATTCTGTAAGAGTCTCATCAAATTTTACACAGTGGTACAGGAAGATTTGCGGATAAGAGATGAACACCCCCATATAATAAAAAGCATGGCAATATCCATGTTTTGCTATTGGAAACCTCAAATATGTGTCCGATCAAAACATAAAATAAGATATGCTCAATGCTACTTTGTAATGAAGATTTCGTGAAAGTTTCAATAAGTTGCTCATAGTGGTGTAAGAGGAGTTGTGGATAAGGGATGGCTATCCCCCAAGTGTAACAGATGGAAGGACATAGGGAGGGCACCCTCATCACTATATTATACCCCCCCATCCCCCCCCCCCCACACACAGATACACATTTCAATCGGGGGGGGGGGGTGTATTATAAATGTTTCGTTGAAATTTTGAAATATATTTTTACGAAAAAATGGGTTACAAAACCAGCATCAAAAAATGGGCATTGAACTATGGATCAGATTTATAAATGGTACTATATACATGACTTCCTCCATTTTTGGGTGTTTGCTCTGCGTTGAATTTCCATACTGAGAACTCCGGAAAATCTGCGAAGGTTGAAAATCCAGAAATGGGTCTAGTTGTGTTGAATGCAGAAAATCACATCTTGGAGCTGCCGGTACGGGACAGCAATCTTTTTCTTCATCTCGAATCACTTGATCATGGTATGGTGATGCTAAACTGTTTGGAAACATAAAAATGTTCAAAAAATATACTTTTTTAAAAAGTTATTTAATTAATTTGGTATTTATAAATATTTTATATTCCTTTCATGTTCCAATCAGATTAAAATACCTGTAAAAGTATGCGAAAAGTGCGCTTTGCACTGCTGTAGATATCTATGTTTAGCTCTACATGTCAGAGACCAAAAGAGCTTAGGCGATAGAAATGTGTCCGTCGTCCGTTCGTCTAGCTGCCTGCCTAGCTGTCCGTCTGTCTGTCTATAAACAATTATTTTTCAAAATGCTACTCCTCCTACAGTTTTGGTCTTATTTCAATAGGCACATAAGTAGACTACATTTAGATACATAATTCTATTTATCTGCTTTTGATTTCGATTAACGGTGTTGCCATGGTTACTAAAAATAAAATTTTCTGTGAAATACTTTCAAAAAGCCACTCCTCCTACAGTTTTGGTCTGATTTCAATATAACTTGGCACACAAGTAGACTACATTAAGATATATAATTCTGTATATCCGTCTAACCTAAGACGTAAACATAGGTAGTGACTGTTCTTTCGCCAAGCGCCCGGCACTAGTAATGAAAATCATGGGTCTTTCGGATGAGACATTAAAAACCGAGGTCCCGTGTCACGGTAGGCGTTGGCACGGTAAAGAACCCTCACTGCTCAATGGCTATAATGAGTGCCGAGTAAAGGTCTAAATTTGAAGCCCTTCGCCGTTATACGAGTGAAAAATTATCGAATGGGACGTTAAACAATAAACAATAAATCAATCAAAACGCTACTCCTCATACAGTTTGGCCTGATTTCATAATAACTTGGCACACAAGTAGACTACACTAAGATACGTAATTCTTTTTATCAGTTATTGATTTCGATGCACTGTGTTCATTTCGATACACTAAGATATCTAATTCTGTATACCGGTTTTTGATTCCGATGAATGATGTTGCCATGTTTACTAAAGAAAAAAGAAATTTCTGTGAAATACTTGCAAATGACTACTCCTCCTATACAGTGTTCGAAATTCAAAATTATTTTCTATGGGTCCAAAGGACCCACAGAGAAAGGGACCACATGAGTCCTTCCAGGGCAGCGTAGGCCCAAAAATTATACCATAAAATATTTGGGAAAAATAAACTTTTACGTATTGATGATCTCGGTAAGTTTATCGCTTCATATGAAATATGTCAATTTAATAAAGGGTAACTACAACTCGCAAGTATTAACAATATGAAACGGTAAAACATTAATCGTCAAACAGTCTTACTTGGTCATATATAACATGCAAAGAGCTTAACATGTGTTTAGATTTTTCCTTGGAATTACAATTTCTGTTTTTAAAATCGGCGGGTAGAAAATTACACAGGTTTCTTAGATTACCACAATATGTTGTTAAAATGTACTTAAGTATACTTGGACAATTTTCCGTAGAAAGTTTGTAACCGCATACATATAGCGTAAATTTTTTCCAGAAGGAAAAAAAATTAAATCTTCAGTATTTATTTAAAATGCACATGAAAAGAAGAAATCATCATCGGCCCAAAATTATTTCAAGGACCCATTTAGTCATACTATTCGTGAGTCCTTCCGTCAGTACGTCGGCGCAGGACCGACGGGCCGACGCTAATTTCGAACACTGCTCCTATAGTTTTAGTCTGGTTTCAATATAACTTGGCACACAAGTAGACTACACAAAGAAACATAATTCTTTTTATCAGTTATTGATTTCGATGTTGCCTTGGTTATTAGAAATAGAATTTTCTGTGAAATACATTAAAATGCTACTCCTCCTACAGTTTTGATCTGAATTCAATATAATTGACACACAAGTAGATTACACTGAGATACACAATTCTGTATATATATCAAATTTTGATTTTTGTGAAGTGTTGCCATGGTTACTAAAAATAGAAATTTCTGTGAAATACTTTCAAAACACTACTCCTCCTATAGTTTGGTTTGATTATTAAAACTAGAATTTTCTGTAATTTTTTTTTCAAAAGGCTAATCCTCCTACAGTTTTAGTCTGATTGCATAAATCTTGCCACAAAAAGACTAAACCAAGGGTCATTATTCTATTTATTTTGTTATAAGTACAAACCAGTAGGCTACAGTCTCGTCAGAGACTTCTGGTTATAGATAGTATCACAAATTACTTTTCAGATTAAGATTTAATTACACAAAAGTTATGGTTTCTTTTAAATTCAAGTATTTAGTTCGGTATAGTAGGGGAATTAACGTTGCAGCTGTTGACTTGTAGAGAAAAAAAACATAACCCGGGTAAGCGGAATGAGTCATTTTTTCTACAATAGCTGCAACCGTTAATTCCCCTGTTCCCGTACTAACAAAGAAAGAATCTGAACGACATTGAGACGTGAAAAACCGATTCTAACTGGGTTTACTGATTAATGAAAGAAGCGGTTTTCTTTAGAAATATAGAGGATCTTTTTTATCTTTAAAGTGATAGAGCGAGGGACTTTTCCCTTAGAGGTAAAGGGTTTGCGCACTGCCTCAAGCCCCTCCCTCATGGTCAAGGGTGAACTTAGTGTGAATTGGGGGGGGGGGGGGTACGGGGCTCCGTTCCTAACCCTCCCTCTTTTTCTGTCTCTGATGCTATCAAAGTTTACATGTAGCTATTAATGTACTTGTGTAAATGTGCGTACCTTTTCTTCTGACTGTTTAATATTTGGCTTATATCTGTCTCCATCTCGCTCCTAGAAAATACTGTTTAAAAAAATTATGGGACATACAAATTATCATTTGTAGATACTGAGCTCCATCATTCATTTGAAATATTGTAAATATTGGAAGAACTCGAAAAGTAAGAAAGTTGAATTTATTATCCAGTGTTAAACAATGCTTGAAATACAAATCAGTGATTCAATCATTTAGGCCTATAGATTAACTTGTTAAATTAAAGTAAAAAGAAATCTTCGAATACTCTAATCTACTAGTAAGTCCAAAAAAAATAATACCCCCCCCCCTTTTCCCCTCTAAATGATTTCGAAACCTATGAAACCACACAAATTTAATAAAAATATTAATAAAATTACTTCAAAAGAAAAACATTTACAAAATTCAGCCTACTTATCATTTACCTTGTGTTTAAAAGAAAAAGATTTCAGGCTCTGTTCATCGTTTTGCAAATAGTGTTGATGTTCTGGCCTGCAGACGATCAATAACTTGTATTATCTCCCTTTGCTTCTCCGTAATATCCGGGATTAAATAAACATTTTCTTTTAAACTATTGATATCAACAATATATTAAAGAAACACAAAAATATATAAATAAATATCTTTAAAAATATCATTTTTAAGCATTAAAGCATAAACTTATAAAATAAGATTTGACTACATGATCGGTTTTCTCTTTTAGTTACATATTAGCATTTCCGAGTCTATCACGAATTTGAGGAAAATTATTAATCAGGTATTATTTTAAGCTTCTCTTTGTAATTTGTGTAACTGTTTTGTGTTCACATTAAGGAGTTAATAACATCAATGCTGTTTCTAAATCATACAACCAATTTGGGCAAAATCACAAAGACTAAATACTTGGACAGCTGTTGGAGTTTCAGTGCTTGCTATTTTTTCCTGCAGTTGCTGCAGATGAAAAAAAAAGACATTTGAACAGGTCGGCACAATCTCTTGTTTTATTTATATAGTTTGAAATATGCATTTTTCCAGCATGTAATAAAACTTTGGTGCAATGATAGTTTCCACCTTTCAACGTTCTGAAAACAATGAAAATAATGTTTATCAGACCGTGTCTCTATCATAGCCTTTGCACTCAATGTTTTTATAGTTTAAGGGATTTATAAAACAATTGATCTTTGACCACGCAGTTAATTCTTGAATGAAATTATAATTCTGGTCAACAAGATATATAATTGATTACTTATAATTTAGCACAATGTGAAGTACATACTTAAACACCCAATTTTATGTTAACGCCCCCAAAATCTACCTAATTCAAGATCAATAATATACCGCCTGTCAATCATTAAAAAAACAATAGCTTCTGATTTGATTGACGGGCCAGCTACGTGGGCTACCTGATAATCTGAGTTTGTGTGTTTTGAAAACAATTACCTGGTCACGCGTCAAACGCTTTCATGTGCCGCATGAATGGTCGATTTGTATACACTATGGTTAAAAAAAAATCATGTCGCTGTTATATTGGTTGATAATTTTATTTTTAAAAAATAATTGAGAGTAGATAATTAAACAGTGACTTCGTGATTTTTTTTTCAATCTCCACTGCTGTTTTGTACTTGTTAGCGGTATGACGTCCAAAATAACTTTTCAAAGAAAAATTAGCGGAAATTCAAGCCCTCTCTTCTTTCAGTAACTGAGATCTGGAGACAGAGAAGTTTCTGTAGTAACACAGACCGATAATTCTTCCGAGCCCCTTATTCAATCTGTCCCTTGATTTTAAGAATGTACGTAATACACTTGTCGACCTTTGCACTTGGCTACACAGAAACTCAATTGGCCGTAATTAGAAACAATCGACCCCCTCCCCCACCATTGAATATTATAACAAAATGCAATGGATTAAATAAGAAAAGATATTTATACTAATATAAATAAAGTATCTTGTATCTAACGCCATGAATTACGAAAGATTCTTTTTATGTCCAAAACTGTAAACAGGGCATAAGAACACGGACCCTCGGAAATGGCGAATATTTGGACACAATCGTTCGCCAGAAAAGTAAATAATATTCCGATGTGGTAAATGTTCACACAATAAGTGGAATCTTTTTATTTTAATATTCACACTTAATATTTTATAATAATTTCTTTTATTGGCGATTAAAATATTGATATGATTGCTTCGTAGTTTTCACCCGTTTTTTTTTTTTTATTATTATTATTAATTTTACGATTTTTAAAAAAGATATGTCTTTTTAACTTTTTTTATTCAAAAGATAACGACGAAAATGCTAAGTCTACAAATTTTATATTTCAGTACCTAATTTATTTTAAATATTTTCACTCAAAATTATGCACAAAACGCGTAATGTTGACCCTGATAACCAAAAGCCGGACTTCCTGTGTAATGCAGCGTGTATAGCGATTTTTGACATCTTGAGTATTTGGGCTCTCCAGGTAAATAACACCAGTACTTCCTAGACCACTCCCCCTCCTCAGGTAACGGTACGGTAAAAAAATTGGGTCTTTAACCATGCCCTACTGCACACAAGGTGCTCGATTCGGAGGCTCAAACCTGTGTCTGTTACATTTCCAATAATTACCAAAACAATGGAAACACATCCTTTTGCTTAAAAGTGTTCAAGAGCTGCAATGTTAAAACTATTTTTTATTTGAGGTGCTTTTTAATAGCCCACAGTACTGATGTGAGACAGAGTAATCAATACTTGAAACTTTTTGCCTATTTAAAAAATAACAGATTTATTGAAGAACTTAAAGTAAATAGCTTTATCGAGCTATTTAATTTTGAATAGCTAAATCAAGCTATGTAGATATTTCAAGCTATACAGCTAAATCAAGAGATTGTGCTGGACCTGTTGATTGCGAGAGAAAAGCTATTTTCTCTTTAGCTTTATAGAATTAAAAACTTTTATCATAGAAAGAGGGTAGGTCAAAGGGCCTAGACATTTGGATTTCTCATCTGTCGCAATGCAAAAGATATTCAAAAAATTATGGTTGAAACACATTTTGAAAATATTTCAAGAAGTATGTAAAACTCATGAGTATCTTATCGCTTCGAAGATCTGCTACTGTGTATTTTCTACCTGATTGTAAATTTTTAGGAGACCAATAAAATTTGACAATAACAATGTAGAGGAATGCCAGAAAAGCAAAGGTCAGTAAAATGGCAGAAAAAGAACACAAGGAACAAAAGATTGGCAGTCAGCTGTCAGCAGAATCTATTAAAGTCATTGCTGAATCAGTAGGAATCAGTGGAATACCTGATGATGCAGCTGGTGTTCTGGCTGAGGATAGCAGCTACAGACTCAAACAGATCATTCAGGTTTGCTTTGCTCCATAGAACAGTAAGTTTTATAAAATTAAAATTGTTCATTTTTTATGCCAGGATTATTTGTAGGTTTTGCAGCTTTACATTATGTACAACTTGATAGCACTGGAAGTGGACATTGTATTCGACATGTCAGAAATACAATTTAGGACTGAGAAAAGGTTGTTCATTTTAAAGACTTATGTGGCACTTTTGCTTATTTCTTTGTACAGGAAGCTGTGAAGTTTATGCATCATGGCAAAAGACTTAAATTATCTACAGCAGACATAGATCATGCACTGAGGGCTGAAAACATTGAGGTAATAGTGTATTAATTTGCACATAGGAATCAGAGTCAAAATGAGAAGGAAAAACACAAAATGATTGAGTCAAGACATTCATGACCTCACATCAATGACCACATTCTAGTTGTCTTTCCAATCTGTCCATAGTTTGTGATTTTTAGGGTCGATTTGAGGCCAAAAATTGGCCCCAATCTGAAATGAAAATATGCCTTTATTTTCCAAAAATGTAGTTGAAGTTTTCCCAAAGATAAAATTACAAAATATGTGATCAAATTCAGTTTGTTTATAGCACATTTCTCAGTAAAGTTTAAGCAGGTTTATTGATTATCCATGTTGGATTCCTTCGTAATTAGATAATTCATACCTCTATTGTTCTTGATATAAGTAATGAGATAATTCATACCAAGAATAGGCTTGATTTGAAATAAACATTTGTTTTTATAGTAATAAAAAGACAAAAATAATGTTTTTTGACAATGTTTTTTTATGTGACTGGGTTTTCTTGAAAATTCCCAATTCAACCTAATTGATATTGAAATTCCCAATTCTGAGAGCCCCAGCCCCCAGTCCCAAAGTACTGATTAGAAAAAAAAACATTGAAAGTAGGCAGTGTATATCTTTATTTTTTGTAGTTTAAAGAGCAATTACAATTTGTAAAAAGAATTTGCAAGAATAGCCTTGTAGTGTAATTTTGTTTAGTGGTTGTACATAGGGGGAGTTTTATACAGAAAAGTTCATTAATGCTTGGGGTTCTAAGATTCTACTATGGAAAGTTATGGAACGTATAGAATTTTACTTTAAAATCTTTTTAAAAAATGAAAAAATGTCAAATTAATAAACAAGCATTCTTCATCCATAGAATGTTACTTTAAAACTAAGGGAAAAAATGTCAAGTTAATAGACATGCATTATTTCGAAGAGTTAAACTTCATCATTGTCACTTCATTGCCCAATGGGACCACAGTAAGGGTTCACACTTTTTGTTAGTAACATACATGTAAAGGAAAACTATTTACAATTCATATTCAAGTACAACTTAATTTGTCGCATTGATATGCAAGTTCTCATATTAGTCACCCTTTTCCATAGTGAGGCCATAAAGGTGGTTTAATTATTACTTGGAAATGTAGAAGAAAAACCCTTTTAAATTTTTAACAGAAAACCAACGTGACCATGGATATGCTTTTTCAAAGTGATATGCTAAATGCATTATATACTTTTGATTGAAGTTTCTAAGATCAAGGCAACAGTTTACTTTTGGGCCAATATTGGGGGTTTCATTTAAGTTTTTTCAGAGCTGTGTCTCATGTAGCTAAGCACTTTGGCCTAAGAGCCTCAACTTTGAGATCCATTTTTCAGGCATAGTAATATGATTTATTTGTGTTTAATGATAATTGGGGTCCTGTTTGCAGCCTCTCTACGGATTTGAGGCAGGGGACAGCATTCCTTTCCGGTTTGCCAGTGGTGGAGGAAGGGAACTACATTTCATTGAAGAAAAGGAATTTGATCTACAGGATGTTGTGAACTCAACATTGCCTAAAATACCTGTTGATATTTCGTTAAAAGGTTTGAGTTTGTTGGCTAACCTGATGAAGTCTGGCAAAAGTTTTCAAAATGGCAAATTAATTTCCTTGCAGCAAGTGAAGAACTCAGCTTGAATATCATGTAAAGTTATCAGCTACCAATATATGATTACTTAGAATAATAGAATTTTATTTCAGAAAAGAGTTTTTTTTTGGGGGGGGGGGGGGGGGGTGTGATAATGTGATAAAAAAAAAAGGATCACAAAATTTAGAGTGCAATAAAAATGACTTTGATGCCATTCCCCAGCTCACTGGCTCTGTATTGATGGAATCCAGCCCTCAACTGCAGAAAATCCTCCTCCTGCCTCCAAGGACCAACAACAGAAGGAAATTCTGGACACAACAATTAAGAAAGTGATTGACAAACAACAGAAAGTACCTCCTGTAGCAGAACCAAGCAAAATTAAACACAAACACAAAGGGATTACTGACCTTGCCAAGGTCAAAGACCTGTCTACACATGAACTCTCTGTGGTAAGTTTTATTGAGCTGAACTTTGAATCAGTGTGGTATGAAAATGCTACAGAGTTTACTGTGCTTTTTTTTCAATTGAAAACTATCTTTTTATTGTTATGTGTATTTTTCAATGTACTAATCTTGTATTCATATTTTCAAATGACCACAGGAACAACAGCTATACTATAAGGAAATAACAGAGGCTTGTGTTGGACCAGATGAAGCCAGGAGATCTGTAAGTTTCTCAACCTCAATAAAGAACAAGCATCCTGAGAGTATTGCATAAGCAATACTAGTCCCCTACCGGAAAGTGTAATCTGGTTTCCCTTAAAAATTAAGGCCATAATTCCATCAAAAATCATTGAAGCTGAACAAAATGCAAACTTGACCTTTAACTCATAAAAGTTATGATGAGCAAGGGTGCCTCTTCCAAAATTGTGAATGAATTTTATGGCCCCTGGGTCAGGAGTTTGGGTGTTAGGGCAGGACTCTATTGATTATAGAGTAAAAATGCATTAATTCTTTGAAAATCTTTTCATCTGCTCCTTAAGCCGATGAACAAAGTGCATGGTTAGGATAAGCAAGGGTGCCTCTTCCAAAATTGTGAAATATGTGGCCCCAGGGTCAGGGACTCCGTGGTTCAGGCTCTTTTGATAATAAAGCAAAAATGCATAAATGCTTTGGAAATCTCCTCTGCTCCTTTGTATTAAAGAAACAAACTAAATGCATAGTTATGATGAGCAAGGGTGCCTCTACCAAAATTGTGAAATGTGTGGCCCCAGGGTCATGGATGGGAGCTCCTCTGATTATATAGTGAAAATACATCATTTCTTTGATATTCCTCTGCTCTGCTTCTGGATATTACCATTAAGTAAACAAATTGAGTGTATAATTATGATGAGCAAAGGTGTCTCTTTCAGAATTGTAAATTTCATGGCCTCTGATTTAAAACATGAACTCAATTCAATTGTGGGAGAGTTGTTACATGATACTCAGGTGACATATAAGACCTGTGGGACTCTTGTCTTTTAAATGTATTAACTGTGTGCACAGTTGTGTAAAAGTATCTTGTTTCAGCAGAAGATTTGTATACAAATTTTTATTTTTGCTTTGAAATTACAAAGAATTCAAAACTTTAAAACATTTTATTCTGTACTGCTTTGAGTTAGGTTTTTTTCCAACACAAACCTTTTGTATTCTGATATAAAATTTTGTTTATAAGCATGTGTATTACAATTGTAACAGTGAATAGAACTACTTATATCAAATTTTAATTCATCTAAAGCTAATTTTCAGCTCTTCTAGCAAAAATGTATATTCACCAAAAGAGTAAAACTGAGACATTGTACAATTTGTTGTTGACAGGAAGCACTGCAGAGTTTGGCCAGCGACCCTGGTCTCCATCAGATGTTGCCCAGATTCAGCACTTTTATATCAGAGGGGGTAAGTGCCTGAAAATAATATGATCTCTAATTTCTTGTATGATACACAAAGATGCTTAGCAAACAAAAGTATTTTATCTTCTTGACTAAATTTATAGAAATTCTTATAGTTACACTATTAACCCTCAAATTTCATTTAAAACAAGGAAAACTATTGTGTAACAGGTATTTCATGTGGCTGTCCAATTTTTGTAGATGGACAAATTTTCATAAATTGTAATCGCAGAATATTCTTAAGATATCAATTCAGATATTATGTGAATGCATAATCTTTTATTCTCCAACATTGTAAGTAAGGCTGATGTCAAAGTAGTTTTAAGCCAGATTTAACCTGAAATTTCATACTGTATAATTATAAAACAAATGCTTACTGGAGTATGGAATATTTGAACACTATCTTAAAGATAGTAGAGCACCAGGACTTATTTTTAGTTCTTCTTCACCTTGAACATGGTCAACATGTCAATCTTATATTAAATTACAACATAAATGGTACAGTGATCTATGAAGTTCTTGATATCCCAGTTCCAGACGTCTCCCCCCCCCCCCCCCCCCCCCCCCGAAATTTGCAGAGTTAGTAAAAGTATATTCTGAAGCAAATAAAAAATGACTTTGAACCCCCCTAGAAAATGTGGAATCCACCACGAAATAGGTTATTTTTTCACATTTGGGTATGGGCTTAACAGGGTTTTGTTTCTGTTTGTCAAGAAATTTTCTTGGTTTAACATAATTGGTACTTTTCGGAAATTAGTTAAGTTTGTTTTTTTAATTTTTTTTTCATTATTTTTTTTTTCAGGTTAAAATAAATGTAGTACAGAACAATTTGGCTCTGCTTATTTACCTGATGAGGATGGTCAAGTCTATCATGGACAACCAGACACTTTATCTGGAAAAATATGTAAGTACTGTACAATAAATACATGTATAAGTCACTTTTCATGTACCAGTAATTTGTAATAAATAAGAACTGTGTAAAAGGTGTGTGTCTTTGAATATGCACCCCCTAATATGTAAATGCTGTGTGCTCAAAATAGTCTCTACACATGTAATCCCTATGTCAGTATACTTGTACTCTGTAAATCTAATGAAAGACAGAACGCACTTATTTTATTTGTATATACACTATCAAAGCAAGAGCATATTGCAACTGAATCAAATGCATTTTTCCCATATTCTCTTCATGTCATTTTAAAATTAAGAAAGTTTTTTTATGCAGTATCTGACTGTATCAGTTCTATTGTTACATTAAGTAGCATTTATATTTCTGGTGTACATGTACATATATTCCAAGCAATTGAATCTGGGAAAAAAAAATCTTTTGTAGCTTCATGAGTTCATTCCAGCAGTGTGTACATGTATTGTCAGTAAACAGTTGTGCATGAGACCAGAAGTGGATAATCACTGGGCATTACGAGACTTTGCGGCTCGTCTAATGGGACAGATCTGCAAGTAGGAACCTCCAATAATTTCTCTTGAATTGATCAAATAAAAGTTTTAAGAACTTGTGAGTACACAGCGAGTGAATAATTCATTGAATCTACTGATAAAACATTGGTCATGAGTAGGCTTGTTATATCAACCCTATTAAAATTAAAAATCCAACATAAAAATCCAGGAGAAAAATGTTAAGAAAGTTCCAGGAATTTCCTGTTTTTTCAAGAAGAACATAATTTCACATATCCAATACATATACAAAGACCAAATACTGTCATATTTACATAGTCTATTTTTTTATATGATCAATATAAGTTTAAAAAGATTCAAAGGGTTTTAAACTACATGTATTATATGGCAGTAAAAAAATTTGTATCATTAAAATAGTTTCCTATCTGTTGTACAGGAATTTCAGCACTAGTACCAACAATATCCAGGCCCGTATTACCAAAACATTCACTCAGGCTATACAGAGTGAAAAAGCAGCTCTGGCTACTCAGTATGGAGCTATAGCTGGTCTTGGAGAAATGGGATCTGAGGTAAAAAAAATTCAAAGATGAAGGAGGAGAAGGGGATCCAAAGGTTGATTTTAGATGAGCAAGTTAGAAAAATTACATTATAAAACTTAACTAGAAATTAAGCTATAAGGAAATAGAATCAGACGTTTAGTATATTAAATCTCAATGGTAAAACCAATGAACTTTTATGATTTACATTGTACATCCATATTCAGTTACAGAAAGGGCCAATTATGAATTGACTGATATTTAAATACAACTCAGTTTATAAATTTTTCTGTAGATTTATTTTACATTTTCTTCTGTAGGTGATTAAGTCATTTTTACTCCCGCATGTGAAGGACATTGGGGAGAAAGTTCAGAGTGTGTTGGAGGGTCCTATCCTTAATGCTGCAGATAAGATAGCAGGAGAAAACATCAAGAAGTCACTTGCTGTAAGTTATAGTATTTTGTATAATGGATTCAATACAGCTGCAATATGCAAATACAATCAAATTTCATTATATCCAACTCGATGGAACCAATGAAAAACTTCGAGATATTCAAGTACTGTATTCGAGAAATCAAGGGTTAAATACGTAAAGAATAAGTGGTTCGGACTTCCAAATCAATTCAACATATCCACGGTATTATATATTTACTGCAGACAAAGAGCATAACATTTATCAAAAATAAATTTAATTCCTTCACACATGACTTCAGTTAATAAACTATTTTCTACATAAATTTTCTTTCTTTGGAGTATTAAATGGGCCTTGTATTGAATTTTTGTTTCACAGAAATACCTGTCCCCTGTACTAAAGGCCCTGAAGGGTGCTGGTGCGTCTGTGGAGGATTATGTGGCAGAGTTTGGGTCTGTGGGGAGTCTGCTTCACACAGCTGTGGGGAGGGAAAGGAAATCTTCGGGAAACCAGGGAAATCAACTGGCCAAGGCAGCAGCAGGGACCTCCACACAGGATCGATCAAGGCCAATGGTCACCATCCCAACTGTAAGTCACATGTTTTATGTTGGAGTGTTATGTTGGAGGTTTATGTTTTGGAGCAGATTTACAAACCTTTATCTGACCAAAGGACTTAAAGTTAACCAATGCTTCATGTTCAGTGTAATAGTATGCCTCTTTTATAGATATAAACTTTGATTTACTTGACCTTTACGCCTGGTTTTTTTTTTATTACATTAAGTTCTTTTTTTATACAGCCTCGATCCCAATTTGTTATCCAGCAATCATCATCACTTGGGAGTCTGCCAGGAACACCCAAAACACCACAAGGAGGTATCCGTACACCAGGAACATCCTCTGTTATCCAAGGGGGTCAGCCCAAAACACCCAGCACCCCAGGGCAACAAAAGTTTATAGTCATGACATCACAGGCCAGACCAAGCAACAATGGACAGTCAGATAAACCCCTCTCTATAAGTTCAGGGACACCTACAGTTGTCAAGGTTATGTCAGGAAGTGCTCAAGGTCAGATGCCAACAGCAGTGCCAAGGACACCTACCACACCAAAAATTGTGGTGATGTCAATGTCGCAGGGAAATTCCTCTGTTGCAGGACAAACAGGGGGAAATAGTCAGGACTTAGGCATGAGAAGTGTGTTCAGTGAACAGTTAAATAGCATGAAAAAGGAAAGTGAAAATGGATAAATGAAGGTGGATGGAGGTTAAGGAAAGCATATTTAGCAGATTATGTGACAATATGTTATTTAATTTTAGACAGACACAGTGTAATTTTAAAAACAAGACAGCGAGAAGTAAAGGTGTATAATAGTTCAAAAGGTGCTTCATTCTATTATCCTTCAAACTTATACAGCCAGTCTGAGAACATGTAGGAAAACAACTCATGATGTCTCTCTCATGTGCAGCATGACAATAAGATGGTGCAAGCTAAACATCTCTATTATTCCAATATCCTGAAAAATTCTTCCAAAATGGACAAACAATTTAGTTATTTTACATTACTGTTAAATCACTTATTCTCATGGGGTCAAATTTTCGAGGTTTGAGGAAAAACTACTGTTCAACAGGATTTGATTTTGCAGTTAAAGAAGAAACATCATATTGTTATATGAGATTTTAGTATTTTGTGGGGGTATGAATTCATGGGTCTGTCCATACCATGAAAAACAATGAAAATTAAACCCCCTCGAATATTAGTGACTTCACAGTGTTTCATATAGAGAGCAGACTCTGATCCAAAGTATCCAATTATATAATAATATTACAAAACTGTTTCTGAAGTGCATGTTATGTCCTATGAACACTTCCAACATTTTTTTAAAATATTTATCCTCTTTAAAGATTGAAAACACTTTATTTTAGGATCAAGAGGTGTGCTATTTTAATTTTTTGCTGAAAGTACTCAAATACAACTGTTTTCCATAAAATTCAAGAACATTGCAATTTCACAAAGCCTGTATTCCAATTCCTGGACTCTCGGAGGAAACTTTTTTATAGGAAATGAAAGCACTTCCCTCAAAATATAATTTATATAAAGTAGAACGCAATATACTATAAAAACATAATGTTTTATTTTATGTATTGATTACATCATCAAAGGTCAGGTAGTCAATTTTTTTAATGGATGATACAAGAGATCACTATATTGATATTGTTAAACTTCTATGCAAACGAAAATCTCAATTCTAGCGAGTAGGATTTTGAACAAGTCACCTGCGTATAATACAACAGTGAATACTGTTAGGCTCCATTGAAGTATATGAAATGAAACAAAATAAACTGATAGATGAAGCTATTTTGCCCAAAAAGTAAATCTGTTTGCTTGAGCACTATTCCTTATTTCCTTATTTGTCCCTTATAAATATTCTAACGATTTTATTCAATATTTTATTAAATCAGGAACTAATGATTACCTTTGAACCCTTCCACCCAGGGATACTTTGTGGCAAGTTTGATCAAAATTGGCCCAGTGGCTATGAAGAGTCGAAATAGTTAAAGTCTACAAAAGGACAAATAGACAGAAGTACATTCTACTACTGCAAGACAGACACTGGACTAATTGTGATCAGAAAAGCTCACTTGAGCTTTCAGATCAGGCTGAGCTAAAAAGTTCTCACTCCCTACCTCTAAGGTTCAAGGAAAATTTAATTTTTATGATCATAACACATTTACACTGGACAAAATTGATAACACAACCATACAAAATTGAAAGTTACTTTTTCAAAAATTGTTTATACCTTGCTACATCGCGAAATATAGTAACAACGCAAAATGTAATAAACCGGGATTATTGCATTTTGCGTATTACATTTTGCGTCGAGATCAACGCATAATATAATAACGCAAAATGTAAAAACATACTTTTTAGGATTATTACATTTTGCTTTATTACATTTTGCATCGAGATGAACGCAAAATGTGATAACGCGAATGTAATACGTGTAACACGATTTTTGAATTATTACATTTCGTGTTGCTACATTTGTCGAGATCAAGCAAAATGCAACAACGCAAAATGTAATAGGCCCTAACGCACTTTTTGGTTAGTCAGGTTAAGTAGCTATAGATGATGAAGAAAAGAAACGGAAAAAATAAAACAAAAAGAAAAATAAACATATGCTTATTCTTAAATTAGATCCGATTTTATCATATATTGATTTCATTAGCCATTCTAAAAAATCAGTTGATATTCATAATCCATAATATAATAGTTGCAAATAAGAAACGCACGCGCTCGCGTGTATGTGGGGTATGTTGGGGGGAGGGGGGGTTAATTTCGTTGATTTGTGTATCAGTTTGCTTTTTGATTTTCATATGCATGAAATTTGGAAATAATCTGTTATAATTTGTACTGGCAGGTGTAAATATAGCGGGGAGGGGGTTTATTGACAATTAAGATTCCATACTGATTTACAAATCACGTACATTGCAGACCTCTGTCCTTCACCCTCTCTCTCTCTCTCTCTCTCTCTCTCTCTCTCTCTCTCTCTTTTTAATATTCCCAACAACCAGAATGAATTCGAATTACCATATCTATATTGGATTCCGAAACTCCATAAAAATCCTTACAAACAAAGATACATAGCGGGTTCCAGTAAATGTTCAACCAAGCCTCTTTCTTTACTCCTCATTAAGATATTAACAGTAGTGAAGGAGAAACTTCAAGAGTACTGTGAAACAATATATTCGAGAAGTAGTGAAAATCAGATATGGATACTAAAAAATTCCAAGGAATTTTTGGAACATTTAAAATCACAAAATTTTACCAAAATCAACAGCATAAAAACTTACGACTTTTCAACTTTATATACAACTATTCCCCACGATAAATTAAAGTCCAGACTGTCTGACATCGTTGACAGCTGCTTTTTCAATAAAAATGAAACTCGTAAATTTACTTACCTTGTCATTGGTCATTTGCAAAATTACTTTGTTAAAAAACAATCTGATTGTACACACAAGAACTCTAAAGTTGACATTAAAAAGATGCTAGAGTTTCTGATTGACAATATCTATGTAGTTTTTGGAGACCAGGTCTTCCAACAATCTATAATTGGAATTCCCATGGGTACCAATTGCGCCCCGTTATTAGCAGACCTATTTTTGTATTCATATGAAGCAGAATTTGTTCAAAATCTTTTACGTGAAAAGAAGAAAACGCTTGCTGTGGCCTTCAACTCGACATTTAGATATATCGACGACGTATTGTCAATTAACAATGGTTATTTCCACTCTTATGTCGACACGATATATCCGGTGAGCTTGAGAGACCAGGTCTTCCAACAATCTATAATTGGAATTCCCATGGGTACCAATTGCGCCCCGTTATTAGCAGACCTATTTTTGTATTCATATAAGCAGAATTTGTTCAAAATCTTTTACGTGAAAAGAAGGAAACGCTTGCTGTGGCCTTCAACTCGACATTTAGATATATCGACGACGTATTGTCAATTAACAATGGTTATTTCCATTCTTATGTCGACACGATATATCCCGGTGAGCTTGAGATAAAAAATACCACAGAGTCTGACGCATCTGTTTCATATTTGGATATTTTATTTAAAAAAGACGTTAATGGTAATCTAACAACAAAGCTTTATGATAAACGTGATGACTTTAACTTTTCAATCGTCAACTTCCCTTACTTATGCAGCAATATACCCTTATCACCTGCATACTGGGTTTATATCTCTCAGTTGATTCGATATGCCAGAGCATGCTCTACGAAAAATTTCTAAAACGAGGTAAGTTATTGACAAACAAGTTGATGAAACAAGAACATCAGCAATCTCGTTTAAAGTCATCATTTCGTAAGTTCTATGGTCGATACAATGATCTTGTCAGCAAATACAATCTATCATTAAGTCAAATGCAGACTGACTTTTTTCATACTAACTGTTAGGCCATTATTTACACACTGAGATTTCGACGAATTTTCCGTTATTTCCCGATCATGACAAGGAGCACACGGCGGGTGTGACCGGTCGGCAGGGGATGCTCACTCCTCCATGGCACCTGATCCCACCTCTGATGTCTTAGAGGTCCGTGTTTGCTCTGCACCTTTATTGTAATGTTTAATGGACTTCTGAGCTCGAATACTCTTCGTAATCTCCACATACTAGTATTTCATTGTAAACTGGTATAAAGTTGGTGAGATATCCAGCACTTTGGCACCAACAACTTAATTATCTCCCTCTGGAAGGATCATGACCCTTCATTGAACAAACTTGAACCCTTATCATCCAAGGGTGTTTTGTGACAAATTCATTTGAAATTGGCCATGAGTTGGAATACATGTACTCCATTCATAAAGCAGAAAGATTGATATCCATAAAAAGAATGCAATATATGGTGGGATTACTGGAAAATGATGTAATTTTAACATTTTTATACTTTAACATACTGGCCCATAGAAGCGGGGGTTCCGGGGGCGCACCTTTTTTTCTGAGTACAGTATTCTGCCATAGTAAATTTTCATTTAGATGCTGGTTGCCACCCCCCCTTTTTTTTTGGTGTTGTAAGGTCGAGCAGTGGCAAATTCCAAGTTTTGGACACTTAATTATTTTTTTTTCCTTGTCAGATAATTTTGGGAAATTGCTTCCCCCCTTTTTGAACAGTTTTTTCCGTTATTGTTTTTTGTGTTGGTTTTTTGTTTTGTTTTGTTTTGTTTTTTGTTTGTTTACATGTTTGTTTTGCTTGTCAGTTTTTTCTCCTTTCTTTTTGAGATTGTCCCCTCCCCCACTTTTAAAACCGTTGCTACGGGCCTGTATACATATATACAGTATTTAAATCTGATTGTTCAAGCTTCATTTGGAAAACGCTTACCAATTGCCTCTTTTACATGTAGTTGGGGCCCCAATTGTAACTATGTACACTTTATTACAAATATAATACCAATGTAATTAAATTAACATAATTTCCAACTGTTCTGTTAATCAATTTTGCTTTGATCACTACACCTTTAGAACAATAGGCCACTAACTCCATCATACTGCTTCAAATTGTGGTAATTCAAAATTCGTTTAAAAAGAAACTGATATATGTTTAAGGGTTACACTACAATACGCTCCTTGGAAACCATAATAATAAAAAATAATCATCAATAAATAATTTTATTAATACATGTAAAACAGGTTACATTTAAACAGATGGCAAGAAACAAAACAAATTCATTCTGCTTTGGAACAGCTAGAAAAGGTTGTACTAGAAATATCAACTTGACTGGCAGCTTTTAGTGTTCAAAGTATGGAATATTCACAACATATATGTTGTATAGCCTATTTTATTTCCCAGCCGCTGTGTTCGTAACTTAACTAGCAAGTAGCAACGACTGTTACGTTTTAATTCACCACGTTGCATATGATTCCTTTTTTTGAGACGGTATGAAAGATAATTGAATTAAAAAGGTTAACCATGTCTCGACACGACATGGAACGATTTTTCAGGAACCTCTCCTACACTCGCCTTGCAAAATTTATTTCTGTTGTTGATAAACATATTTTATAAAAATCGGTTCATTTTCAAAGTGTCTTTTAAAAAATATATGCTTTTAGATAAAGTTCAAAGATTTCATTAAAAATAGAGTTTTCTAAAACATTTTTGAATACCTTGTATACACTATTCATTTATAATCCTTATGAAGAATTACCAAAACAGTATGAAACAGGCTTTGAATATGTGCTAGGTAGTATTTATATTCACTGTGTATTTAATAAGGGACCTAAAAGCAAAAATCAAAAGTATACACAGTCACTATTCTAATATTACTGTAGTTCATTGCATGTAAAGTCAACCAGAGGGTTTTTTACGTTATACATTCGATCTTGAACCAGAATACTTATTGGGATACTAATATTGAATAAGTTAACATTCATAAATGATATACACGTATTGAACTTTTCATTTGCTTACCAACGACAAGCTGACCTACGATTTTACGTTACTTGAACTAAACTTAGAGAAAGTGAGACGCGTAACGTTAATAATTTACTATTAATGATTTAAAACATGTATATGACTGCTTAAGACAGTTGGCTATTGTATACAGATTTCTTTTCAATCTTTCTCTACATTTCTATTGCACTGGTATTTGATTGAAGAGGACAAAAATAAATTGAAAAAACAATATGGGCATTTGATTTATGCATTAACAAAAAATGAAAGAAATGCCTAGTGAAACCAAAATATTACACAGAATTTTTTTTCTAAATAACTTTAGTTAATCAAGGTTGAAAAAAGACAAGTCAAAAAGAGACAACTAAAGACTCGAAAACAGCTTAACCCTGAAACTGCTGGGCTTGTTGGAGATATAACAAATCAGTTCCGGTGAGGTCTCCGCTTCCGCCGAGTCCTGAGGAAGATCCAGATCCGAATCCAGAGAGTGCGGCGGCAGCCAGGGCACCGAGGGCGAGAACTCCCAGGGCGTTGTTAGAACTAGCAGTGGTAGTAGAGGTTGAAGTAACGGTTTGAGCTGTAAAAAATAGTACATAAATAAATAATCATGTCTCCTGTGTAAAATTTGGATATCTTTTGCTGTCTTTACTCCTTAGAAAGTTACTTGTTCCTCTGGTCTCATATATCAACTACAACTAATATTATCTGATGTACTTGTTTTTGTTTATATGTGTTTATTTGTTGTTTTTTTTTTAATGAAACAAACACATTCAAAGGCGTGATACTTACTTCCGCACACAGTGCCACTGAAATTGGGGTAGCAGATACATTTTCCAGTTACAGCAACGGCGGTGACAGGAGATCCGGTGACTGTGACAGTATCAACGGAGCAGAATCCGTTAGCAGTAGCAGTACAGGCAGCTACACCACTGGTGGCAAAAGTACATGCTCCACCTCCATAGGTTAAAGCCTGGGCGCTCTGAAGGCCTGTCAAGTTAAAAAAAAATGCCACTACATTATTAATACTATTGGACTACATTATAAATACTATTGGACTACATTATAAATACTTTTGGACGACATTGTAAATACTATTGGACTACATTGTAAATACTATTGGACTACATTATAAAAACTATTGGATATAGAAAATATGGATAAAGAAAAATATCGAACCGCCGGTTACTGAAAGTGGAGGAGGGTAACTGTTTAAATTATTTAACTTGGTAGGTTAAAATTCCATTTGAGCATCCCAAATACAATACAAATCAAAGAATGCTTTTAACCAAGACGCCATACCAGATGAGAGATTCTCGGAGAATTTCGAGCCCTTCTCCCTGCATTAGTGAAGTGACTGAAATACTTACACAGGGCCAAAGCACAAACAGCGATGACAACCAGGGAGTTCATTGTGGGCTGTGAATCTGTAAAAATATTTTTTTATTCTTAATATAATCAATACAAGTTCAAAGAACAAAATCTGATCATCAGCAATGTGATTTAAGCTTAAACAATGGGGAAAGGAAAAGTAAGTATATGAAAAAGTCTTATTAGCTAGGAAAGTAAAACATTCTTATGATGCATGGTTTTCCCTCCTTTTTTTAATGAAAGACATTACTTTAATTCCCAACTAAAAATCAGCAACAATAGAAATGATAGGGCATTAAAGTGAGGAAAAATAACATATGATGAGAAAAAGTGTTAAGTAAGATATTCTATTATTTTGGGAAACAAAATTAAAATAGAATAAATGACAGATAATTTTAAAAATTATGGAGTTATACATGTGAGAATTTTACCAGTCAAATAAATCCAAATGTGATATTCCTATTTCTCAAAGAAAAAAAAGTGTTTTCCGAAGTCAAAGTGTTTTTTTTTCTATAACTTACCTGTTTCAGTGAATCTAAAAGACTGAGGATTCGGCGAGCGATGGCCTTTAAATATACCCCAATACAGGGGATGGTTTCTTAAAACAAAATTGTTACGCCGGTAGCCGTAGGGAAAAAGCATACGTCTGATGTTCATGTAAATCTGCATAAATCTAAGCACCCGTTATATTTGTAATGTTATGGTAGATTGTGAACTTCCCTTTTCTCAAGTACAGACAAAAAAGAAGGAGATTTAATTCTTTTCCTTAGATCTGCTACAAAGAACATCTGCTGATCTTGAACAGTTTCCATTTCACTTTTTTTTCAGTTTTAATTTTTAAATTCATTTCTATCTACCTTTCAAAATTTTCACAAGACCTTTGTATATTTTATTCTGAGTGGAAATATATATCTATATATTTCTTTTATGGTTAGCGAGAAGAGACCTATTTTGTAAACATTATCTAAACCATCCTCTCTGTTGGGTTGGATTCTTTATAAAAATTGGTACATTTTACTCCGATTCAAAATTTCAATGAGTGATATAACATTTATATAGGATACTGTACTTTATCAACTCCTTTTTAATAGCGTAAAAACATGGAAAAAAATTACAAGCTAGGACTCTCATAGTAAAAATTTCAACTCTATGGTAATTTTTATATTAGGGATACAAAACACGACTTCTATTAGCAAAGCTTGTACATATGAAATGGGGCCCGCAATACTGGAACACCTTTGTATCTAGACATGATCTATAACACAGTTAAATGAAGATCTAAAATGGTATTCGCCACCTAAAGATGCAAGAAGTGCGAAAACACGAGTTGTGGGATTCTTCCTTCTTGGTGAAATACAATTCATACAATGCGTTCAAAATATTTCTTTCCATTCTTATAAAGAAAAACAACGACTGAAGTTTATTTTAGTTCGTGTTATATAATTGATATAATAATTTTTTTTTTTTACGTCAAAACTTAAAATTGAGGATTCTAAATTTGTTGTGGACAGTTTTTTGTTATATGTGGCTTTATTCACAACTTAAGAGTGTCGTGACTTCAAAACAACCTGGCAATAATTTTGTCATAGAATACATAAACATAACATTGAAAATAAAAATTTCTATCTAATCTGAAATTAAGAACAATAGAGAGTAAGTAACCTATACATATCACTAATAACATATACTAATATGTGACCAGACCTTTATTTTAACCGAAAAAGTAAACTTGGAAGAGGAAAAGAACATTAGAAAATACAAAACAGAAACTTAAACTCTGTATTATTAATTAAATTTATTAAAGGTATCTGTGAGTTGTAATACCCGGGAGCCAGGAAGTCTGAGGGCAACTGCATCTGTTAGATTGAGCAACATAATATGACGAAATTGAACACGCTGAAGTTTGTTTTAGTAGTTCTTTTTCAGCCGAATTGCATAGCTGTCGGCAAATTACCTAACACGCATAATCCGTCTACTACAGCAGTACAAAAAGGGAGAACAAGCGAACTATCGTCAGTCCAGTGAATTTACTAACGAAGGTAAGGTATACTTTGAATAACTGAAAGGCAAAAAATCCTACAAGACCAACGAGATAGTGTCATGGGAATTATAAAACCTTGAAAAGTGATTTTGAAACTAAAAGAGGAAAATCGACAAAACTATATTTTGATACACTGTTATCGTAAAATAACCTACATAAAACTTATTAAAAAAAATTATCATAATAAACTTTAATAACAAAAATTGAATTGATACTTGACGGAACATATGAAATTATTTTATTTTATTTTTATCCATGAAGACTCAGTTTACACCGAAGATGAAATTCCAGATCGCCGTTGTTGCTTGTCTGATGGCTCTGTGTAAGTAGTTTGTAGATTTCTATCAGATAGAACGTTTTAAATTATAATGTAATATAAAGAAAAATTGTCAAATTCCAATGATCAGTTTATTCGGTATTCTGAGCACGCCAATCCCCTCCCCTGAAATATCATAATAAAAAGACTGGTTAATTGTCGAAGAGCATACCGGGGTAGCTACATGATACCACCTCTCAAATTAAAACAAATCTTTCAATTTACAAATGTTAAAATTTTAACACTTTGATTGCTTTCCAGGCCTGCAAAATGCTATGGCTCAAAGTTACGCAGGTGGAGCTTGTGACTTTTCTACAAGTGGTGTCGCTGCATGCACCTCGACATCTAACGGATTCTGCGCACTGGACACTTTCACAACCACTGGTTCCCCACTGACTGCTGCAGCTGCCACTGGAAAATGCATCTGTTATGCCGGGTACAGTGGCTCCACATGCGGAAGTAAGTACAGAAGTGTTGTTGTAATTAAAAGCTTCTCTAAAATTGAAACTTTGAATTGTTTCTTGAGTTAAATAGATTTTGTCAATCATGCCATCTGGGTAGTCGATCTAACAGATCCTTTGAATGAAATTTCCCACGCTGTATCAGATACATTTAGATGAAAACAGATATAAATTTTATATAAATTTTCTTTTAAAGTACTTAACATACCAACAGAAAGATTAAAGAGATCTTATCTTGCTAAACTTGGCTATTTTTGCAACATGATTAATTCCCCGGATGTATTTGTATTTGGGTGCCTTACTATTTTTTCTTTTTTTTTGTCTCCATTTAGCTTTCACAACTACATCTACCAGCACAACTGCTACCACCAACAACGCTCTCGGAATTCTCGCCGTCGGTGCTCTTGCCGCCTACTTCCTGTCTGGAGCCGGAAGCAGCGGCTCCGGATTGGGCGGAAATGGAGACCTCACCGGAACTGATCTGTTATACCTCCAGCAGGCCCAGCAAGTTCAGGGTTAAACTGTTACTGATGTAGGTGTTCTCGACTTTCTTCAATTGTCCATCTACGACTGAATTCGTAAACAATGAAGGAATAAGAACGAAATCGCCTTGTTTTCTGTTATCGCTGTTGATGTCTTTTCTCAGATTAAACTTTGGTTTCTATATGAATTTAAAATCATTGCAAAATTGTCGTCGGATTTCGAATATATAATGATGAAGTTTGTACATGTTTAGATAATTGTGTCAAATCTATGTATAAAGAGTGGAATTGAAGTGTATCATGCACATACTTGTAAATCTTTTGAATGTTTCCAATACACATTGAAAAATTTACATACATATCCCTAGGGACAACCACAATTGTTTCTTGTGAATAAAATTATTTATTGCTTACTCCCTAACACTTGACTTTTCTATAATTTCTTAACATCAAAGGAATGTGTATAATAACTTGAAGGAGGATAAATTGAATATTGACAAGGGTTTATGCTGAGTGTGATGACTTCAAGACGGCAAAACTTTACATAAACTAAAAATTGAAGCAAAAATTGAATTATTGAGCAATTATAATTACCAAACTTTTATTGAAAGAAAATGCTTTACCAGGATCAGTTTACATTTGTGTATGTTTGAAAACTTGTACCAATAAACTGGACTAAAATGAGAAAATTTTAATATTCTTTTTTAAAGTAAAACATTTTTTCTTAATATATATCCGCTTTGTTGACAATCGAAATTAATGGTTAGAGTTGGACATCTCGTCTTCTCGGGACAGGTTAGATCCTGTTGCTGGTGTTTATGAAGCAATACAATACTATATATAATCAAAGTCTTAAACGATTTGACGAAAAGCATAACTAAATTAACTCAAAAGAGCCTTTGCAGATCTAAGAGCTGGCAATTATTAATGAAAATGACATTTTACAATGGTTTGATAATTGATAAACCTTTGATAGTAAATATTTCAATCAAAACTTAATTTAAGTGATATGGAAGAAATAAGTACTGATAACTGATTGATAATCAAGATGTGCATTTTTTGTCTGTCCCCGATCTTAGTCTTTGTGGAAGTTACCACAAACAAAAGAATTTAGTTCTCGAACATATAAATTTACTTTTATATTTTTTTTTACATCGCATTCTAAAATGAATTTAAAAATTCCAAATTAATACAACTGGTTATGTATATTTTATCCCGGCTTTTCTCATTGCGTTTGGCTAGCAATTGTAAGCAAGTAAGATGACATGCATTGCTTAACGGGTTTATATCAATTAATCATTGCATCATATAATAAATAAATAATTACCGTCTTCCTTGGAAGACGGTATACAGAGTTGAAGTATTTTACAGTCTTCGGACTATGCACTTCCTCTCTTTTGTGATTGGTAGAATTGCATGATGAGAAAATTTTCAATTATTTCATTGGTCGAAATGCTGCTCAAGGCAAGTGAGATAATTTTCTGATGGTCTAATTTTCGTACGACTTAACAATTTTTCAAGATTTTCAATCGTAAAAAAATATGACAAAACGAACAGAGGAAATTGGCAGCAATTAATTCGAAAGAACATGCTAGTTTTTTTATAGCAATTACCAAAAAGCCTTTCTATATTTTCATTGTTAACAGAATTGATCTTTATTGCATGCAAGCTTTACAGCTTACAAGTATGTATTCTTTTTCCCTTTGTTTTACACTGTCTTTCTAATCTCGACAGCACTCGGCAACACCTCGGCCGATTCGTACCTCATCTACATATTAGGAATCAGTCGAGTTTTGCCGAATGATCTCAGTTTACGGAGACAGCCGAGCATCTGTTAACGTTTCACTAGTTTCACTTGGTAGGGATTATGTCAGAAAAAAACTAATGAAGAAATACAAAGCCAAAAAATTTTCAAGAATTATACGGCCTGATAGGTTTAGGTCAGTTTACTGTTTAAGGTTGTTGCTAAAGACGGTAAGCTTTTTTAAAAAGCTCTACTTGTTGCTTTTTTTCAGTCAATACTATGGTTTAGCCAACTGAGGAGTACAATATTCACCGAGCCCGAACTTGGTGAATATTGTACGCTTCAGGTGGCTAAACCATCGTATTGACTGAAAAAAAAGCAATAATTGTTTAATAATTTCCAGAATGTTGGTTAAAAAGAAATTTGGGAATCGTTCAGTCACATAACAAAAACTGGAAGAACTTTGGCAAAAAGGGCTCGTGAAACCTAAAGCTTCACGTGTATAAATGTAAACTGAGTATTTAGATTTGGAAATCGTTTGATCCCGGTAAGAATCGATCCTACGTATCATTAACCATAGATAACGCAACTCTATACAATCTAAAGAACGTTGTAACATAACAAGCTTTTGTGAGCTAATTAAATGCATATTTTGGAAGTACATGTTGCTATAAGCAAGGACGTAAAGAAAAGGTATGAAGAATTTTTTTCATTTTTATATTCATAATTTATCAATTACTATATAGTATACTTAAATGCTCCGCGTTTTGCACGAATAACAACCTTTAGAACAACCTTAATACATTTACATGTAAGCAGTCGCCCGCGTGGCGCAGTGGTAGAGCGTCCCCTAGAGTCGGGGATTAAGGAGTTGATCCGGGTTCGAATCCCACTGTGGGACGTGGAGACCGGTCCTTCGGATGAGACCGTATAATTAAACCGAGGTCCCGTGTCGCAGTAGATGCTGGCACGAAAAAGATCTCTCACTGCTCAGTGGCCCTCATCGTGCGAGTAAAGGTCAAAATTTGCAGCTCTCCACCGGCAAACGATGGCGTCTCCAAATGAGTGAAAAATTCTCGAGAGGGACGTTAAACAATACACAAACAAACAAACAAACAAAACTTTTTGACTCTAAATGTTTTATTTGGGTTTTGATCAGGACTGTTGAAGGGCAACGAAGGTGTAGAAACTATACATTCCGTCTAAGACTTGTCCTTTTTGAGCTTTGACATGCTTCTGAGTGATACAAATTGGAAAATTCTAAACAAGCATACATGGTACTGTCGATAATATCTTTGAGCATCTCCTGATGAGCCAACATAGTTTCTCAAATGCAATATATTTCTACAATAACGCAGCTGGGAAGACACTCAAACTACAACATTCAAGTGAAAGTTATGGTGGATTAAGAAGACTTTGTCAAAACGACTGAAAAGACATGTAAAAGATTCAACAAAATCAAAGCACATTTTGGAAATAAACATATTGCTAGTAAATAATAGAGCAAGCAAAAAATATGCAAAATTTTGCAAATTTAACATTGTTTTCATGTTCGTGGTAGATATTCCCTAATACCCCCCCCCCCCCCCTACGAATAATAACCTTAACGTCACTAGGTTTGTCATGAATAAAGTTTTCACACTGCGTTTTGGGAATTGAACTGCATCATTCTTGGTGAAGTATCTTTCACATGTCTTTTCATGAAGAAATGCTTTCAAAACCCACTCGTATGGAAAAATTGTGTAATAGTATAAAGGAATGATCTTTTTTGCTCTTGCTATTTCATAGCTGAACAATTTCAAAACTTGGAAGAGTGTAACAAATTGTGGAGATTTTATATAAAGTATACATTAATGCTAACTGAAAAATCAAAGAAAATTTTGCTATGATTAAGATTTATATTTTTACTAGACAAACCACGAGCATTTTTTTTTTTGGGGGGGGGGGGGGCTTATTCGTTCATCTTCGTTGATGGAAAATAAATAACGTCCTAGTAAGGTTCTTTAGCTCTTCCTCGTTTATGAGAGAGGTTGAAGGCTAAGACTTACTGCGAAACATGCCCCAGTCTTGGAATACTAAATGTATGATTTTTTTCTCGGAAGTTTGGAGTGGGATGGTGGTTAAAATATCTATTTACGTGTGATACATGTATAAAGTACTTACGTAGCGTTGTTTACAGTGCTTTTTAAGGATATTCGCTCCTCAGACAGGAACGATGACTCTTGAACTTATTAAATTTAAAATGTATCAAAATGAAGCTTGAAATTAAATCGTTTCGTGCAACAATTTTTATTTCATGCTTTTCAATATGATTTAGTATTAAAAACGGTCTTGTAAAGAGCTGACAATTCTACACCACAAAAATACAAAAATAAATACATTTTTAGAGAAATCGACCCTCTTTTATTCTAGCCTTAGAAACCTATGCTTATTAGATGATATGAAATTAATTTTAATTGCAAGATCTGTGATGTCTTGCAATGATAGCACTAGCTTTTTGTACTGTATTATGTAACATTTTAAGTGAATAAAAGAACTTCAATACCGTATAAGTATCTTTTTTAAAAATGCTATTTTCTTCGAATGCCTAAATGCATGTACCTATAGTATTTTATCCTAAAATATATTTGTTGATTAAATTTCGATTAGAAAATGCATAGCTGGTGCTTTTAATCGCGTTTCCTTAAAATGTATTTAATTTGAGATTTGATAATTAATGATATATAATGTGATTTTAAATTTTTATGACGTACTTTGAAGAAATAGCATGGGTAAATAGACATTACTTTATGAAATCAGCGACATTTTGTGAGCATTTACAATATTGCTTCTCTGCTGAATTTCAGAACCTGAGGATCGGAATACCTTAAACTAATGTTAACCGTATAATTTTGGGTTTTAAAAATAAGAAAAATTAATTTGGTACTGATTAAAATTTTTTTAAAAAATGCTTCATTAATATATCTTCCAAGAGTACATTAATTCTGGATTTTGATGTATGCGGAGTGTTGAATTGTTTCACTTCGTTGTGTGTACATGTACATGTATATGTGTGTACAGTTTGCTGATGTAATGTATGAGATTCAAACTTCCCCGTGTTTTGCACTACCTATCAGGGAAGTCAGTACCGCCTGTGTTACGACATCTTCGATATGTTTTATATGTCCCGCAGGTCAAGCGCTAGACTGAAAAGACATTCGGATAGAATTATGTAATTTAATATTTCAGTAGAAAAATTGAAGAAACCTAAATTACTTATTTATGTCTCTGAAAATTCAAAATCGACATATTTTTTTATGATCAAAATTAAATCAACAAATAGTAATTTAATTCAAAAAGCTAGTTTACTATGTATGCAAGTTTATGGATATAAAGACTTCAATGATCAGTTATATTGTAAATGTTGAATTTCATATTGAAAGTAACTAATAAGTATATAGAATATACATTTCTTTTGTATTTTTTACTGGCACCCAGTGAATTCAACATTAATCTTTATATTTTAAGTTGAAAGTAACGATAGAATTCATATATCCTTAGTACTTACTGGCACCCAGTAAAATTCAACATTAATCTTTCAAAAAATACAAGCTTCTGTGCATACAAGTAAAGAGTGTTTCAAGACCCTCCGATCATGTAAAGAAAAAAGGTAAAATCCAGACAAGCGACTCAATTTGCATTACACAGTAAACGAGGGTGTTACTGCGTTTGAGTGTGTTTTTCCTGTAATTTCTAATCACATTGCATATTGCTGTCGGCGGGTCACATAACAGGTATCATCCCTCCACTGGTCAAAGTATATAAGGGTGGAAGGCACGAACTGCAGTCAGTCGAGTATATTCTCTCAACAAGGTAAGGCCACGTCCCTCATTTCTTGTATCGACTTATCTCTCAAAATTATTATTTTTCCCATGAAAGTTGAATTTGATGTTTTGTTAATCGGTATCTTAAACTGGAGTTAATTTTTTTCAAAAACTGCCAAAGCATAAAAAAGTATCCATTTAAACTATTTAAGGTCTGACGACACGTTCCTCCAATATCTATGTTGTATCTTTTCGTAATACATGTATATCAATTAATTACTCATAATTGTCATTCTCTTGTTAATTCTTAACTATTTTCAAAATTTCTTGAAAGGCATGTATGTACACCAAGAATTGTCATATTGGCAATTCAAACGATTTCTAATAGGATTATATAGGAAACACCATCCTTTGATATGCTGCACAAATGCCTGATAAAGTACCTCATCTTTTGTGAGGAAACTTGTGAAAGTAGCAATACTTCAATGACAAACTCTTGGGGAAAATTATGTGTTATTGAGGAACATGTCTTCTGACATTAAGTCGGCTTCATGAATATTACCCTTGAAGGGGTATGGACAAATTTTAATCTAGTATATCTCATTTTTGTAAATGCAGACTCAAATCCTAAACTCCGACGATGAAATTCCAAATCGCTGTTGTTGCTTGCCTGGTGGTAATCTGTAAGTATGCTGTCTTTTATTATTATTCTATCAAAAGAAAACATTAGCAGCCGTTTTATTTTAATGTTATCAAATAGGTCTTTCAAAGTGTAAATTAGTTTATTTCATTGAAAAAGTTGAGCTGAAAAAGTAGAAAGGGAACATTTAAAGATTGAATTGTTTTTCGATGCCATAGGCGATGTCTATTAATTCCCTAAATTAAAGTAAATACATTGTACTAGTTTATTGGTAGTTTACGATGCACATCAAAGATTTTGTCACCTTCTTCATGCTTTTTGTTCTCTTAGGCATCCAGAATACCATGGCACAAGTATACGGAGGTGGCGCTTGTTCCTTTGCCACAAGTGGTGTCGCTGCCTGTACCTCAACAGCTAATGGATTCTGCGCACTCGACACATTCGCAACCGCTGGAGGTCCCCCACTCACTAGTGCTACTACCACTGGAAAATGCGTTTGCTTTGCTGGATTCAGTGGCTCTGTGTGCGGAAGTAAGTACACTGCTTTGAATTTTAACAATTAAATTAATTGTTTTCTGGGCAACATGAAATATCCTGTTTTTAAATCGGAGGCTTTGTTAGCTAGTTGTTTTGATATACGGATTAAGCTTAACCCAATTTAAAAAGTGTATTATTATACAAGACTATGATCCCTTAAATTTCCAGAAATCTTAAACGCTTGCAAAGAATTAAAAATATTAATTGATTAAATAATTAACTTCTGCTGTGCACACAACATGGACAATTATTTATTGATCGTATTTTTTGTTCTTTCTTTAGCTGCCACCGCTACATCTAGCACCACTGCCGCTACCAACAACGCTATTGGAGTTCTCGCCGTCGGTGCTCTTGCCGCCTACTTCCTGTCTGGAGCCGGAAGCAGCGGCTCCGGATTGGGCGGAAGTGGAGACCTTACCGGAACTGATCTGTTATACCTTCAGCAGGCTCAGCTTCAGGGTTAAACTTATCTGTACGCGCATTCATTTTCTTCCATCTAAGACAGAATCGGTGGGAAGACTAAATTTAATTTGATTTAACAGGCTTGTATATACTATCTATCTGGCTTCCTTTCATTTTTTCTGCTTTTTTTTGGGAAATTAAGTGTTTGCTTCGCCCTCCCTTTAAAAGAAATAAGAACTATATAAGACAGAATCGGTGGCAACACTAAATTTACATTGATTTAAAGCAGGCCTGCATATGCTATCTGTTTGGCTTTCTTTCATTTTTTCTGCTTTTTTTCGGGAAATCAAGTTTTTGCTTCGCCCTCCCTTTAAAAGAAATAAGAACTATCTTTTTACGATCCTCTGGATATATTTCAAAAATACGCTGTGATATATTCGAAGTTTAGTTTCATTTTTTAAAATTATGTTTTCTTTCATATTTACTCTCTCAAGGGCAAAATAGCAAATTCCAAAGCCGATCATTGAAATGGCAAGAATGGGTTAAAAAAATTAAAGGTCACATCGTAGATTTGATGTGCGTGGTATATCTTGTAAATTTTTACTTTTCGGAATAAAAATAAAAAACCCAGTGTATGTTGAATACTCAGTGTATTCGTGGTGAATTGTCCAGGACTAAAATCTGTTGCACTTTTAATAGCACATTATGTCAGTTTTCTTGAAATTTTAGCAAGTATTTTCAAAGTATAGATTGTTTTTACCACCTACATGTATAAGGTGAATATGACGTGTCATTGTGAATTTTGTAATTTGAACACACTGTGGTAAAGATAAACGAAGATGAATTATTTTGAATACCTATGGGCTGAATAATTTTTTTTTTCTGTGCGTAGCCAGGAAAAATGCACATGTATTTCCCATACTAACGTCTATGTTCTGTGTTGAATAAAGTTATTTATTTATTACCAATGATTGACTTTCACTTTTTTTTTATTCACTTTAATTATTTAAAATGATACTGTGAAGACTGCATTATTGAATTTACACATCTTAAAGAATTAATTTTTACAGGTGGATTGAAATTTAAAGCTATCTAACAAAAGTTAATTTAAAATTTCTGGATGGACAGAGTTGATTTTGAATGTAATCTTTAGTTTCAAACTTTAGTGCAGTATCACCCTTTATTTCAATATCTTCATTTTGCATTGTATCTTAAGCACTTAGATTTTTTGATACAAGAAAATTTTATAAATGTTTCTAAATGGTTAAGATAAAATGCAAAAAGAAGAGGAGACGGATTTCCCCCCTGACAAACTCCAATAATTCAGGAAAATAGAAAAATATTTTATTGTAAAATATTTTACATTTGTAGGTCTATAGCCATTATACATATAAACAGAAGCATTTTCTGGTAAGATAATATTTAACTGAATTTGCTGGAGTCACAAGACCGTAGAACGCGGGGGGCCAGGGGAGTGCTCCCCCCAATTTTTTTTTTTTTTTGGCTTGTCAGATTTTTTTTCGGGGGGGGGGGGGGAGTTGCTCCCCTCCACTTTTGAAACCGTTGCTACGAGCCTGAATCAGATTAATTTAACAACACATTGAAAAATAAATCTACTATGAATCTCGCTGTAGTTAGAACTACACGTATGTTATAAATCAATTCAACAGTTTTCAAACAGCAGTGTAAAAAGAAGTCAGAGATGCGGTGGACATCCATGTTTTTGTGAAACAAGCGCAAGTTAGATAATAAATGAAAGACAAAAAGAAATTAAGGAAGGATTGAATTTTTAATTTAAATGATTTTCATAAGAATTAGTGGATTTATCTTATCGTTAACTATGATTACGAAATTCGAAATGGACTGAAATAAAATGTGTAACCCGATATAGTCAGTAACATATAATAACATCTGCAAAATGTCGGTTCATATGTTATACATATATATCCCGATGCATTGTGAAGTTGTGTCAGTGATAAAAATAGGCCACTGTTGAACGTGCAAACCTAACGATGCCGTGCATTGAGAAAGCTATATTAAATAGGTGATGTAAGTTTATGAAGTAATTCTTAAAAAGTGACAAATAAAGTATGACCTGGAGTATTCAAAAATCATCCTTTCCTTTAAGTTGTCATTCATTTTTTTACATGATTTCTGAAGGGATTCCCTTTTATTAGATCAACCAAAACAGTCACAATCGGCTGTACGTCCACGGCAAAAAACGTCAATGAACGCACGATTTCGCACGGTCATCCTGCCAAACTTAGAGCACGCAGAGGGCCTCTAAACACGTACAATGGATGTTGGACATGTGCAACAAACTCTACGATTTACAAAGAAAGGCAGAAGACGGTAAAAAAAAAAAAAGGAAGCCACAAAAGCAGCATCTTCAAGCTGCGTCTGGAGCTGCATTAAGCGAAGACGTTGAAGACGACCTGTCATTTCCATGCACCTGCGTCATTGCACGGAAATTATGAAATTGAAAGTCAATGGCCTTTGTGTTTTAATCCAGAAATGCTATAAAGCACGTAAAGCGAAAGTACGGTCATCCTGCGCCCACACGTAGCAATAAAAGTGCGATGAACTTAAGGATAACTTACATGTACGGGTCTCGCACTTTCAGCGGGCGTTCCTGAATACGGTCTTGTGGAGTAGGCTTTCCCCTCAAAAATCTTTCTCGCCGGAAAAACTGGCTTTAGAGTAGGATTTTCCCCCGGAAAATAGGCTCTAGAGTAGAATTTCCCCCACGGAAAAATGACTCTAGAGTACACTGTAAGAAAGAAGTGTTTTAAAAATAAAACCAAATTGCAACAGATAATAAACACTCCAACGCGTTTAAAGTTTTAAACACCTCTTGAAGTGTTTAAGTAATAAACAGGTTAAAATGTGTAAATTCTAAACACATGGGGTTTAATATTTAAATACTTCATTCTTATTCGGTTTAAATGCTAAACACTTTATAATCACGAAATGTTTAAAGAATAAACACTGAATAAATACAAAGACTTTACTAAATAAAAACCCCATGTGTTCAAAACTTTAAAATGTCTTGTTTTATTTATAAATACATTCAACTTAAACAATTAAACGTTTATACATGTTTATTCGATGCAACAGATAATAATCACTTAAACATGTTTATACGCCAATTTTTAAACACCTCAACGTGTTTATTGATAGAATGATTTTATGATGTTTTTACGTCCCGTTCGAGAATTTTTCACTCATACAGAGACATCACCATATACCGGTGAAGTGCTTCAAATTTAGACCTTTACTCTGCACTTAGGGCCATTGAGCAGTGGTGGTTCTTTATCGTGCCAACGCCTACCGGGGCAAGTTATGACATAATCAATTGCGTTATTTTCTATCATAATTAACGTATTAAACACTGGTGTTTAATATGCAATTTCTATATAAATAGTATGTGTTTAATTTATAAATATATGATGGTTAAGAAATTAACACTTGTGTTAAACACCGGTGATTATTTAGATATTGATAAAATCGTAAAAGTCGTCATAAATTTGTCTTTCCCTTTTACCATTTTGCGAAAATTATGAATTTGTGGCATAAGAATTACTATAAATTCATGCTAATTGTAACTGCATGCTTTTCGTATGATCTAAAGTCAACATATATTGCCTGGCTACACTTTTTTTTTCCTGTGTCAAAAAATATCTAATATTATGAACGGAATTACTTTGTAAAATAAGAAATTGTGAAAACGGAAAATGCACACAATTGACAATATTGAGAAGCAACACCCAATTTAATTTCTGATGTTCACATGTTTAAGCTGAATGATTAAAACACGCGGTACGACTGTTTAAAACTTAAACACAATAATTATTAAGTTAAACATCATTTTTTTAACAGTGTATAGGATTTCCCCTACGGAAATCCCACACCAGAATCAATTTTCCGGTGGAAGGAGGGTCTCAATTTTTTAAAAATATGAAATTAAAAAAAAAAAAATTGGAAGTATTTGCTCTCTGCTTTCATATCCAATATTACACAGCTGGGTCGAGGGGACATACCTACGCAACGGCTTTCAAGTGCATTGTTTCTTATATTGTTTTGTTTTTTTTAGTTTTGGCAGATACTCACAAAATAGTATGTGGAACCTATCCATAATATAGATTTTAGAATCTTTGTAAAAAGCACAGATCCATATATAAAATACTGGGCCGGTAGAGGGCATACAAATTAAATCTCTAAAGGTGGCCTAATACAGTGTATATATACATTTTAAAATTCGTAAACAAACAGGTACCATTGCGCCAAGAGAGGTGTTGAGACGTCGAGTCTTACGATTTTTTGAGTGATTAATTTCAAAATTTCCTATGAGTTAGAATTTAAGGGTTGAGACTCAATGAACTGAACTATATTTTAAGATTTTATTCTAAATTTGAAAAATTCTTGAGTCAAAAATACACTCATAATATCCTTAAAAAAATCAGTTGACACATATAAACTTTGAGCCAAAATATTGTAGAAATGATTTTAGCATTGATAAAAAAAGGGGGGGGGGATTCTACTCTGAGAAAGAAATACGGGGAAATTTGGCTCTAGTGTGAAACTTCCCTTCGGGGGAAGTCCTACTCTAGAGTACAGATTCCTGGGGGTGGGTTGGGGCTGGCTATGGGGGAAATCCTACTCTACAACATCGGTACTTAATTGTGGATCATTTGCATCTATCTTACTGTAGGTCGCAAGAGTGCCGCACGTCTCCCTCGCTACTCTCTACGAGACACGCAGATGCACGTTATTTTTGAAGATTTAAGTGTATCCTATATATTCTTCAGTAAAACTTTGATTGCCCATCGTGGCCCAACCCTACCCTCGCGGGTCATGATTTGAACAAACTTAAATCTACACTTTGTCAGCAAGCTTTTACGTAAGTTTCATCTTTTCTGGCCCAGTAGTTGATTTTTAAATGACCCCACCCAATTTTCACTATTTCTTAATTATCTCTTCTTGGAAGACGTGGCCCTTCATTTGAACAAACCTGAATGCCCTTCACACAAGGATACTCTGTGCCCAGTTTGGTTGAAATTGGCCCAGTGGTGAAAATGTGAAAAGTTTACGACAACAACACTGACGACAGACAACGGACAAATTTTGATCAGAAAAGCTCGCTCAAGCCTTCGGCTTTTTGTTAATAAGAAAGTAATTTTTGTTAATAAGAAAGTAAATGTACAGGGACCAGAGGAACTTATATTTGACCTACCCCACTTTTAACATGGATACCTGAAGGCTGCATGATGCAGGAACGCTTCGTTGTTGTTTTGTTTCTTTCGTTTGGTTAATTACTGGGGGGGGGGGGGATTTGATAAAATCATAAAAAGGTATCAAATCCTTCTGCATAAAATCAAACAAAACGGGACAGAATGTTAAAATGTTTCTTTTCCTTGAAATACTTCCATACACTTGTCTTTTAATTAAAATTCTTCACAATACACTCTTTCAACATTTTTTTAGTTAATGTATTAGAATAGTGTAAACAGGCTCGTAGAAATCGGGGGTGATTCACCATGTATACCCCAACATGCAGGGTGTATACTATATTAATTGTGCTCATTTGTTTTGTACTTCAGTATGTTTTTGGAAATTAATACTTAGTTTTGTATTTACATATTTTTTAAACACTTTCCACAGGTGCCTGAAGTGTGGATCGATAGCCCCCCCCCCCCCCCCGTTTAATTCAAAAATTGTAAGAGCTTATAATTTCTCAAAAATATATAATTTCCCCATCAATTACATCCATACGTCATCCTATGCAAGCAAATTGTACTTTTTCTTACGTTTATAGAATGATCTTTTACGGTATAATAAAAATACGGGGGGGGGGGGGGGGGGCTATCGATCCACACTTCAGGCGCCTGTGTTAGACACTTGTATACCTCATACATGCGAATAGCAAGCATATCACATCTTGTGGCCCATTTTGTTTGGAGGTGCCATCTTTTTGATATATTTTTCTTAACAGTTTTGATCTTGTTGTTTTATAGGAAATTTTTCTAGTCATTTTTTTGGGGGATCAGACATTTTTTATATTTTACGTAACTTTCAATCTGAGCTTGTGAGTCTGATCCCCTTTCTTTTGTGTAAAGTATTTTCTTTTATACCTTCATTTAAATAAATGACATTATTCATCTCTGTGAATGTGTTTGAGTTAATCTCTATAAAAATAAGCAAAAACTAGCTGCGGTGAGCCTTCCGAGCATTTGAAGACATAAATAATATTTCGCACTAATATGTACGAAAAAAGAGGGGGCATACATCCAACATTAATTTTTCGTCAATATCTTTAAATACGATAGATTTTATTTGATTAAGGAATGAATTTAATAGCAACCCAAGTATTACTATTACCTGAGTTGTGGCAGTTTACGCTTTATAAACCACAAAGCGGTTTATAAAATAGCGTAAACTGTTCCAAACCAGGTTATACCAGTATAACTTAGGTAGCTTTTAAATTTATTTCTTATAATTTAATTTTCCATCATTAAGTATAGAAAATAAGACAATTCCTCCTTCAAATTGGTCATATTTTGAAAGTAACGTCAAGCGGATTGATACGTTTTTGACGTGTCATTGTGACGTAAGTAACACAGGTTATACGATATAAACTAATTTTCTTATTCAATCAAATAACGCGTTACAACCAAAATTAAATCATTTGATTCATAAACACAATGTAGCGTCATCCTCGCTCAGTTCGTCGGAATTGTGTTGAGGTGTTAGATAAAACTAGAAAGTGTACAGTGGGTTCATATTTCTTCCGTAGGCCTAAGCATATGCTTGCAGAAGAATATATCCAAAAATTGAGAAATAAAGAAAAAACGTACCTCGACCCCCTTTCTCAATGTCATGTAAAAAAAAATCTTTAATTTGGTAGAGGACACCAAGAAAAAAAATGTCTTCAGAATAGTCTAGTTTGTAAAACGGTAAAGCAGTCCCAGGATGAAGGTAGGTGACTCTATAAGAATTAATAAATCAAGAATAGAAAAACAGTACAATACATGATTTATTTATCATAATATACATAACCAATTAATACATAAAATGGCTGTAACATAGATAGCAAAAATAGTCCCAAATCTGACAGCGGAAATGATTGCTGCGTGATTATGTCCCTTTCTCAGAGGACAATGATTTTTTTTTTTATATTTAAACTCTCTATTAGCACTAGTATTACAAAATATGCAAATTATCAATTGCAAGAATTCAGGAACAGCTAATATCCAACAATGAATTTATAAATTCAGTTTCATTTGCATGCAGATCTTGTATTCTGTTTCTTTCACAGTATAAAAGAAATCTTAATATTGAAGTTTACTAATTCACAGTATCAAAAATATTGTCAAGACCTTCCTGTGTTGTATTCTTTATAAAATTCTCTATTATCTCAGCTTCTAATAACAATTTATATTACAGAGTTGTCAAGGCAAAAAGATTAATATGTGAAATCATAAAAGTATGGCATATTCTTAGACCTTTATTATGAAGTTTATGATTTCTGTTTAATTAGCATATCAGTTAAATTAAGCAAAACAGTTTTGAGTATCATTATAAGAAATTAGGAGAAAGTTTCTTGCAATAAAACTGGTAAGATTTTTTTAAGGGGGAAAGTCTAACTTTTGGAGCATGAACTGTACTACAAAGCCTTACCAAAGTATTAAAATGGTATCATTTTATGAATTTTCAACAGAATGAAAAAGAAAGCTGATAATTTTCCTTTTAACAGCATTACCAAAAGAAAAAAGATGAATACATGTAACCACACCCCTTAATCAGGAACAATGAAACATACACACTAGTTTTTTTTAATATCTGATACCACACACAATAAAATCAGTATAAAAAGATTACCTTCCATTCAATCAAAACAACCAGTAAAAGAAAACAGAAGTTTTAAAACAAAATGATAGACATGCTCTGTCCAACAAAATATCAAAACTTTGGGTCTTCTGTAAAAAAAAATATTGAAGAATACTCCCCCCCTCCCCCCCCCTCTTGAAAAAAAGTACATTTCAGAGTGTGATGAAAAAAAAAGATCTTCAATTTAAGTAGAATTATTCCTCTTGGATACCCCCCCCCCCCCCCCCCCACAATTCCATACTTTTCCAACAAATGCAACATAAAAATACATGGCATCATTCAATGAGAAAATTGGTTGCAAAAAAAGGAGAGAAAATTGCTGATTTATATAGTATAATTTCACAGGATATACATTAATTAATATTCTGTATGATCACCGGTATAGCACTAGCTGTGATTGACCTTTCAATATGTGGGAATCCTTTACAAACAAAATGGGATGAATTCTTCTATCAACTTTCAATTTCTTCTCCAAATTTCCAGATTTAAATATGTGGAAATCAAAGATATATCAACTTGTGCATCCAAAATTTAAAAACAGTGTAAAGATTCTTGGCCAGCATAATTCAAATTAAAACGTACATTTTATACTAAATCTCTCAAACCCCAAACTTTTCAAAACTTGTTGCTGATCTATAAGATAAAACTGTGAGGAACTTCCTAGACAACGAATTTGATTCAGAGTTATCTCTACCATTTATAAAAAAAAAAAAATACTTGTCATAAAGGAACTAATCAAAAGAACTTTTATAATTAATTTCTTTACGTACATGTAATGAAAATGGGGTTGTCCAAGAAAGGGAATCAGAAAATTAATGTCATATCAGCCATGAAAAAGGCTAATGGTTTCACATAAAAAATCTAAGTAATTTTCTGCATCCTGTTTAAGACACTAACATTATACAGTAAGATTTTACTAATAATCCAACAAAATGTATATTTAAGGATACATTAAGATTAATTCAGAAGAGAAAAATGAGCACTGCATTTCCTCTGACTATCAATTAAGTTACAGCAATGAGAATGACACACCTTAGAATGGTCAGGTACATGACTGTAATTGCTGCTGAACCATTATCTTTGTAGAAAATTACATAGATATTAGATACACCTGATTAAATGTTCATTTCATGACTCTGTAGCTGATAATTGTGAATTATAGTCCCGATTGACTTATAGGAGAGAATTTACAACTCATTCCTCCACCACCAATATCACATTCTTCCGTTTTTCACACTCAGGCACTTAGTGACAGGATTTTCGTTAAATTTCTTTAATTAAACATAATTATTGATTAATATATTATGTGCAAACAACCTTGCAGAATGTACAAAATATATGTATGGCTGGTATATCATCAGACTTATGGCCTAGAGCTCGACCCATAGTTATGACCAACATGAATACACTGCAGAAAAATGGCCATCTATGTAACATATGTGGTTTAAATATGATGAATACAAATCATAAACAGAGAAATAAAATATATAATATTCCATTATAAGCAATACTATAAACTCTGGCAAGACTATAAAATATTTACAGTCAGAAAAAAATCAGACACATGCTAACAAACACACATGTTGAGCACTCAGAAGATATGCAGCAGTGTCATTTCATCCTTCTGCATTTTTATTTTTCTTAAAAAAAAAATCAATCAAAATTCTTCAATGTTCCATTTTCTTTTTCTGCGACACACAAAAAAAATAAAATTAAAAAAGAAGACACGAGATAATTTAACAGTTGAGAACTGCCCTATGATTGCGGACCTTACATTGCCACACATGTCCAGCTGAAATGGGTGGTTGTACATTGTACTACTCTAAAAAATTAATGTATATTCTAAATATCAGTATCATACATCCATTATAGAGTTAAAAAAAAAACCACAAGCAGAAAATTAGATTTTCATCCATTCATACTTGCACAACATGTGCCCACTGGGACATTATTTTTTTATGTCATAAAAATTGAGTTTATTCCCCAAATCTCTAGTTATCTACATCAATCACATTGGACTTCCACAGCTCCCCCCACCATTGTCCTTAAGGTTCATATCTAAGACCTCCTTCATCAGAGGCTGTATCCCCTCTGGATTGACCTTTAAAAGAACATGGGAGTGCTCCTCATTCAGATCGCGAATGTCTGTAAGTTTCATCAACAGTTTGGGGTAAATGGCACGCACAGTGTATGTGGAATACCTAGACTCTAGGTATCTTAGAAGTAACAGAGCATATTTCTCTTGCTCTTGACAAACGTAAGATTTGTCACTTATGTTTGGTCTATCCGGTGAGAACAGCGATATAACTAGCAGAAGAATCAACATGGTTTCATCAGCCTTTAGGTCGACGGCTAGCGACCTGGTGAACTTCATATGCTCGGCAAATAAAGTGGCTCCCTCTCCTTCTTGTAGATTCTTCATGTCCATGGAGTGATCTTCGCTATCAAGTGGATCCAACCACAAGTTCTTCTCCTTGTCAAATGAAATCACCGACCTCAGAATCAGCAACTCGATGGAGCCTCCTTTTAGAAGACTAATCTGGTCTGTTTGTGACAATGCCTTAAATGATTTGATTTTCTTGGCCATGTCTATCACTCGACGCACACTCAGTTCTGCAATATTAACCAAGTCTTTCATGTGCATTTGCGGTTTGTCTTTTGGCAGTTCTGAAGCAATGGATACCTCCAAAGATTGTCTGTAAGCTCCCACTACTTCATTTATCATGTATTCCTCGTCAGGTTCTAGCGCTCTCAGTCTGTTTTCTGATGTGCTGACAATTCCTGATTGCGTCTTTGTCTTGTCCACATCTCGTACTTTCCTGAAATATTAACAGAACATTTCAAAATACATATATACACATCATTATTTCATCTTCAGGATTTTGTGTTCACGATTTTCACTTCTGCTTTTCTTTTTGTTTTTTTGTCGTAATAGAAAGCTATGATATACATGTATTAGAATAATTTCTTTTCTCTTTATTTAGAAATGGATCAAAGACTTTATTTTTACATTTCATTTCATTTTTTAATACAAAAGGAAGAAAAAGATTTTGGAAGAAAGACTATAATCTGATGTACACTGCATGTTTATTTTTACATTTCTTATAAATATGATTTTTAAGCTATACATGTACATTGTATCAAGCCTATCTAAGGATTTTTTCACCATGGTTCAGAGATCATCCCTAACACATGTATATTATGAAGCTTTTGACCACAGTCAAGGTACAAAGAGAGGACAGGACAGAGAGGTTTATTTTACATGCTCTTTAGAATTATAAAAGGAATGTTCTAGCACTTGATTGGACTTCAATTTGACTGGATTACTGAATATATGACAGGGTGGGCTTCCTAACTGGACTATGGAACTGGAATTATTTTATAAATAGATTATTTATCATGAGAAAGGGTGGAATTATTGGTAGAGTGCAAGACTAGGTGAATCTGTTGTCTGATAGGACTGGGAGATCAATTCACCATCAAGTCCTGGATCAGCTGACTGAACTAAAAGAATGAGTTGGCAATGAGACCAAGTACATTTGTTGATTAGGGGTTGGGGTTGTGAGATTGAAAAAAAGAAGAGATTTGTTAGTTGGATAATAGGACTGAGATTTGTTGAATGAACAATGAAGCAGATTGGATGTTTTTCACCTGACTTTTAGACTGGATGAAATGGTTAACTAAGCTGAGACTAAGAGAGGAAGTGCATTTGTTGACTAGATTGCAAGATCAAATTAATTCTTTGAGGGTGCGGAATTTTGTTGACCAAACTATAAACAGTATACAAAACTCCCATCAGTCAACAATCCAACTAATTATCAAGGGGTTTTATTCAATATAGAGATAAATTAAAATTATTGAGAATTTAAGGCTAGCAAATGTTTGAATGTTTAGAGCAAGAGGAATGGTTGATAGGACTAAGAAACTTGAGAGAGACAGGTTTGAGAGAGTGTTGTGTGATGTAATCAGAACGAAGACACACTGGATCAACCTGTTCTCCTCAATACGCTGCCGTTTTCGGAGTTTTTCTTCCTCCGTCAGAATGTACTCCTTCCTCATCCCAATCTCAAAGCACTTCCGCAGACGACATCGTTTACAAAATCGCCTATTTGAGACGTCCATCTTGCATTTCTCTTCATATGGACATTTGAAGTATTCCTGAAAAACACAGGAAAGTTTAAATAAATATTTCAGTATTAATATAATAGAGATATATTTCATCTTGTGATGATTTGGTGTATATTGCCACTTTAGATTAAAAATTACTGTCATTTCAGCTACAAACCTGAGATTAACCATTTTTAAAGTTCTGATTTTAACTTTCCAAAAAGTTGCACTAAATACAAAAATACTCAAAATTTGTATTTGAAACATATTTTTCCCACATGTAAGTTTATTTTATCCTAATATGGGGCTCTAAATCTATACAAAAAATTACGGTACAGTAGATATAATTACAGAGCTAATATTTATTCTAGTTTGAAGGGATACTGGTTACTATGTGTGCATTTGCTCCATTGTTTGTTAAAAAAAAAATCTTACAAAATATATCAACCGCTTGCAAATGGGCTTTTCTAGTTTACACCTCTGCAGTGCATTTGGGTAATGAACTCTGCTAAATATGTTAAAAAGAGGTTTACTTCACGCACAAAAGACTCCAACAAAGTACATCAGAATTGCATGAACAAACCATACCCAAGATTTTTAAAAGCGATATACTGCTGGCTTTGTCCGTTTCTATACACCCATAATAAAACCTCCCCTGTTGGTATTGTGCGATAGACATCACATATGCATTCAGATGTCTAGAGGTTTGTGTGACTAAATTTTGACACCTGTTTAACACAGATGATTTTGACTGAAAATCAATGTCAAAAAACGGGCCTGATCTGTGATAATGGAGGGAATAATTCCATTCAATGAGAATACATTGACTGATTTTATTTAAACCATTATCATAAATATGTTAATGAAGAAAAATTTTCTCAATTTTAATAGCCAAATTAAAATTTCTGACATCTTTAAGTTCTTGCTGTATATAGAACTTTATAATGGTTCTCATTATGGCAAAAGTGCAATTTCCAATTAAAGCTTCAGAATCTCTATAAGCTAAATTTGAAATACACTACATTTGTGAGTGACTGAGATTCACTCTGGAAAAATTCCAGAGGATAATTGGAATATACTCGCAAAGAAAACATAAAGTGCAAGTCGCAGATGTCCTTTTTGTAATAAAAGTTTTCTTTTCTGAATAAGACAAAGCTCATGTTGCCAATGACAAACCCAGGTTCCTATCTCAGGAGACATCTTGAGGTTAATTCAGACTGGCTTGACATTTTTCTCCCCTTTTTAAATTTGTTTCGTTATATGATAAGTTGTTACTGAAATCTTCTTTTATTTGGTCTAATTTATTTTTAAAATATATCTGATATCCTTCTTTGGGCCTTAATTTTTGCAGTAAAAATTGCTTTTATATCACCACGATGAAAAAGTGAAGATCATCTTTAATGATTATAAACTTATTTTCAACTTTGCTGGATTCTTCAAATAATCTTGTCTTAGTTTGCCTGTCAATGGATGAAAAAATAATTTTTTTCTCTCATGCCTGATAAAGTAGAATTCCTATTGTGTCCTAATCACATCAAATTTTCTCAAATTGACACCTAAAATTTTCTTTTTTTAGTTCGTCAATTAAAGCTGTTGGAGAAAAATGATATTTTTAATGAAACTGACAAAAAATAATTCAGGTAGAAAATATCAGGTTGATTGAAATATCAGTACATCTGCTCTGAAATTTGAAAGCCTTTTTTGTGCTATTTAAGGTTTATAGATTAATTAACATTCTTTCTTTTTTTTTTGTTGTTGAAAATTTGCTGAATAATCCTTAACATGAAGGTCAAGATAATTACATGTATTTTTTGTTAATAACACTCTACGTGTGACATTTTTAAAGGAATAAAAATCATGATGATACAATTCAATATATTCTCTCTCTATATATATGCAGCCTATATTTGTCTTATAACAAATTTAAAAAAAAAGAAGAAAAAAATCATTCAGTTGCATCTGATAAATGCTTGTTTGTATTTGCTATCCCTCCCAAAGTTGACTATTGGACTGAAAACAAAAGCATACATGAATATTTGTTTACCACAGTTCATAATACTTATATTTTTCGATCAGATTAGCTTCAGTTTTAAGTATCCCTTCCTTTTCCCGTCATTAGAGGAGCTGAACTTGGGTGTTCACAGTCAAAGAAACAAAGTGAACACAAATGACACTAATTATTTCTTTGTAGCAATGTCAGTCTAGTCACTGCCATTTCTGTCAATTTCCAGTATATTTGTTACTACAGTAGAGACTTTGTACCTTGGGACCCCTAGTATCTGAACTACTGTGTTTCATGAGCATGCTTAACAAGACTCAGTGTTAGACAGTGCAGCATCACTTTGCCAAATTTTTAGCAGATTCTCATATTTTTCACATGCACAAAGATTAAAGGTACATCTACACAGTTTATTTGGTTATAATTTTTAAAAAATCTCTTTGTAATCATTAATTATTGACGGGACATCCATACACACATTTGTAGAAAGAAACTATCAAAGTAACCCCCTCCTTTTTTCCATCTTTATACAACTATGAATACTCAATCATAATTTTTTTTACCTTTCATGAAAAACTCATTGGAAATTCAAAAGGTCAGATGCAGCAAGCACTTTTACAAACTATTTTGATTTTGTTTACTAGCCACTTAGCATCTATTGTTCTTCCACACACAGGACAATCAAAGAATCTCAGAAATTTTTATTGCTTAATTTAAAATCCATTACAGAATGAATATCATCTGTAGGTACAAATCAAAATGTTAAAAAAATTCAATTTAATCATATATTAAGGTAGCATCTTTAAATTTTTTCCCAACAATTTTTCTTATGCAAATGATATATTTGTTCTCACTTTCACTTTTGAGAGATGCCAGAATGACAGGAAAATGTGGGGATTGTTTTGTTTTCAGTGTAACACTCCTATATGATGCATCATTTCCAAACCTTTCTTTCTAAGTTCCATGGGTACTTCACTTATTGCATGTAGTCCATACCTTTCTGACTTTCTACAGTTCCTTGAGTACTTTATAAGTCTAAACCCTTCTGACTTTCTACAGTTCCTTGAGTACTTTAATTATAAGTCTAAACCCTTTTGACTTTCTACTGTTCTTTGGGTACTTTATAAGTCTAGACCCTTCTGACTTTCTACAGTTCCTTGGGTACTTTATAAGTCTAAACTCCTCTGACTTTCTACTGTTATTTGGGTACTTTATTTATAAGTCTAAACCCTTCTGACTTTCTACAGTTCCTTGGGCACTTTACTTATTAATCCAAACCCTCCTGACTTTCTACTGTTATGTGGGTACTTTTCTTTACTTACTAGTCCTTTAGGGGCATTCCTCCTGAAGAAAGCCTTACACGACTCACAGGAAATAGCATCAAAGTTGTAACCCAGTGCCCTGTCCCCACAGACCCCGCAGTATTTATCCTCCTTATTCTTACGAGCTTTGTGAGACAAATCATTTGAACCTATGTCCATTGGTCGATGGTAAGGGTTCGCCATGGTGGGCATGGTATTACTGTTTGAATCTTCAAAGCTGAAAGATAAAATAAAAATAAAGAATGTTTATGCAGATAAAATATTAACCAGTAATAATTTCCTCCATTTCAGGCTGTCTGACACATGTGACAGCATATGATGCAACATGTGTTTGATAATATTTTATGTAGGATTAGGAATAAAACAACCTTTTTGATTTTTTCTATGCAGCCTAAGTTCATTGGTGTTTACTGTAGGGATCTAATTAAAAAAATTATTTTTCTCTAATTAAATTAGCGAATTCTTTATATCAATGCATAATCATAATTTACCCAGTTATAAAGCATTGCTATAATACATAAAATATTTTGTTCCATGAAGGAATATTTGGATGCGCATTCATGTCAAACTCTTCAATAGTCCTAAATGGTACTACTATAGATGGTTCTACATTTTTATTGGGTAAAAAGGAAGATTAAAGTACAACATTCAATATACAGTTAATAATTATCTTTGACATTTGTCTATACACACAGATAATGTGTATAAATGGCAAACATGTTCTATCAGTAACATCACAAATGTAAATTACACAAACATAACCTTTAGTGAATTAAGTTTACTGACTTTTTTTTTACAGAGAGAGTTCAAATACCCAACATGACATACTAATTAGCTTAACTCAAGAGCAATTTTATACTTGTAATCAACTCTCCACATTAATTAACTATATGAAGAAAGTAATGAAGACACTTACATAGCATATATACACATGTATATATATATATATATATATATCTTTAACTTGGGTGATAAAGACAATTAAAACATACTAAAATTCACTGAGCCAACTTGTATTCATATTTGGGTAAATGTATGTACAAAGTATCTCATTTCCTATTCAAAAATAGGCAGCCAAAATCAAATTATCATGACTTAAATAATGTTCAAAAGACTTGAATGGCTTGCGAGATGTGTTTAGCGGGAAAATTACACCATATTAAACACCCATTCTAACTAATTCACTTCCTTCATGATAGTTATTCAATAACACCTCTCTTCTCAAGGCATATTTTTTACAAGCAATAATGATAAGAAAGGAACCTTAGAGATGGTTTTCTAATCATCTCATGCCAGGTCACGGATGACTACCACTCAGATTACCTGCACCAAGTCACCCCTCCACCAATCCGTTCCCATTAGATTTTTTCTGTTGACCCACTTTGACGAAAAAATCTCTCACTAACACAAAACAAAATGGCCGCCATCTTTTGAGGTTGTAAAAATAAAACTCTGTGTACTTTTTTGAACATACACAAAATATGCTCAGGAAAGATAACTCTTGTGTGTTTAAACTAGTAAGGACATAACTGTGTGCTCTATGAATTGATGTTCAAACAATTTCGTTTATCCTCTCCATTTATTAATAATTTTGATTTTTAACCAACCTTCCTATTTGTTTACAGGTGTAATTATTTAATAGAAGATTAATTCAGCCTTGGTTTGCTTTTGTAGATATGGGCCTTATACCTCATGATCTGCTGGAAAGCTTAGAGAAGAAATGCAGTCATCTGTGAAAGGTTATTAGGTACAATTTTCTCAAGATCATGTCAGATATACTACAGTTTTTTTTTTCTTTTTCCACATGACAAGTCAAAACAGATCCTCTGCCAAAAAGAAAACCATCCTTCTTTAGTTTGCAGAGTTATAGTTTCAGAATGTGAAATACTAAAAAATTCCATGCATAAATAATCATTAATAGAAAATTATTTTCTATTGCCGGTTTTTCGATCTTAATCTTTGACAATTTTACACGTAATCCTATATTTCTATCTACCAAAATGTTATTTGCTAACCTAATTACTGAGTATCAAATTTTCTTTTACAAAACTGCATGTTATCAAAATAAACCAATTTTTTTTTTTAAAAAAAGAACAATTGTACCACCCATACGTTATTATATATCAAAAGCCAAGTTGTCAGTTTTTGATCATTATGTACTATAACCTTTATTAATTTTGTCACCTGCAATTATTTTCCATTATGTGTTACAAGTTTTTGCTTTCTATCCATAACATTTGATGGATAAACAACCCAGGGCACAAACCACTACTGAACATTCTTTGTTTTTATGTCAAGGAGTTAGGCAAACAGTTTCAAGTTGGTCGAAAGAAAAACTGCACCCAATAACCTTTCGTAAGAAAATATTTACAGAAGTTAAATGCCTTTTGCCTCTTGATAAAAGAACTCTAAAATGATTTCTTTTTAGTAGAATTCAGCTCAAAAATTGTGAACTCTTGGGAAAACAGATTGCTAAATGCAACAAATTTAAATATGATTCTTCTTAGAAATTCATGTTTACAGAAAGAAAAAATTCCAAAGAGCATAATAATTACAGAGGCAATGCTGATACAGGCAGAGAGAACACCACACTTTATCTATTGTGCTTGACAATTATATGAAAATCTTGGCAGGTTCTATTAATTTACTGTAATAGCTTGCTTAGTAATTTTTTAAGTCTGTGTCATTTCGTTCCCCCCAATTGGAACTCTTTTTTGGAGAGAGAGAGAGAGAGAGAGAGAGAGAGAGAGAGAGAGAGAGCCAAAACAGGTGCAGAAAAGACTGAAATTCAAAACCTAAATCCTGTTCTTAAATTGTTGTGTTAATTAATCTCATTCATTTGGAAAGCCTCTTGAATAGATAAAAATTGCTATTTGATACACAACTTCATCATAAGCCACAACTTGAAAAATGAGTGCTCTTAAAAAAAAAGAAGTAACAACAGATGTCAGAATGAAGTTACATTACGGACTTGGCCTATTAGATAAATACAAGCTCCCTCTCATTAATTCTATGTCCTGGGGTGTCTGTTTTCTTAAACTCAATAGAACAGCTTTTTTACTTCAACCAACCAGGGAAAAAGGTTGTATTGGGTCATTCGAATCTAGGAAAAAATGCAAACAGCAGAGGAAAATTTTTTTTTTGACATTTTGAAAGTTGATAGAAAACTTTAAGTACCACCATTCCACTTCTCTTCTCTTTTCATCATTGATTTTGCCTCTAAAGCAAAGGGCAATTAGTACATCTGAGTATAACCCTTAACACTCAACATCACTTAGAGAAAATATATTCTCAAAGAAAAATAAACTTTATTGGCTACATGTATGTCTCCATTGATTTTTAAACAAAGTTTTCTTTAATATGCACTCTCTCACTATGTTACATACAGTCAAACCTAATTGTTCCCTTAAACTCAATGGCCCACTAATATCTGAGGATTCAAGAGACTGAAGTTAAAACACAGAGTGAAAAAGTGGTTGGGCCTTCTGACTCATTTCAACTGACATATATCCATGGTAATATTTAAGATATTGATGTTCAATATACAAAGTTCATGCAACTTCTTCAGCAAATCTATCCCCCCTTTTTAAAAAATGATTTTCATCTTCAAATTTGTTGTCTTACCATGTTAAAGATAAAAAAAACCCCCAAAAGTGCATGGCATACTCAAATTCCTTGTAAATGAATTTACTTTCACTTGACTGTAGTTTACCAACATATTTACCTATGAGTAAATAGAAGAACAGAACACAAAACACTAACACATCTGTTAAGTTCAGTACTTAAGGGCAAATGCCAATTTCATTTTATATAAATATCAGGTACACTGCAGAAAAATTGTCAGAATAGGGTGTTTGCAGATGCAGTAGCTAAAGGGTCTTCTGTACTTTGGCACAAACATCGAAAGTGCAGGCAAACATTAATATATTCGTGCTGATGATGAAGAGCATAAAGTTCATCAAATATAAGACATTTCCCTTGCTTCGCCTACTCACTGAAATAAAATCCCAAAATACTTCAACTGTGACAATGGCTAACACGTAATATAATACTGCTGGAGTACGGAGGATACTTCCCAGCAATGAGCCATGGTGGTGTCCAATTTTTTATTGGAATTTTTTTTTTGTTTCTCTGTAGATGGATATATCTAAGTGCAATGAACTTCAATGTTCTCTATTTCCTATAAAAGCAAAATTCCATGCCCCAAAATATTTCATATAAAACAGATGAGTTTCATTTAAAATTAATTTAACAACTTTATGAGATATCTATATCTTCATTCAAAAATAAATTAGTCTATAAGAAATGAAAAGATTAATTTAAAGGTTACAGTATATGATTGTTATTAATTTTACATTTACTAATGTTACAAAAAAAATTCACTTTAAAACCACAAGATCCTGACTGACAACTAAATTAACCAAACAAAAAAGCCATAAAAATAATAACGGAAGACCACAATATCAAAAAATATCCTTATAATTTACCCTACATAGCACCACAGATATCTAATTATGAGGCAGTATAAATACGCTAGGATCGTAAATAAAACACACAACAGGAATTCTGGACTCTCTATTTAGGGAAAATTCTCATGCTATTATAGAATCTTATTTGCTTGTACCGAGTGACCTTTCCCAACATAGATTTGATATCACCGTCTGTAAACACTCGAGTAAATAAATGAAAAAGAGGATCCCCATGATTCATAGTTTTGAAACTTTGTGGTTTTTTAACTTGTTTTGTGTGTCACAAGCCATTGTTTAAAACTTTTGTACAAATAATCTCATGTTCGTAGCCCATTTCTTCTTGTTATCATTTGGGAAAAAAGCAGGGTCGTGGCTGTGGAAATGAATGGCCGATTAAAGTATCTGTTAAAAAATCAATGTTTCGTGTACCCTTAGCGGAACCTGCCACTAAAGAAAAAGAATCCGTGTCACACTACATCCATTGAAATATACCCACATCACATTACAGATCTACAATCTTTGGGGTAAAATTTGTCCTTTCTCAAGCTTGAAATAAAACCTCAAGAATGATCCTATGCCAAGATAGAATGTACACTAATTCAGATCAAAGTCAACGTCAAAGAAAGACAGCTTTGTTTGAAATTTCAATCATTAATTTTTGACACCTGGGCTACAAAAATCATTCATTTTTAATCCAACTCTGAATTTTCAGAAGAAAAAAAAACCTAACTCTTTTATGACACGGAAA